ATGCTGCTCTCGCTGAGGCGCCGGCCTCATTTTCGGGCCCCGCTCGTTCCGAATCGTGCTCCCGCTGCAGCGCTGGCCTCATTTCCGTGCTTCCTCTCGTTCCGAATCGTGCTCCCGCTGCAGCGCTGGCCTCATTTCCGCGCTTCCGCTTGTTCCGACTCGTGCTCCCGCTGCAGCGCTGGCGTCATGTCCCGTGCCATACCACGGCATGCAATGCAATGCTAGGTTGATGCTACGCTTTGCGGTGCTCTTCTACGCCATGCCATGCCGTGCTCTACAATGCATCGCGTACCCTTTCGGGATCATTGCCCTGCTCGACATCCGACTGAGCGAGTAGAGAGGGGATCTGCGCCATGGTACGGGATGGGAGGGAGGGGTAGGATGTCAGATATGACGCGAGTGCACCTAGCTTGTTCTCCTCCCCCTCCCTCCTCACTCCTCCTCCCTCCCTCCTCCTCCTCCTCCTCCTCCTCCCCATCCCCCTCCTCCTCCTCCTCCTCCTCCTCCTCCTCCTCCTCCTCCTCCTCCTCCTCCTCCTCCTCCTCCCCCTCTTCCTCCTCCTCCTCCTCCTCCTCCCCGTCTGCCGCCTCCTCCTCCTCCTCCTCCTCCTCCTGGTCCTCGTCCTCCTCCTCCTCCTCCTCCTCCCAGGCGTTGCAGGATCCTGCAAGGTCCTGCACGCACGCCCGAGTCAATGCACCAATGGCCCTCGAGCGGGGGTGTCCTGCCCCGCGCCCGCGGCCGGCGGCGGCGGGGAGTAGAGGGCAGACAAACCACCCTCCTGAGAAGCACCCCGACCAGCGAAGCCTTTTCATAAACGCACCTGTGGAGGGACCATTTTGGCACACCTCTCACACGGTTCGTGGCCCCACAGGGAGCTCCACCGAAAGCGGTACCCACAATCTGGTACTCGCAGCTGCATATGGTTGGGTCCTCCGTCAGGCTATTTTTTTTGTTGTGTGTGTGTGTCTGTGTGTGTGGGGGGGGCGATAACTGAGGGAGAAGAAAGGTGCCCTTTTCGGGCCCTAAAGGCCCCCATCTGGGCCCCAAAGGGCTGTCACGGGCCCTACTATATATAAATATATGTATATCTATATATGTATATATACATATATATATACATATATACATATACACTTACATATACATATACATATACATATACATATACATATACATATACATATACATATACATATACATATACATATACATATACCCATCCACATTTATATGTATATATATATATATACACATATATATGTATATATATATATATATATATATGCAGCCCTTGTTGCACCCCCCAGTTACCGCCCTCACATCTATCGCTGCTCAACGTTTGTAGTCCTAGAATCTCCATCGCTGCTGCCGGAGACCCTGGAGCGCTGCTTTCATCCCCACGCCATGTCCCAGTCTCGTCCCGCTGCCCTCGGATCTCCACGCGGCCGCTGCCGCTGGCGGCGGGCTCAGAGCACCCGCGGGATCCATATATGCTTCTGTCCGCAAGCCCCCCCACAGCACAGCCGCGCACGCTCAGACCGTGCCCACGTCCCGCCAGGCGACAGGGTCATGCCGAGTTCTCCTCCTCCTCCTTCTCCTCCTTTTCCTTCTTCTGATCCCCCCCTCCTCCTCCTCCTCCTCCTCCTCCTCCTCCTCCTCCTCCTTCCGCTCCTCCTTCCTCCTTCTTCCGCTCCTCCTTGCCACTTCTCTTACTGCTTCTCCTCCTCCTCCTCCGCCTTCTCCTCCTCTCCCCACTTCTGCTGCTGCTGCTGCTCCTCCTCCTCCTCCTCCTCCTCCTTCTCAGCTCTCCCTCTCCTCAGGAGGGACGGGGGTCTGGGAGGCACTAATCTGACGGCGAACGAGCCTCTCGCACCGCGTTTCATCAGACGGGCATGTCCTCCTGCAGGGGGATTGTGGACGAAAAATCAAAAATACGCAAACTATACTCAAACATAACAAAACAATACTCAAATAATCATCCCCATACTTTTTATAAACTATTTGCAAACATTCCTCCTGTAGAGGGACACGCCCGACTTGCGATTATGTGTTCCGGCTCAACTCGCGTTGTTGGTGGTCCCCGGGCTCAACACGAGTTTCCGCCTGAGACTTCTTCAAATTTTTTGTTGCAGGAATCGCGCTCTCCCTCGATTCCTCCGAGCGATTTGTGCAAGAAATGCGCTCTCGCGTTGGACCCACCCATTTGAAGACATTAAATCGAGGGCAGACAATCCACCCCGACAATAACCACCCCGACACGCGAAGCCGTTTAGTACACGCATCCAAAGAAAGATTCAAACAGGGCAGGGCTGTTCAGTAAACGCCCAAGGCCGTTCAGCAAACACCAATCGTCGGGTCCGGGTGGTTTTTCCTCTCTTGATTGAAAGAATTGCGCTCTCGCTGTTCAGGAATCGTGCTCTCACTTTGGGACTCCTCGCAATCCAACGAGGATTCGCACTCTCGACGCTCTGGAATCGCGCAACAAGTTATCATAACGAAATCGCGCTCTCGCTTGAGACCCCCTCGCATTTCAGACAGGAATCGCGGCTGCATTTTCCACCCGTCTGACCCGCCCGAGGAAGGTCCCCCCGCCCGGCCCGCCCGTGAGGGCACGCCCGCCGGGCCTTTGGACGCCCGAAGTTCGGGTCGGGCGAAAAGGGGGGATAGCAAAGGAGGGGTTTGAGAATCAGCTCATCCGGCCAGAGAAGTGGGTCCGGAAAACATGGGCACAATGCCCGGGAACACGTGCTGCCCCAAGCCAACAGCGCCCACTGTTGGGCAGGCAGCCTTCTGTCTCAGACTGGCACAGGCCGCGGCGGCGCGGACAACGAGCCCTGTCCAGAAGGAACAGGAACTGCTGTTGGGCATTGCCCCCCGTTCTTGGCGTACCACTTCCGCCCGTGCCGATGACCCGCCCGTCCGGTTCCGCCCGCCCGGCCCGTCCGCCAGGGACCGCCAGATCGACCGTTTGGAAGCCTGCCCGGCCGCCCCCTTCCACGCTCCACCAGCCCAGCCCGCCCGCTGGGGCCCGCCCGCCCGACCCGCCCTCGAGGGTCCGTCGGGTCGCTCGCTCGAAAGCTGGGGGAACGAAGGATGACATAAACGTAACAACTCGGAGGTCCGTGCGGATTTCTCGGATCCGCGCTGGACCCCTCTCTCTGGCGCGCGGAGCGCGCCAGGGGCGGCGCTGGAGGCACTGCAGTCGTGTCCAGTGCGGATCCGAAAAATCCGCACGGATCTCCGCGTTTATGATGTTTATGCCATTCCTCGTTCCCCTTCTTGCGTATCGTTCAACCGATCTCCATCCCCACCATCGTGGGCTGGGCCCACTGGCCGATTTTTACCCCCCTAGATGGGGGATAGGGGCCGTGTCCTTCGGGCTTCGAGGGGTGCATCCCCAACTGGGGGTCTAACTCGGGTGGGGGTCGCGAAGGGGATGAGCATGGGGATGGGGATCGGGTAAACGATACTGACCTCCTCCTCCTCCTCCTCCTCCTCCTCTCTCCTCCTCCTCCTCCTCCTCCTCCTCCCCCTCCTCCTTCCTCCTCCTCCCCCTCCCCCCCTCCTCATCCTCCTCCTCCTCCTCCCTCCCTCCTCTCCTCCTCCTCCTCCTCCTCCTCCTCTCCTCCTCCCTCCTCCTCCTCCTCCTCCCGCCTCCTCCTCCTCCTCCTCCTCCTCCTCCTTCCTCCTCCTCCTCCCTCCTCCTCCTCCTCTCTCCTCCTCCTCCTCCTCCTCCTCCTCCTCCTCCTCCTCCTCCTCCCCCTCCGGGCTGAGCATTGAGTGTCCGTCAGGTCGCTTGCTCGAACGCCCCAAGCCGCCCGCTTTGGCCTCTCGCCCGCCCGGCCCGCCAGCTCTGCCCCGCCCGCCCGCCAGGGTCCGCCCGCCCGCCCCGGGGCCCTCTCGGGGAAGACGGGTGGGAGGAGGAAAAGGATGCTGGGATGCTGGTCTGGCCTGCCTCCGAAGGGGCAGGCCCGAGGAAAGAGAGAGGGTGGAACGGACAGGGAAACCAATGCGCGTGCTGTGCAGCACAATGGCAGCAAGGGCCATGTGCCACTGGTTCCCTAACAGTAGGAGGACGAAAAGGAGGCGGACAAGGAGGAGGAGGAGGAGCAGGACGACGAGAGCAAGAACGAGGACGGGGACGAGGACAAGGAGGAGGAGGACGAGGAGGAGGGGAAGGAGGGGGAGGAGGAGGAGGAGAAGACGGCGAGGAAGATGACGACGACCATCCCTGTGGGAGCTTATCCAGGAGCTGACATGAACAAACAGAGGCCCCCCAAAGGGTGTAATCAAGAATTTAGGGTTTAGGCTTAGGTCGGGCATCCCGGGCATGTCCCCCTACAGGCGGCATTGGGACGAAAACCAACAAATCCCCCCCTGACTGCTTGAATTTCCCCCTGTAGAGGGACAGGCCCGACTTAAGCTTAGGGTATGCGTGAGGAAAGAGACACGGGCGACGAACGTGGCCACGGCGACGAGCGGAGAGAAGATGCCGAGGTGCGGTGATTGCATGATTGCATTGGACAAGGAAGCCTTCGATAAGGAATCCAGGGTATGGAAGCCAGTGGGAAGCCAATCGTGGATCGGTCATGGGTATCACCCTGCACTCATCAGATAAGGAATCCTCCAAGGTCTGCGGCCTCCTGGGCGCATTCCTTAACCAACGCCCCACCCTGGTGAGGCGACGGGGTTGGTCCTGTAGCAGCGCAGAAGTGACCTTGAGGAGCTCTCCTGCCGTTTCAGAAACTCTCTTCGAAACCCCTGGCCCCTTCTGAGCCCCTCTCGCCGCACCCCCCTTGGCGCGCCGCCGAATTCCACCAGCCTTTTAGGGCGTACGGCAGGCTCGTGTCGTGCCGACTTCGGCGTTGGTTTCTGACACCGCTGGGATCGTTCTACCTTGAACGATCGGCCGTTTCCGAAACGTCCAAATCGGTCCACATCGAACGATTCTGGGTCGCCCGCGGCGTTCAAAGTTGAATGCCGCTGGCGGGGTCGCCGCCGGTCGACACGACGCGACTCTACCGTAGGTGGTCTGGGGTGTTTTGCCTTCCATCTGCCCCTCTTCCCCTTCGGGGAGGGGCGTATCACTGTTCCATATCAATATGTACCCCCTTCCCCACCCGTCCGGCGGCCAACCCCGAACCATGACAGTTGGAGCATGCGCGGCCGCCCCGCCAACATTTTGTATTTGTAGTTTACAAGGACGGCTGGGTGGCCAGCATATCCCACCTGCCTTCTAGGCGCAGGTGGTCGACCGACTAATTTGACACATCAGTGACGGCTGCCTTTTCGCATCACCGTTTCCGATGGGATTTCGAAACCTCCACGAGGCTCCAAAATTGGCCAAGAAGCTCAAAGCCGGGCCCAAGAGCCCCTATTGATTCCCAGTGGCTGGCGCACCTGGCGCGGCTGGAGCACCTGGAACACTGGGCGCACGTGGAGCACGTGCCGCATCTGGCGCACCTGGCACGTTTGGTCCTCCAGGGTCTGGTGCATCTGGAACCCGTGGCGTCTGCGGCGTTTTTATGCGATATGCTGACTCCCAGGGTGGGAGTGAGCACGACGGCTTGCGGGCGGGTGGGAAGCTTGACCCCTCCCCCTACCCCCTCCCCTGAACCTGGAGGGGGTCCCGACCGAATGGCTGGAGTGTCCAAGATGGCCCAAGATGGCTCCCAGAGCGTTTCGGAAAGCCCAAGATGAGCTCCCAAGATGTTCCAAGAGGCCTCAAGACGGCTCCAAGACGGCTCCAAGGGCCAACATCCAAACCTAAAGAACATACATGTTTTTTGTTTTCTCGCCTTTTCGCTTCCGATGGCCATCCGAGGCCTGAGAATGGCTCCAAGACGGCCCAAGAGGGCCCCAGAAGAGGCCCACGAGAGCCCCACGACGGCCCAAGAGTGCCCAAGAGCGCTCCAACAACGCTCCAAGAGCGTCCCACGAGGCGATGTTTAGAGCTCTCGAGGGGGAAGGATCACTAAGGAACCACTCTTCTTTGATCGATCTCCTCCAAGATGGCCCCAAGACCGCTCCGCCCCAAAAGGCGCCCAGAGACGGCCCCAAGAGGCGCTCAGGAAGCCTCCAAGAGGCTCCCAAGAGGCTGCCAAGAGGCTTCAAGAGGATCCCCGAGGCACCCAAGACGCTCACAGATGGCCCTGGGCTGCCCCTTTTCCTCCTCCTCCTTCTCCTCCTCCTCCTCCATCTCCTCCTCCTCCTCCTCCTCCTCCTCCTCCTCCTTGTCCACCCCTCCTTCCTCCTCTTCGCCCTCCTCCTCCTTCTCCTCCTCCTCCTTCTCCTCCACCATCCTCCCCCTCTTGGGGTATCGGACGGCTTCCCCCGCCCTTTGTTCTTCTGCATGTTCGCCCGGTTCCCTGATCACCTCAGCTCCCCTCGGCATCGTTTCTGGATGGGCTGGTGTGAATACTTTTTTTCGGTCGCGTCCGCCAGCGAGAGCGCAAGCGGAGTCAGAAGCGTTCCGGGACACGGTAACGGCGTAATTAGCTACTAAACGCGCCGCAAGCCGGCCGGCCCACCCACCAAGCAGCAGCGGGGCTGCGCGGGAAAGCTGACGGGCTGAGGGCATCCAGGGAAGATCGGGTCGGGCGAAAGGGGGGGATAGCAAAGGGGGGGTTTGAGAATCAGCTCACGTAGCTGATTTTCCTGGCGCCTCCCGGCGCCAGAGGCGGCCATGTATCGAGGAATGGGCCCCTCGGTGAGGCCGAAACCAGCTGCATGCAGCAGATTTCGTAACCCCCCCTTTCCCAATCCCCCCCTTTTGTTCGGCCCGAGAAGAGCTGGCGTGGATACGCGAAGCGTCAACATTTTCTAGATTTCTGGCTCGTGACTCTGAGATGGTTCGGGCGTGCTCTTCCCGACCCCGCGCGGAGTGCTGACAGAGAGCCGGTCGCTTCGCTTTCAGCAGCAGTTGGGCCATGTGCACCGTCTGGTTCCAGCGAGTGCGCTCCCTCCCCCCGCGCGCGCGGATGCGGTCGTGCACAGAAATGTGCCACCCTCTGTTCGTTCGTACCCGATCGTTCTGACACGCTTGGCCTCGAATGCGGAGTGCAGTCGGGGCGCTGACCTAAGGAACCCTAAATAAGGAACGAGGCCCCTTTTCTCCAGAAGTTGAGTTTCGATGTCCCATGGAAAACCTCAGGAAAACAGAAGGCAACCTATAGAACAATCAAGGAACACCGAGCCACTCCCCGACGAAAAGGGTTCCTTCTGCAGGGCCCCGGCTGTACCTGCCTGAGCTGACATCAGGACATCAGGGGCGGGCCCGGGCAGCGATGCGAGCTCCGTACCTGACGCAGCAGTCGTCGGCGCTCCCCACCTCATTCACCTCCTTGCGGAGCGGGTGCTATACAAGCGCGCAAGTGCGAATGACGATGACAAGTACGAGCGATGCATTCGCTGGATTTCCAATGCAGCCCCATGGTATACCACTGTAATATGTCTTCGATGGTCAGCCTCGTTCCATGGTAAACAACTGCACCTTTGAGTCCGCTATACTCTCAAGCAACAGTCTAATATTGATGCTCCCTAAACGCTCTGGCACATCAGCATTGGAAACACTCAAGTCATCCAAGTTCGCTCATTTGAAGCGTTTGGAGGAGGGGGTGAAGGAGCAATGAGCAATGATCAATGCGCGGGGAGTTCAAGTGAATTGCTTGACTCACGCCGACACTGACCACGAACTCTGCGCAACCGAACGTATGGGAGAATGGGATTAAGCTTCAAGAAAGCATGGGGCAACCCCCACTCGCAGACCAGGCGGAGGGAAGACGAGGAGAAGGACGAGGAGGGGGAGAAGGAGGAAGTGGAGCAAGGAGAAGATCAGGGAGAAGTGCGCGGCAAGCGATTCTTCGGGTTGTCGTCATACATTGCTTGATGCGCGCCAAAAGTCACACTTCACGATGCAGAGCTAACTCCTATTGAAAACTCCAAGCTTTGTGTATCTAAAGGGTGTACTCCAATCCGTCTCTCGCCGAACTGAGTCCATACCGGCCCAGCATAAGGTTGTCATGCTGAGCGCGCAGCTCCAACCAGCAAGGATACGAAATCTTTCTCGGTCCCTCCAGAGGTTCGTTCTTGAACGTCTACGGCGCGTGGCGAGGCGACGCGCGAATCAATGTCACTCAACGCTCCGCGGGTGACGGAAAGCGCAGCGTAGAAGCGGCACAAGAGGGGCTCGGAGGGGACATCTGGGCACTCAGGGCACGAGTACTCAGAGACGACACATTTATGGCGCTCCATGGGGTGTAGGTCTCCACAGGGCCATCCGCCGCTGGGGGGGCGTGTTCTCGACGGCTGGCGCGAAGAGGGGTGGCCTTTAGCGCTGGCGACGGCGTCTGCCATGGCAGCGCGGTGGCTGCAACGAAGAAGCAGCAGACCCGCAACTGGCACCCACGTGGGATGCAGGCGCGGGAGCCGTGGCAGGTGCAGGAGGTGCTGGCCGGGGCCCCGTTTTTGTTATCAAACTAACTCCAGGCAGCGCTCGCGCCGCGCCAGACGAGTCGCCCAGTCGGTCCACGTCGGGTGGGACACCGAGCGAATCGGACGGGGCGGCAGGAGCAAGGAACAACGACGCCACCACCACCAGAGCGAGGAGCCAGGGGCGGCCCCCCCTGGTGGTGACGTCCCCCCCCTCCTCGCGCGAGACATCCCCCGGCCCCAGCTCGAGGGAGGCACTGTGGACCCCCTCGACGGAGGTGGACCCCCCTGGTGGTGGCGGTGTCGCGTCTCCTCCCTCGCAGGGCGGGCACGCACGTGCAGACCTCGGCGGTGCAGGGGCAGCGGCCCGGCGCAGGAAGGGACGACACGGAACCGAATGCCGACGCGTGCTCGCACTGGATTCACACTGCTGCCCGAGCGGCTCGGCGAGATGCGCGGGACGTTTACGAGAAACAGTGAGCCGCAAGGGCACGTGGGCATCCTCCTCGAACGGCCCTTGGGCCTCAGAGGAGGAGGAGGAGTATGATGATGATGGTGATGATGATGCTGCTGCTGCTGATGATGATGATGGTGGTGGTGAGGAGGAGGAGGAGGAGGAGGAGGAGGAGGAAAATAAGGGGGAGGAGGAGGAGGAGGAGCGGCAGCAAGAGGAGGGATGCGGAGGAATGAGGATGTGCATCAGCCATGAACGTCGTGGTGGCTTCGGTGAATACTCCCCGCACGATGGCATGAGGGAGGAGGGAGGAGAAGAAAGGCAGAGAGCAGTCCGGGGAGGCGGAGATTCTCAACGCGTCATTAGGGCTCGAAGACTGAGCAGAACGAACCAGACTATTCAGAAGCAAGTGGCCCCACCAATACCCCACCTGGCCCCTCCCCCCCTCCTCAGCCCTCCTGTAAGGCGCCCCCTTCAACTCCCTCTGTTCTCCTATCCCTTGACCACCTGGCCCCGCACACCCTATCCCTCGCCCATCGGGTCCCGCCCCCTTCGCTCAATCCACCTCGTCCCTCTCTCAATTCGCCCGACACCTCCAAGACCAATGCAATCATGCAGCCTCCTAGTCCCAAGAGGAAGATGAAAGAAGGAGAAGGAGGCGGCGGAGGAGGATCAGACGGAGAACGGGAAGGAGGATAAATGAAGAGGAAAGAAGAGGAACGATCCCCCACCCTGCGTCCACACGTGAAGGGGGCTTTGGGGCCCCGCCTGGCTTTCTCGGGGCACAAAGCCTGAACTTAGATTTCTCTAGTTGATTTCTCGGATTTCGCCAAGTCTGCCGAGCGGAATAGCGTCCGCCAGCAACGCCGCCACCGTTTGGCTTTCGCGGGCGATGCTTCGATGTCTCGGGCGACGGCGAGGACGAGAACGACGACGCCCAGGCCCTGTCCTGTAGTGCGTCTTGGCCAGATTTTCGAAGGGAGTCCAGCGGTGGCGACGAGACGCTTCCCGGAGGCCCAAAACTGCCCAAGGACATCGACGATGACGACGACAAGGGCGAAGAGGACGACGAAGAGGTCGACGACATCGCCCTCCTTGGAACTTGGAACGCCCGAGAACCTCGACCCAGCCGCCCCCAGCCCCCCCCCCCCCCCTGGGTTCTCGGAGACGGCTTGGCGGCGAGCCCGGGCGGGGAAGTGAGACGGAGAAGTCCTCCTCAGAAGGCCTGGAAGTCTCCCGGCCTTCTGGGACATTTTATTTAAGCATCCCCCTGAGACGCGGACAACTTCCCAGAAGGCGCGAGGGCTTCTGAGAAGTCCCGCCGCCGTCTGAGAAGGCCTTCTCCTTCTCACTTCCCCCCCCCCCCCCTCGCTCTCCGCCGAGAAGAGAGAGGTGCACGCGCTGCACACGTCACAGGGGGCCCCAAACAGGGGCCCCCCTGGGGCCCGAAACGGGCACGGAAGCTGCGCGCTTCTTCGCCCGCCCAGTTTGTCGCCCCCCTCGAACGGCGGTCCTCCAGGTCGTTGCCCAGGTACTCCACCCCTTCCTCGGCCGCGGGGGCAGGGAGCCACGGCAGGGGGCCGCCGGCGCCGCCGCACGGCCCCCCCCCAAGGCAGCAGCGGAGAGGGTGAGGAGGACGCATCCAACCAATGCCTTAGGAAGTGTCCTCCTGTGCACGTTGGGGTTCCTCCGAGCCAGCGGGCGCTAAACTCGTCGGTTCCGACTGCTTGTGCTTGCCTCTTCGTCCTCCATGTCCTCCTTCTTCCCATCGTCCACCACTCTCCGTTCTCCATCCGTGTTCCTACATCCGCCTGCTCGGGCGTCTCCCTCCGACACATCCTCTTCGCTACTGTCTTCGTCGCATCGTCTTCGTCCTCGTCCCTCCCTCTGCCGCCCCTTCCTGCTGCCGCCCCTTCTTTTCCCCACTGCATCATCCCCATATCCCTCATCATCCCCCTCTCGCTTCTCGTTTCTCATTTCTGCCCCCTCCCAAGAGACATCCTGACGCTTCTCTTTCGACCCGGCTCGAGCCGTATGGAGGGGGATCCAGCGGCCAAGACGACGAGATATAGGCCCATCCCCTTTATGGGGCTCCCGCGGGGGGTCACACGGGCGTGCGAGAAGGGACGAGGGCTGCATGTAACTTTAGGTCTGGCATGTCCTCCCACAGGCGGATTTTGGACGAAAGAGCAAAACATCCCAAACAATGCTCAAAAATAATCAAAACAATATCAAAACATCGTCCGCTTATTTTTTTTAAACAATGTTTGAATTTTCTTCCTGTAGCGGGACGTGCCCGACTTACATGTAACAGCGCGCAGCGCTTCCATGCATCGGGGGCGCCCTGCTTGCCATGGGCGGATCCGAAGAAGCCTCAAAAGGGGCCAGCCTGCCTGGAACCTGCTGGAGGCCTTTTCTGGAGGACACCGGGAGACCATCTGAGCGGATCTCAATTCCTTGAGGCTCCTGGGGCCCCCTAGGGTTAGGTCGGCCGTGCCCTCCCATTGGCGGGTTTTGGAGGAGAAATAAGACATACCCCCCAAAACATCAAAGCATAGCCAAACACACTCAACAACTCGTTCCCGTACCTTCTTCTTTGGTTTGGCAAGTTTTGGATCTTCCTCCTGTAGAGGGACAGGCCCGACTTCACTCTAGTGTCTCATGGCAACCCCTTGCACCTCTCATCCAGAGGGGGGCGGACCGCTCCGCGCCGCGAGGCGTCCCAGACCTGACGATAGACCGACGGCGGTCGGAACCCAAAACCGGAGGGCAGCACATCCGCCCCGATGGTGCCCACCCCGACGCGCGAGGCCTTCAGCAAACGCGCTCTGCCCCCAGCGGAAACAAAAAAAGACTGACCGAACGGAGCGACAGGACGAGGCCGACGACCGATGGGCACGCCTAGACCGACGACGGACGACCGCGGCCCCGGAAGACGTGCAGAAGCTCCCCGGGAGGCGAGGGAGGGGTAGCAGAAGTGGATCGCACGGAGGGCGCGTTCGCCAGGGCTGTTTGAGCAGGGACCGACCGTCCCGGCGTTCTTAGAACCCGAAAATGTTCTAAGAGCAAAAACAATGTTCTTAGAACATAAACCCGCTGTGTTAAATCAAGACAATCTCAACTAGAAATGTTCTAAGAACATTTTGTGGAAACCAACAAAGGTTCTTAGAACATTGTTTGGTAGGGCTATAGGCGAGCCAAGACGTTTCGCCACAGCTTGGGCTGTTGAATAAACGCCCCGGGCCGTGCAGCAAACGCCTACTGCCCGGCCCGAGCGGCTCTGCCCCTCCCCCGACACACGCTGCGAGCCGCTCCCAGGAGGAGCGGGGCGGCCGAGCGCACGGCCCCTGGCCGCCGCGAGCTGGAGGCGAGATGGTACAGAGGGGAGGCGGGCGGGCAGAGCAGTGCGCGGAGCGGAAGCGAGAGCAGTCGGGGGGAGCAGGGCAAGGGGGAGCAGGGCAAAATGGTAAGAGGGGGGACGGGCGGGCAGAGCAGCGCGCGGAGCGGAAACGAGAGAGGGGGGAGGGCGGGGAGACGGGGAGCAGTCGGGGAGAGTAGGGCAAAGTGGGAGTCGGGGGGGGCAGGGCAAAATGGTACAGAGGGGAGACGGGCGGGCAGAGCAGCGCGCGGAGCGGAAACGAGAGAGGGGGGAGGGCGGGGAGCAAGGAAGAGAGGGCGTCTTGCTTTAGCTCGCAGCGTGGCTCCACAAAGGCCTGGACTGGCTCCTGGGGGCCGGCTCTGCATCCTGGGTTGCTCGTGGCGGTCCCGGAGCCTGGCTTGGGCGCCAAGAAGCCGAAAACCAGCCAGTCCGATAGTCGTTTCACGTCGTAGGAGGTGTGAGCGATGGAGCTTGGAGTACCACGTGGGACCTGCTCTAGAACAGGAGCTCTCCGTAGACGGATCTGCCTTTTCTCGGCCCTTGTACTGCGCCGAACGCAACGGCCGCGCTGTCTATAGAGGCATCCACCCCGAATGCGTTTTTTGACGTAGCAGCACCCTTTGTGTTCATAGGCGTTTGTGGTCAGAACGTTGGGGCGGTATGTGTCGGCGGTGGACAAACCTCCCTTTAGTAAACCTCCCTTTAGTGGAAACGGCCTGGGACCGAGACCGACGGACCTGGACCCGCAAAAATGACGGCCGCGACGCCCTCTCGCAAACCGAAAACGGCTAATTCCTTAATCGACGTGTCAGGGTAGGAGGTCTATCCACCTCCGCATTTGGCACAGGCCCCAGATACTGGCCTTCTACAAGCAGGTGAACTTCGCCCTCCAAGATGGAGCCCCGGAAGGACGGCCCCCCAGGACGCACAGCTCGGCAGGCACGCTCCTCGATCAGGCCGCACGCCATCGCCTTGACGGGCGCACTGTCCCTCTCACCCGTCCACTCTCTCCCTCCCTCTCCCTCCCCCCCATACTGTTGCGTGACAGTGCTGCACACTACTCTCCTCTCTCCTATGACTCCGCCGGGTTGTTTTACACACGGGAGCTCACACCGTGTTGTCACAGCACGTTCGTTTGCAACCCAGTTGTTTTGAAATGGTGCCGCCGCTGCAGCGTAGGCCTCATTTTCGGATCGGCGCTTTGCTCCAGTCCTTCAGAATAGCGCTCTCGCTCCAGCGCGGGCCACTTTTCTGGATCCAAGTCCTTTTTCATCGTTGTCGCCCCGCCTTCCCCTGGTCCTCCTGCTCATCCCGCTCCTTCCACTCCAGTTCCTGCTGCTGCTGTTCGTTCTCTCGTCCTCATCCTTCCTCATCCTCCTCCTTTGCCTCCTGCTCATCCTTCTGCTCACTCGCCACCCACACCTCCTCCTATTCCTCCTCTTGGCCCTCCCACGTACGCAGCTCAAAGATTTCCGATTGCACATGGCACGATGGAATATTTGTTGAGTTCCAGGTAGGCTGTGACACGCGTCCGCGGATAGAGAAACAATCAGCGCAACGGGAAGGGATGTGAGGGAGGGAGACGACCTAGCTTGCCATCCCTCTCTCCCCCTGTCCCCCGCTCCCTCTCTCATCAACTCCCCATCTCTCTCCCTCGCACTAGCGCTTCCCGTCCACTCTCCCTCTCCCCCTCGCGCACGGGCTGCGAGAATCTTGCCAAGACTGATCGGGGTGAGCTATCCCGAGCCTCAGAGGCGTGCCACTCGAGCAGTGCACAGCACGCAACGCAAATAGCGGCGGCGGTCGAGTGAGTTCGCCACGGCCGCCGTCAACGCACCTCGGTGCGCTCAGCTGGTGTTCCCAGTGCTCTCCCCCTCCCCCTCCTCCTCCCCCGTGCCCCAGACCGCACTTTGGGCCGCGACGATCCGTCGGCAGCAATTTACCACGCGTGTGATTCAGCTCTGGCTGCTTTGGATCGTATTCGAAATGATTCGATGCAGGCTTTAAGCGCCACTCGCGCAGAGGCCCGAGGGTTGCACTTCTGGGTCTCATGCACAAAACGGTTTTGGGCAGAGGACCGCAACATGCTCAATAATTCTTTCAGCTGAAAAACAGACCACGAGGTCGTCCAACTGGAGGTAACGTCTGCAACTAGTGGAGTACAAAGAAGGGCACTGGACCAACTTCGCGTTACCGCATCCTCCCCCGACCAATTACAACGGGTATTCTATGTTGGAATTGGCTTCGACTAGCAAACGCCTGCCAGCCAGGCTAGTCGAGAGATCCAACACCGTTTCTCTCTTTCAGAGCGGACAGCAAGATTTTCTCCGGCAACGCGCCAGCAGCGGGGAAACAGAGTGGGCGAGGCTACTCGGCCCGCGCGTCCCCTGGCACAGGCACCCTCTGAGCAAGTATGCTTCGTGAGAGGTCACCAGGGGTGCTGTTTTCGCTGTGAAATACCGGCTGTCGCTAGATGTGCCCCTGGCCCAAGGTGCCCCCAGGATTCTCGGGGGGTCCCAGGCGGCCTCCAGAGAGCACCCCTCACGAGGCCCAGAGGGCCCCAGGGGCTCCAAAATGGAGCGAACAACTGGGGGCACCGTGGGCCAGGGGCACTTCTAGCAACACCCGAGAATAGACCCTGCAAGCGCGCGCGTGGGCATGCGGGCTCTCTCCGGCTGGGCCTCGACCGGCGCCGGCTCGAGCTGCAGCGCGGGAGCCTGTGGCCCGCCCCGGCAGGCGCCGGCTGCGACGGCATTACCCGCCCCCTGGCCCTCTGTGCAAAAGGGGCACTGGCTCAAGGTGGGTTGGGGGGGGGGACATCGACCTGGAATCCGCTCGTGCCTGGGCGGGGTGGGGCTATCAGACCTCGATCGGCGATTAAATGGCCATTAGGGGTCGATGCGCTACTACATTCCCAGACATGCGACGTCCTGATTTTTTCAGGACGGCGTTCCCAGAAGTCCAGACCCTATCCTTGGGACCGGCTTTTCATCCTGAGTCATTTTTTGACGGTCCCGAGGCCCGGCGAGGGCCCCCAGGGGCCGAAAATAGCGAAACACCTTCCGCCCTGATTTTTTAACGACGCCATCATGTCTGGGTTGAGCCTGCCCCCTCCCCCCCCCTCTCGTTGCCCCTCAGCCCTGGCCTCCTCACTGCCTCCGTCGCTGCCCCTGCTGCTGCAGGCCGGTGCGGGTGCGGCCGGTGCTGCTCCTCTGCCGAGCTTGCCTCCTGCTCGTGGTCTTCGCCTCCTGCGCGTGCTGCCTCCCTTGCTGCTCCTTGGCGGCGGCATTCCCATCTTCTGCTGGCCCGCCGCCTTCTCCTCCTCCTGCCCCTCTATCTGCTCCTGTCAGCCCTCCATCTCCATTCTTCTTCTTCTTCTTCTTCTACCTCCTCCTCATCCTCCACCTCCTGACCCTGATCCGCTGCTGCTCCACCTCCTCCTGGCCATCCCCTTTACTTCTCCTTCGTGCTCCTTTCTCTGCCTCCTCCTCGAGGAGGCCGCAGAATCAGCAGCGACGCCGTCTCCAGACTGCCCACGGGAGCAGCAACCAAGGTGGCCATGGAGAAGGATTGCATTTTGGGACAGGACTTCGACTGGCGCGCTCATATTTCCCAACCATCCTGTGGTGTTGGGTCCTCGTTTTGAAGAGACGGCGCCCCGCGTTCCTCACCTCCTCCTCCTCCCCCCCCCTCCCTCCTCCCATCATCATCATCATCATCATCATCATCATCATCATCATCATCATCATCATCATCATCATCATCATCATCATCATCATCATCATCACCACCACCGATTTCGGCACACCCCTCACACGTTTCGTGGCCCCATAGGGAGCTCCACCGAAGGCCCCAGTGGCAGGTCCGCATGCCTCCCCACCACCCATTTCGGCACACCCCTCACACGTTTCGTGGCCCCATAGGGAGCTCCACCGAAGGCCCCAGTGGCAGGGTCGCATGCCTCCCCACCACCCATTTCGGCACACCCCTCACACGTTTCGTGGCCCCATAGGGAGCTCCACCGAAGGCCCCAGTGGCAGGGTCCGCATGCCTCCCCACCACCCATTTCGGCACACCCCTCACACGTTTCGTGGCCCCATAGGGAGCTCCACCGAAGGCCCCAGTGGCAGGGTCCGCATGCCTCCCCACCACCCATTTCGGCACACCCCTCACACGTTTCGTGGCCCCATAGGGAGCTCCACCGAAGGCCCCAGTGGCAGGGTCCGCATGCCTCCCCACCACCCATTTCGGCACACCCCTCACACGTTTCGTGGCCCCATAGGGAGCTCCACCGAAGGCCCCCGCAGTGGCTGCGTTCGCATGCCTCCCCACCACCCATTTCGGCACACCCCTCACACGTTTCGTGGCCCGTGGCAGATCGTTACTCCACCGAAGGCCCCAGTGGCAGGGTTCGCATGCCTCCCCACCACCCATTTCGGCACACCCCTCACACGTTTCGTGGCCCCATAGGGAGCTCCACCGAAGGCCCCAGTGGCAGGGTTCGCATGCCTCCCCACCACCCATTTCGGCACACCCCTCACACGTTTCGTGGCCCCATAGGGAGCTCCACCGAAGGCCCCAGTGGCAGGGTCCGCATGCCTCCCCAACACCCATTTCGGCACATCCCTCACACGTTTCGTGGCCCCATGGGGATTTCCACTGAAGGCCCCAGTGACTGGGTTCGCATGCGCCCCCACACCCATTTCGGCACACCCCTCACACGTTTCGTGGCACCATAGGGAGCTCCACCGAAGGCCCCAGTGGCTGCGTTCGCATGCCGCCCCCACACCAATTTCGGCACACCCCTCACACGTTTCGTGGCCCCACAGGGAGCTCCACCGAAGGCCCCAGTGGCTGCGTTCGCATGCCGCCCCCACACCAACTTCGGTGCACCCCTCACACGTTTCGTGGCCCCATAAGGAGCTCCACCGAAGGCCCCAGTGGCAACGTTCGCATGCCGCCCCCACACCCATTTCGGCACACCCCTCAAACGGTTCGTGGCCCCATAGGGGGATCCACCGAAGACGGTACTCACACCAGCATTACTCACAACTGCATATGGTTGGGTCCTTTGCCAGGCTAATTTTCTTGAGCGTCGCATCGATACCGATGAGGCCACCCATCAGGTGACAAGGAGGGTTTGAGTGAACGGGTGCAGCTTTCGGTTTCCGATTTGCGTCGGGCCTGACTCGCTACCAATGTTTCGATCACGTATGTACCAGTTTCACAATCAACTGGTCCCACTACTAATGCACATATCGATCTAGCTGTATATGTAGGCATGCCAATCCCAACGGTCATTCAATACATTGGTACCAAGGCCTATCTACATATTGGAATACTTGTCCGTCGACCGATCCTTCCAACGGACTATCTACATTGGCAAGCCTCTTGCCATGTTTATCGGAAACAGGTCGCCATGAAAACTTCGGGCCGCTAGCTTGTCTGTTGCTTAACGGGCCAATGGGCATATCAATCTGCATCATGAACCGCGTCCGTGCTTTCAGCGCCTGGAGCGACCGCGATTTGAAGCCAAACGCTAAGGCCAATCCAAGACAAGCCCACCTAGCTCCATGTCAATTCAGCTTAGCACCGACATGGTGATCGTACACCTTACAGAAGTGGCAACCAGTGCGCCCGAGGTGCTAACCCGCGCGTGTGTTTATGCTAGGACTGGCGCGCACCATACGAGCCCTTCGGATAGATTATGGGCCCCGCCAGCAAGCCCAATCGAGGACCTCTTCCTCCTCAACTTGTCCTCTTCGGTGCATGAGCTGTCCCTGCTGGTGAGCCCTCTGCTGATGAGACCTGCTCCTTGGTCTTTGGCCCATCTGAGCTGCCCCTGTCGGTCAGCCCGCCACATTTTTCCTGCACCTCCTTCTCCTGTTATTCCTGCGCCTGCTTCACCTTGCCCTCCTCCCAGAACTCTTCCATCTTGTTACGATACTGCCCACGCACCCCCTTGCAGGGCACCGAAGTAGATGGCGACGGTGTAGTAGTCGATGTTTCCTCAGCGAGAGGGGGCGGCACCTCTTGATCGATTCTTGCTCTGTCCCCGCTCGCGTGCTCGATTGACCGGTGGCCCACAGACTGACTCTGCAGGACGCCCCACCCAGCACCCTGAACCATCAAAAACTGCACAAAGAGTGCGACGCGCGCGTTGAAGCAATCTGTCTCCATGGCGAGAGGCCTCTCAGGACGTGGCGGGGAGGCACGTGACAGCTAGAGAATCCATTCCTCTGCCACGGGATTCTTTCCAAACGTTGCGGCATGCATGATCCTGGGAAAATCTCGATGCAATGGCTACGGCCCAAGCCGGCTACAAATCTTTCTCTTGGGAAGATCAGGACACAAGTTCAATCAAGCCTCACTTTCGCAAGGCGCTCCTCGATCACCGATTGTCTTTAGGGACGCTCTTGACCAAACAGTATACGATGGGCACTGATCGGCAATATTGCATTCAATTTGGGAATAATGTTCTGCGCTGCGCCATCTTCCACGCGCTCAACAGATCTGCACATGATCGCGCGTTTTCGCACACACACACAAACACAAACACAAACACAACCACAAACACACAAACACACACACACACACACAACTGGTCAACTGCCTCCTCCTGCAAACGCTTCGCGCACTGCCCATATTCTGCACATCATCGGCGCCACCTCCAGCTCGTCGCTCGGGCTCCCGTGAAAGAAGCCTTGTCGGGGCAAGATGGGAAGGGCGGAGGAGGATGAACCGCGGACCGATGATGAAGACCGCGAAGGACGAGGTGGAGGCGAACGGCCGCGGCGCCCCCATCGAGAGCCGAAGACCGACGACTCACCGATCGACGCGTCAGGGTAGGGGTTATTATTATTATTCTTATTCTTATTCTTATTATTAGTATTAATATTATTCTTACTTTTTATATGTTTTATGATTATTATTATTCTGCTTATGTTCTTATTCTTATTTGGGTGGGGGTCCCCCCTGAAACGAACTGGGCCCCGGAGGCGGTACGGTTGGCTCGTGGCCGCCACCCGCCGCCCGTCGCCGCCCGTCAGTCGCCGCAGCGTCTGGCCGCGACCTCTGCGATCTCTGCATCGCACTACGCTGCCTCACAGTACCTTTTACGCTGGTTTGCATCTCTTCGCACGGCTTGGCATTCCTCAGCATTGCTTTGCTTTGCCTTTGCGTCGCGTTGCTTTGCCTGGCTTTAATGGCGTTGTTTTGCATGGCGTTGCATGGCGCTGCATTGCTGCGCGTTGTTTTACACTGCGTTGCGTTGCCTGGCATTGCTTTGAACTGCGATGCATTGCGGTACATCGCTTTGCATTACTTGGCATTGATTTCCATTGCATTGCATAGCTTCGCGTTCCTTTACATTGCGTTGCATTGCATTGCGTTGCTTGGCATTGCTTTGCCGTGCTTCGCATTGCTTTGAACTGCATTGCTTGCCCTTGCTGTGCGCTACTCTGCATTGCGTTGCACACATAGACTGCGCCACATGCATTGCAGCACCTAGACTGCACCACATGGACCGCACCACCTGGATTGCGCCGCATAGACTGCAAGACTTCAGTGTTTGGGATCGGATTTGATCGAGCCTTATTGGTGCTGTCCTGCCCTATCTTGGAGGCAAGCCGTCGCTATTTGCACCTTGATTTGTCCCATTGGTCGTTCCGCCTTTTTACTTTGTCCTCCTTTCAGCCCCTCCCACAAGGCCGTTTCGATCTACGCTGGCTAACATTGCCGTCTTGACGGAGCAACCGATGTCGGGCCGACCCCGCGCGGATCTGCCTTGCCGCGTCGTGCTCCAACTCCTCGTCGCCCCTGCTGATGCCCTTGCTGCTGGGCGCGCGCACCCAGCCTGCAGCCCGCGAGCCACAGTATCTTCACGAGCTTTGGTGCCAGCTGTAGGTCGGGCATGTCCCCCTACAGGCGGATTGGGATTTTTGTTATATATATATATATCACAAAACAATGCTCAAAAACTAGCCGAGGAATGCTCAAAACATCGTCCCCATTCTTTTGGTTTCTGACTATTTTGGAATTTTCCTCCTGTAGAGGGACGTGCCCGACTGAATGCCAGCTTGGGACCCGCCGCCCTTGGGACGGCCCCAAGCCCCAAGGCGGCCCCAAGCTCGTCCACGACGGCCAGGAGGGAACCACGTCCTCCTCCTCACCGTCGTCGTCGTCGTCGTCGTCGTCGTCGTCGTCGTCGTCGTCGTCGTCGTCGTAGGTGCCAGCTTGGGGCCCGCCGCCCAAATGAATCGCCCTGGCGATCGCGAGATGACCCGCCTCGGCACGTCGCCCTACGTGCCCGGCCTGGCCCGACGCGCGTCTGGCGACGGTCCAGCTGTCTTTGTTCTACTGTTTTGGAAGATTCCTCCCGTAGAGGGACATGCACGACTTGACGACAGTCCAGCCCGATGTGTCCTGGGAGCAGCCCATCGATAGGTAGCTCGACGGGTGGGACCGCTGCTGTAGTTGCAGGCGGGCCGTGGGCGAAGAAAACAACATACGCAAAAACTGTTCGAAAAATATTCAGCCGTACTCGAAAAAACGTTCTCCGCTTTTTTTGTAAGGTGTTGAAACTTCTTCGTGGGGGGGCCTTCCGAACAGGAAGGGGGCCCTCCTCGTGCCGCAGAGGGCTCGGAGGCTCCACGGCTCGCCTGGACGTCGCAGGCCGCTGAGGGGGCAGGTCGCACCCCGGTCTTTGGATCCATAGCAGTCGCGCGGAGGCACGCCATCCTTGCACCGTTTACCCGCCTCGAACGTATCCCTATCCCTAAGATTGACACGCCCAAAGGCGATGACAATCTTAGGGATCCGCCCTCAAAAAATAAGGGGATCCCTAAGATTGGCATCGTGATGAGGAGGTGCCCAGCATAGGGATAGGGATATGTTCCAGGCTGGTAAACCGTGTGGAGGAACGCCACCATCGCACCGAGTTTGCCAGCGCCAGCGCCCCATGGGCAAGATCCAACAGCCACTGACCACGACACCAAGCAGGCATCGACGATGAACGCCAGGGCCCATGGGCTGGCTCCGCTGGCGAAGGGACACGAAACCGAACAGCCAGATCAACAGGCGCCAAGCTGCTACGGGTTGGACCCCGGTCAACAAAGCGAGCCCGACAGGGGTCACCTCCCAAAGGGGCAATCAGAATTCCCGCGTGCACGACAGGTCTGGGGAATATGCACCAAACTTGTCCACGTGGCAACATGCATCATGATGTATTGCAGCGTGGTGCGCTGTATTGAACACGGCGCGTCGCGGCGCATTGCGCTGCCATGTGCTGTAGAGCACGCGTGCCTGTACGTGTGAAGCTCTGCGTAGGCTGCTCCCCCCCCCCAGAGGCGGGGCGAAGCGCTTGTGATCTTGTGCCCGACCACCTGCAAGAAACTCTTGCGCTGCTCCTGCGGCATGGGCGCTCCTCGCCCTCCTGCTCTTGATCATGCCTTTCCTCGCCTCCTCGTCGCCGGTCTCCTCCTCTTCCTCCTTCTCGTTCTCCCTCCTCGTCCGCCTCCGCGTCCTCCCGCCCCCCGTGCTGACGCCGCTGCGTGCGCATCAGCCTCGGCAAGTATCGCATACCGGAGAGGATAATGTTCTTCAGTGCCAGTCCCCCACCGAGAGCCGAGCGCAGGCGTTGTTTTCTCGGTCAACAGCTTGTCTGTGAGCATTGCTGTATGCGTCCCTTCTAAGAAAATAGTGGGCACTGTCCCACTTTAAACCCTATCCTGCATCTTTATCCCTGTCCCTGTCCCTGTCCCTACTCCTATCCTGGCTCCTATCCCAATCCTGTCTACCTAGCCCTAAATCCCAATGCCTACCACTATTCCGATCCATATCTCCATGCCGATCCCCAAATCGTAGCCCCCCACTGTGGCGCCCCATCGTGACACCCATTGTGGCCCCCCCACGTAATTGTGTGAAGCTGCTTAGAATATTCTGCTGCAGGGGTATGCTTTGTTCGTATCGGATGTATCCCGTAGGGAAAGTATGTGTGAGTAAGAGAGAGAGAGAGAGAGAGAGAGAAAGAGAAAGAGAGAGAGAGAGAGAGCAGCCGCTTCCTCAACGCCAATGTTAACGCACCGTCCTCACCACCGCCACCACCATGCTAACAGTGATCATCAGAACCGTCGTCGCCAAACTCATCCTCCTTTTCCCGACCTTATAGTCGTTTCCCTTCCAGTCATCATTCATACTTGTCCTCCTTCGACTCCTTCTCTTCATTCTGTCATCCACTTATAGCAATCACCTGCGTCGTCGTCATCGCCATCCTCCTCCTCGTCCTCCCGAATCCTGACCTCCTTACCCACTCTACGAGGATGAAGTAGACAGGGTGGTGGAACAACCCTAGGTGAAAACCAATGGGAGATGACCAATTTGGAACTGATTTCCCTCGCACTCCAACATAACTCTGATTATCCTCCACATGCGCTTCACCCTCGAACTTGTTTCCCACCTCGTCGTCGTCCTCGCCGCACTCGTCGCCCTCGTCGCATTATTCGTCGTACTCCTCGCGCTCGTCCTCGTCGCACTCGTCGCGCTCGTCCTCGCCGCACTCGTCGTTCACCTCGCGCTGTGCATCTCCCCCTCGTCGTCGTCCTCGTCGCACACGTCGTCCTTGTCCTACTGCTGATTTCTTTCCTCCTCCTAATCATAAGTGTCCTCCGCCTGCCCCTGCCGCAGCCACCAGGCGACGCATCCTCTCTCTCTTTGACAAATATTCTGCGGCGCTCGGCGTCGATGTTTCAGGAGCCTCGAAGGTCGCAGACCAGGGATGTCGGCAGTGCTGTAGCGGCAGTGACGAGTGGTCCCTCCACCTCTTCCTCAGACTGCTCTTTCACCACGTCCTTTTCCGCCTCCTCCTGCTCATGTCGTCTCCATCGTCCCCTGGTCCTCCTGGTCCTCCAACTGCTGCTCCTCATTCTCCGCATCATCAACAGACTATCCTACGTCCCCCTCGATTGGTGCACGTATCCTCCTTGTCCTCCTGATCCTCCTCCTGCTCATCCTCCACTTCCCCGTCCTGCGCCTCTTCCTCCTCATGCCCCTCCTTCTCCCCCTCATCCTCCTCCTCTATTCTTTTTCCTTCTAAATAACTTCTCCCTGTCGCATCCCGGGGCCATTTTTTAGGGCGGGCCGGGCGTTTTGCCTGAGACTTCGTCACCATGTATGACTCTGAAGCTTAAAGAAAACGGCAACATTTTCACAGATGGAGGGCGGATTGTTTTTGAAAATGTGGCTCTCGGCTTAGCGCGGCGCACATTCGTCAACAACAAAAAACGCAAGAGCTTCACATATTGAGGGCGGGTGGTTTTCAAACTGTGGCTCTCGCCTTAGCGCAGCGCGCATTCGTTTAAATAATGTAAGGGTTTCACGCACTGATGCTGGTGGTTCTCAAACTGTGTCTCTCGCCTTAGCGCGGCGCGCATTCGTTTAAAACAACATTGCAATAATTGTACTGACTGAAAGCGAGTCGCTTTGTGCTCTCGCCTTAGCGCGGCGCGATATCGTTTAAAACATGCAAAAGAGTTTCACGGATTGAGGGCGGTTCCTTTTCAAAATGTGGCTCTCGCCCTAGCACGGCGCACATTCGTTTGAAACAAATGTTCAAGAGTTTCAAGGACTCCCATCACCAACGTACCAGAAATGGTCTTTTGGAAGGATTCCGGATTATGCGGGTGCAACAGATACGTTGATTCTCTGCGTTGAAGTCCTAGGACTGGCGTTCTGGCGCGAGTCAGGGTCGTCAAGACGCAACAGTCAGGTTGATCCGTGGCGTTGGAATCCCGAGAACAATGTTTTGGCATGCTTCAGGGTCTTCAAACTGGTGTCTTCCAACGAGGCAGTTCCATCAATGGAAATGAACCGTTGTAGGGGCCTACGAAATGGAGCTTGGAGGGAGGGTTTAACTCCAACATCGTTTGATGGCTCTTGGGGTTTCACTCGTCTTCCTCCTCCTCCTCCTCATCATCATCAACGTCCGCCGCCTCCTTCGCCAACTCATCCCCGATCCGCCCCTGTACTCCAAATCGCTTCTTAATCGTCCACCAGGTCCGGTTTTTTAAGGCGCCATTTTTGTAATTGTGAGGTCCGTTTTATTAGGGCGCTTTCTTTGGATTGGACCTTAGGGGGTCCGGTTTACTAAGGCGCCTCGTCGAAGAGGGGGGCCGGAATATTAGGTCGCATGCGGAGGGAGGTCTGGTTTTTTAGGGGGGTCGATGAATACGGGATTTGGACTAGTTTCAGGTCGGGTCTGTCCTCCTAGAGGCGGATTTTGGAGGAAAAATAAAAAATAGCCGAGACATATTCAACCATGATCTAGAGTAGCAGAAAAATCGTCCCCTGACTCTTTTTAAATCATCTTTGAATCTTCCTTCTGAAGCTTTGTGGGCCCCGGAAACGGCAAGGCCGTTTTTTCACTGTTTCCGAAAAATGTCCCTTGAAAATGGAAACGGCAAAAAAACGGCGACCGGAAACGGCAGCAAAAACGGCTCCAGGATTGGACCCGGAGCCGGAACCGGTAAAAAAACGACGACCGAACCGGTAAAACAACGGCGTCGGAACCGGCAAAAAACGGCAAAACGGAACCGGTAAAAAAACGGCCCTGTCTTTTCCAGGGCCCACTGAGGTAGAGGGACACGCCCCACTTAAGACCAGTTTTCCTATTCCTCCTCGCTCCTCTCCTTCCTCTCCTCCTCCTCCTCGCTCCTCTCCTTCCTCTCTCGCCCTCGCTCCTCCTCGCTCCTCCTCGCTCCTCCTCGCTCTCCTCCCTCCTCGCTCCTCCTCGCCCCTCCAATGTTCCTACTCCTCCTCGCTCCCATCCTGCTTCTCCTCCTCCTCCTCGCTCCTCTCCTTCCTCTCGCGCCCTCGCGCCTCCTTTCTCCTCCTGGCTCTCCTCCCTCCTCGCTCCTCCTCGCCCCTCCAATCTTCCTGTTCCTCCTCGCTCCTCTCCATGCCTCTCCTCCTCCTCCTCGCTCCTCTCCTTCCTCTCGCGCCCTCGCGCCTCCTCCTCGCTCTCCTCCCTCCTCGCTCCTCCTCGCTCCTCCCATTTTCCTACTCCTCCTCGCTCCTCTCCATGCCTCTCGCGCCCGCCCTGCCGCACGCCCCGCTGCCTCCGCGTGCCCGCCTGCCCGCCCGCCCGTCCTTCCGGGTGCCCGCCCGCCTGCGGGAGCGCCCGCCTGCCTGTCGGACCGCCTGCCTGCCCACTGCCGGGTCGGGCACGTCCCCTACATACATGCAGGGAGATTTTGGGGCAAAGATTAAGTCGGGACAGGGGGAGTGTCGACGAAAAATAAAAAACCCAACTAATAGTCCAAACATAGTCCCAAAATGGTTTGGGGACTATGTTTTGAATATTGTTCGACCATGTTGGGGCACTGTTGGGGGGTATTCTGTATTTTCCGTCAAAAATGCCCCTGTAGGGGGACAGGCCCGACCTAAGCGAAATATTGAAAAAGTAGCCCAACAATCTACAACAAAGAATCAACCATTGTCAGACCATCGTCCCATGTGGGGGGACAAGCCCGAACTAAGCGAAAGATTGAAGAAGTAGTCCAACAATCTACAGAAAAGAATCCACAACTGTCAGACCATCGTCCCCGGACTACTTGTTTTAAAACGACGTTTCTGGATACTCCTCCTGTAGAGGGACTCGCCCGACGTACCTCTGGCTGCCTGTCCCTCCGTGTCTCTCTTCCTCCCCTTCCCTCGGACATCTCGCAACGCTCCGGGCTCGGCCCGCCTGGGGAGCAGCCGCCGACGTGCCCTGGGCGCCGGGGCTCTCCGCTGCCACGCGTCTCCTCCTCGCGCTCCACTTTTCCTGCTCGCCAGACGTCTCCACTGACACGTGCCTATCGCCCCCGCGTCCACATGGCGTCAAGCCCGTTTCCCTCCTTTCCACCTCCTCCTGCTCCCTCCCGTGTCTCCTCCTGCTGTTGCTCCTTCGTTTCCTCCTGTTGTTACTCACTCGCCTGCTGCTGCTTCTTCTCTTCACTCACTTGTCCGCTCCCGTTTGGTCCGTATCCTCGCCAACTCCCTTTTCCCATCATCGTCCTGATCCGCCTCCTCCTGCTCCTGCTCCTCCACTCGCTCTTCATATCCACCTCATCTGATGATTCCTCCTGATGTTATACCATAATTGCCTCCCTCCTCCTCGCTGTTGTCACCTTCACCCTACTCCTCCACCTCGTTTTTGCAGTATTTTGTTCTAGCCAGCGTAAGCCATGTTGCGAATCTCGGCTGCCAAACATGTGTTGTGCTTTCTATGTTGCGCGACATATGTTGTGAATCTGATGCGGTGCACTAGATGTTGTGCAACTTAAATTGTTGTAGAACCAATGTGTGGTACAACCTATGTACTGCAATGTGGGCAACCTTCCATAAAGTCAACTACACTGCTCGCGGAATCACCCCCCCCCCACGCAACTTGGCTTACAAAAGCCATGCGGCGGCCATTGCGAAGACAGCTTGCCGCTGGCTGGCACATCGCTGAGGGTGCGCTAGCGCGCGCGCAGAGCGGCTAGCTAGTCTGGCGTGACCGGCGCGGCCGCGGTGGCGCTGAGCGCTGGGCAGTTCCTAGCGCGTCTCGCAGGCCGCTTTACGCGCGGGCACTTCATTGCGAGTCGGTGGCTCGGGCGGACGCGGTATCATGGCGACGTCGACAATGGCAGACGATACTCGTAGCGATGCTGATGCTGATGACGATGCTGATGATGCTGACGAGAATGACGACGGCGAGGCCAATGACGGCGCCGATGCTGATCACGCCAGTGACGATGGTGGCGTCCACGAGTCAATAATGAAAGTCTGACAGGATTTTGCCATGCGCATGCGGCCGACGCGCGCGAGTGGCCCTATTATTTGACTGGGATCACTCCGCCCCCCCAGCACGCGCGCAAGGGACGAATGATTTCGACTTGCGCGCGCGAGAGGCCAGTGTGTCGCATGCGATGAACATGTTGAAACAATCAGCAAATCCGCGCGCGCGCAGACGATTTTGAACACCCATGAAGCAGAACCAGTGGGTTTTCATATGCTTTCGGGACGCTTCTTTTTCCTTAGCGTCCCACCTCCCACGTTGGAAAAAAGCTGTCGACACCCGTCCGGTGAACACAATCGTAGGGAATCACAGGCCCCGCCAACCTTACAACCTCTGCCGACGGCATTATCCAGCCAAGCAGGCGCCAGAGCAGCCCTCGGCGCGCACGGGCCCGCAGCAAAGCTCAGGAAGACAGGCTGCGTGCGCTGAGCGCGATGGTGGTGGTAAGTTAGGCGAAGAGCAAAAAAGAAGGAGGAGTTCCCGCTTGCGGCCCCCAGCGCAGCAATCGCGGTAACACCGCATCCCGGCACCCAGCCGTGAGTCCGCCCGCGCGGTAACGCCGCCCCGCCTCGCGCCGCCCCGCGGCGAATGGCACGGCGGCGACCGACTCCGGAGCGCGGGGCCAAGCCGCAGCGCCACGGTAGAGACCGCGGGAGCGCCCGTTCCAGCATGTGCTTCCGCTCTCCAGAGTACTGCTCAGCGTCCGTGCTGCTCGCGGCAGTGCTGCTGGAGTCCGTTCTGTGGACGATGGTGCTGCTGAACTCCGTCGTGCTGCACGCGGTCGTTCTGCTTGAGTCCGTTGCAAGGCTCACGATGGCGCGACAACGCGATTCCGATGCAAATCACGGAAAAGTTAAAGCGAGCGCGTCATTCCTGAGTGTCGAGGGCGGGGCGTCTGAATAAATTGCGAGGAAGTCCGACGCGAGAGCGCGATCACTGCATACATTGCGAGGAAGTACCAGGCGGGAGCCGCTGTTGTTGTAGCTCGGGGCCCAGCAACGCAATTTGAGCAGGCAGACGTTCCCTTGTAAAAACAAGGTGAGAGCCTCGAGGGGTGCACCTCAACTGAAACAACAAAATGTGCACCTGTGGGGGGGGGGACCAACAATATTTTCTCAAGAATGGGAAATCAACAGTCATCATTTTAATACGGTTCGCTCTTGACTGCTCGCGTGCCAGTCATCGCGTTTATCCCAATCTCTCGATACCCGCCCACTTCGTCTTCGATCGTACGATCGTACCCCCTCTTGGGGGTATATCTTCCCTACCTGCCGCGCGTAGCTGGCGCAGCCCGTAAAACAGGGGAAGGAGTGAAGAGAAAAGGATTCGGGCGAAATTTGCAGGAGGAGGGTTGGGGGCGGGAGCGTAATCGGCAGACCCAGCCTTGCGCGTCTTGCGGGGGGACCCTAGCGGGCAGGTCGGGCGGGCGGGCCCAGACGGCCTGGTCGAGCGGGCGGATCGCTAAAGCGTCAAACCATCATTGGGAAAATTATTCTCGGGTTGGGAGGACTGGGTTGGGAGAATGCACTGTGTGAACAAAAACATCCAGATGCTATGAACGATACCTTCGGCCGCCTGCGTCTAGCGAAGGGGAAGCGTGTTGTCACCGCAGCGCCTGGGCCGCCAATCCAACACCGCGCAAGTTTGCTGAGAAACGGGTTGCAACCTGCAGTGGCCCTCTCGAGGCCATCTTTGACCCCTGGGAACTTCCCAACACGCAGGTTGCACCCTGCAGCCTACTTCGTGGCCCTCTCGGGGACCTCTGGGAGCCCTGCCGAGGCCTTCGGTGGGGCCGTCCAAGAGCCCTCTTGTGTGTTCTGGGCACTCTCAGGGCCATCTTGGCCCATCTCGGTTTTTGAAGCGACGCGGCGAACTCTGGAGGTAGACCAAGGGCATGAGCAATGCCGTGGGCCCTTGCAATTGCCCAAAGAATGATGAATTCCGCATCGGGCTCCTTATTGCGATCCGTTGCTGATACGGAATGCACCTATGGATTGTTCTTCGTGCTCATGCAAATTTCGGGAGGTCGCGGGACCGCAACAAGTTCTATATTCATTCCGTCCCTGATACGGAAGTAAATCGTGAAATCCGTAGATACGGAATCACTGCTGCGTTGGTTCGCTTCCGTTCTGCATGGGTTACGCCATGACTTCTGCATGAGTCGTTGGCACCGGCAATGCAGCATCTCTGCCGATCGGGCCTCAGAGGTAATTCAAAACCATGCAGAAGCCCAGCCAGTGACGCGCAGAGCAGGGCTCTTCGGGAGGAGCAAATGACGATGAAGGAGAGACGCGGGAAAGCGATGAGCGGGAACGTCGTTCCCAGCGATATGATAGCGAAGAACAAGCCCAAGTTCAAGCAGAAGTACCAGCGCAATCGGCAGGCAATTCAAGCTGCAGGGAGGTTGGAGGATGCGACGGCGAATGCCCGTGCACATGCCAATCTAAGAAGTACAATCAACATACGCGATCCGAAACATGATATGATCAAGTCTCCCAACCCCACGGTTCGCGATTCCTAAATCGATCGTCAGGAAATCCAGCGAGAACTCGCGATTTATCAATCTTGGGGGCACGGCGCCGAAATTAATAGTGAGAAAGAACCACGCGAGAGCGCGATCCCTGGATAACTGATCAGGCAGATCCCGAACGATAGCGCGATTTCTCAATGCATGGTGGGGAGGCATCGAGCCGGAGCAGCTGATGTTGTAAACCGGGGCCAGGGGCGCAGTCTCGTGACCATAAGCTGTCCCTGCGCTAGAGCCCAGCAACAATTCATATAAAACTGTTCGCTCCTATCAGCTCGCGTGCCATTAAATACATAAATCCCCAAACCTCGGTGCCCGCTCTCTTCGATGGGAACCTGCCACGTGCATGTAGCGAAGCCCCTGAAACAGGGGAAAAGAGGACGGACGGAAGGGGGAGGGAGAAGGATGGCGCACGAGAGAAATTACCAGGGGGGGAGCCGCGGAACAGAAAACACGTGGCAGAAACAGACAGGCAAAATCGGGCGGGTAGGCCCTACTGGACGGGTCGGAAAGGCAAGCCCAGGCGGCCAGGTCGAACAGGCGGGTTGCTGGAGCGTGAGTCCTGCATGAACCGCGAGGGAATCTGAAGGAGAAGTGCGATACCAAAGCGTGAGCGTGATTCCTGAATGTCGAGGGCGCGCCGCCTCAATCCATTGCGAGGGAGTCCCGCGCGAGACCGCGACTCCTGCGTAAATTGTCGGGAAGGGCTGCGCGAGGGCGCGATGTTTTCCAATGCGTGGTGAGGAAGAATCAGGCCAGAGCAGCTGTTTGTGGTAAACCAGGGGCCAAGGGTGCAATTTGAGCAGGAATACTGTCCGGATAAAAAAAGAAGGTGAGAGCCCCGAGGGGAGCACTTCAATGGAACAAAAAAACCCGGTGCGATGTCGTGGGGGACCAACAATAAATTTTCGTCAAGAATGAGAGTTCAACAACAACAACAACAACAGCAGCAGCAACAACAACAAAACCACAACCACCGCCACCACCATCACCAACAACAACAACAACAACAGCAACAATCATTTAAAGACTGCTCGCTCCAATTTGCTCGCGTGCTATTCAACACGTATATCTCAAACCCTCGGTACCCGCCCTCTTCGTCTTCGATCGTGCCCCATTTGGGGGTATACCTTCCTTACCTGCCACGTGCACGTAGCGCAGCCAATCGAGAAGAGGAAGCGAGGACGGATGGAAACGGGGAGGGAGAAACATGGAGCACAGGAGAGATCAGCCATAGGGAGGCCACGAGCAGCAAGCACGTGGCAGAACCAAGCGGGCAGATCGGGCGGGCAGACCTTGATGGGCAGGGCGGGAAGGTGGGCCCAGGCGGCCAGGTCGAGAAGGCGGGCTGCTGAATCGTGAGTCCTGCATGGATCGAAAGGACGCCTCGAGCGATAGCGCGATTCCCCAAGTAAACCACGAGAAAGGCAACAGATCGTGATTCCTGAGTGTCGAGGGCGCGGCGCCTGAATCCATTGCAAAGAAGTCCCACGCGAGAGCGCGACTCCTGCATAATTTGTGAGGGTGTTCCGCGCGAAAGCGCGATTTTGACATACATGTCGAACAATTAGCAGGCGGGAGCCGTTGTCGTTGTAGGAGGGTGCCTAACAACTCAGTTTGAGCACGAAGTTTTTCAATGAAAATCAAACAGGGTGCGAGCACAGGGCGGAACACTGTCATTGAAACATGCAATGTGCACCAGTGGGGTGGATCCGCAACAACTCTTGTTTAAGACTGTTCGCTCCTCTCGCGTGCCATTCAACACGTTTATCCTCAGCCCTCGATGCCCGTCCTCTTCGTCTTCGATCGTGCCCCCTTTGGGGTAGATCTCCCCTACCTGCCACGTGCAAGTGGTGCAGCCCCTGAAACAGCGGAAGAGAGGACGGATGGAAGGGGGACGGGGAAGGATGGAGCACGAGAGAAACTAGCAGGAGGGGGGCTTGAAACAGAAAACACCTGGCAAAACTCGACGGCAAAATCGGGCTGGTAGGCCCTACCGGACGGGTCGGGATCTTGCATAGATCGCGAGGAAGTCTCAAGCGATAGCGCGATTCCCAAGTAAATCATGAGAGAGGCCAGAGCGAGAGCGCGATTCCTGAGCGTCGAGTGCGTGGCGTTTGAATCAATTGCAAAGAAGTCCTACGCGAGAGCGCGATTCCTGAATACATAGTTGAAGAATCCCGCGCGAAAGCGCGATGTAAAATAAACCGTGAGGAAATATAAAGCGGGAGCCATTGTTGAAGTTCGGGGCCCAACAACGCAGTGTGAGCACGAAGCCTTTCCCTGATTAAAAAACAGGGTGCGAGCCCCGAGGGGGGCGCTTAAGTTGAAAAGCTCAATGTGCACTGGTTGGGGGATCAACAATATATGTTATTTCAAGAGTGGGGTTCAACAACAACAACAACAACAACTACCACCAACAACATCAATCATTTTACGACGGTTCGCTCGTATCTAAAGTAGAAGAAGAAAACACATTAACATAAACTTTCGACGATCCGCGGGGGCTTCTTGGATTTGCGCTGGGTCCCCCTCCCTAGCGCGCGGAGCGCGCCAGGGGCGTCGCCGGAGGAGCCGCCAGGGGGGCCCAGCGCAGATCCAAGAAATCCGTGCGGGGCGTCGGAGGTTTATGTTTTTCTTCTTCGATAGAGGAGGAGGAGGAGGAGGAGGAGGAGGAGGAGGAGGAGGAGGAGGAGGAGGAGGAGGAGGAGGAGGAGGAGGAGGAGGACGAGGAGGAGGAGTAGGAGGAGGAAAAGGAGGAGGAGGAGGAGGAGGAGGAGGATGCAGAGGGGAAGAGGAGGGAGGAGAGGAGGAGGAGGAGGAGGAGGAGGAGGAGAGGAGGAGGAGGAGAGAGAGGAGGGAGAGGAGGAGGAGGGGAAGAGAGAGGGAGGAGGAGGATGAGGATGATGAGAAGGAGGAGGAGGAGGATGAGGAGAGAGAGGAGGAGGAGGAGGAGGAGGAGGAGGAGGAGGAAGAGGAGGAGGAGGATGCACAGGGGAAGAGAGAGGGCGGGAAGAGGGACGAGGGGAATGGTGCAGGGGCTGGCGAGCTGCAGCGCTCCGGGCGTGGCCCCGCCTGGGGAGCGGCTGCCGGCGCTCCCTGGGCAGCAGCGACCTGCCGGGCACCCTCTCCCCACCTTGCGCTCGGGTCGGGCGTGTCCCCCATGCAGGCGGATGTTGGACGACAAATTCCGAATACCAAACGTAATACTTCAAAGCCCCCAGACCAGGACGGCGACGATGCTTTTTTCTCGTTGGCACTGCGTCGAGGCAGCCAGTCCTGCCAGGTGGGGAGGAGAGACCCTTCACCAGGCCCACAACTCCCAGACCAGCGGGTTTTGGTGAAACCCGCGGGTCTGCAAAAACACGCCCCCGCGGCGTCGCCTGGCGGTGCTGCCTCAGGTATTAAGTGGTCACTCGCCCCTGGCGGCCTTGTCCCAATCGTCGATGGTCGGCCATACGGGGATCACAAATGTGCCACTGCTGGTCGTACAGGTCTGATACGTCGCCCCTGGATGCCTTGTCGATTGGGTTGTCGTCGGTAGCGACGCGCTCCACCCATGCATGCAAGGCCCGCTTCCTGAAGAGCTCCCAGGTGTGGTGCGTAATAACGTTCATGGCCAGGACCGAGCTGCTGCCCCGGATCAGGGTCCCTTTAGCTGCTTCGTTGTCAATGAAGCAGATGAGCATGCCGTCGCTGAGGTCTGGCCAGGTACTCAGGGCCAGCAAAGGCCCGACAGCCTCCACCTCGTTGATGTCGACGCCCTTCTCACGGCGCTGCCAGGCCCTGCGCCACGCTGCCGGCACTCGGGCTCTTGTCACGCGCGGCCGCCACCCCTTGTTCCTGGGCTGCCACCAGCCCGCGGCCACCGAGCCCGTCCCTTCCCCGTCCGTAACGACGACGTGGAACGCCATCTTCTCTGGCATGAACGGGATTGGCCGCCCCACCGCCTCCACCAGGATACGCTTCCAGAACAGAAGAGCGCTGCGGAGAGCCGGGGTCAGGCCCACGTGCTTGCCGTCGTACTGCCGCTCCGCCAACGGCCGCAAGGCGGCGGCTCCGAAGCGCCCGAATTGGAAGCTTCTCGCCCAGCCGAGCTGCCCTCGTAGTGTCCCAGCCTCTCCTCCAGTGAGTTTCTCCCTTTGCAGGACCTGGTTGATGGCCTCCACGATGGCCTGGACCTTCGGCGGGTGGAGGGCGCTGTGCGGGTCGCCCTCGCCGACGTAGTGGAGGCCCCCGAGCAGCTTGAACCGTGGTTGGGGCCCGGGGCTTTTCTGGAGGTCGATCCGCCAGCCCACGAGCTTGTTTAGCTCCAACCACAATCGATGCGCCTGTTGCCCGTACGGCGCCGGCTCAACGCCCCAAGCGTCGTCCGTGTAGTGTGCCACCGCTATCTTGAGGAGCGAGCGGGCGATTGCAACCATGGCCGCCGGGTCACGAACGTAGTTAAACTGGCTCAAGGCCCCGCCGAATGGCTGGCCGTAGACGTCCACGACCACCACCTTCTTGTCATCCGGGTCCCAAGTGATCTCCAGCGTGAGGTCGGCCTGGTCTGGGTCCTTGGGGCACTGGCGGAACGCCATCTCATAGTCGGCGCGGTGCCCTTCCAGCGCCCGCTCTGCCCCGCACATCTCCTTCCACTTGCGGGTCACTGCCCAAGCCAGGACCAAGTCCTCCGGCGTGTATCTCTGCCGGAGGTCTACCGTATCATTCCCGCCAGAGCGCTTGAAATCGCTGATTGGCCTGGCGGCCCATTCCCCCGTTTCCTTCAGTTCCCACTTGGGAAAGCGGGGGGTGAGGCACACTCGGTCCAGGTCGAACTCGTCCAAGCTGCGCAGGGTCGCGTACCCGCGGTCTACCTCCTTCTTGACCTTGGCCCAGGCCAAGGTGTCCAGGGTCGGGTCCCGCGACTCGCAGACGCCCCGGATCATGTCGAGATTGCGTGCCCGCGGTGACCTCGCCCACTGGGTGACCGTGGTAGTGGCACTCGAAGCCTGCGGCGGGTAGAGGCCCGTCGTCAGCAGCCCTTCTCCAAGCATCGGCCGACCCTTGGTCAGTGTGTCCATGTAGTCCATGTCCTCCTCGCAGTGAATCTCCTGGAGCAGCCTGTTGAGGAGCGGGAGGTGCAGGTGCCCAATGACCCGCCTGACACGCGGGTGCAGCCGGGCTAACCAAGCAGCTCGCTGACCGTCCAACTGCTGGGCCAGCCCGCGAATCCACTTCATGACGCCCTCCCGGTAGCCGATGATGGCGCGGTCCATGGAGCAGATGGTCTCCATCGCATCTACCAGCCGCAGCGGTAGCTGCGGCGGCGTCTCGAGGGGGTGCTTGACCCTGCGCATATCTTCGAGGAACGCACTGGGGCCGCCACCTCCTGCTACGAGCGGCAGACCAATATGGCCAATGGGCTGGTCCCCCGTGGCCATTGCTCGCGCCAGGCGCGCCGGGTCGCGCCCCCGCGATGGGTTGATCTGCATGTCTTTTTCCAGACTGGCGGGTTTTGCTGAAACCCGCGGGTCTGGGTTTTCTCGCGTTCTATTGTTCCGCCCCACGTCTCTGGCGGGCGAGACTGCTGCTTTCTGCTGCCTCGGAACATGCCCCGAGAAGGGGGCGCTGCCTTCGGTGGCGTCATGCGCAGCTGGGCCTCGCCATACCCCCGGGGAACCCGAGGGCCACCTCTGGGCGCCCTGGGCCCCCCCGGCCGGCGGCCCACGCCCTCAGAACGGCCTCGTCGGGGGTTGGGTCGGGTGGTGCATGTACCGCGGGTGGGTCTTCGCGCAGCCCGGGTAGTTGCAGGTGTGGACCTTCTGGCAGGACTCGTTGCTGCAGCCCTTGGCCTTGTTGTACTGCGCGCAAATCTCGCGGCCCTTATACTGGGCCTGGAGGATGAAAGGCGGCTCGTTACGGGGCGTGGCCCCTCCCTGCCGTCTGTCGTCACCCTGGCGGGGCGGCGTCCGGCTGCGGCCCCGGCCGTTGCCCTTGCGACCCCCTTTCCCGCCACCTTTGCTGCCTCCGACGTCACCTTCGTCATAGTCCCTCTTGCTCTTGTTGATGTCGGAGAAAAGGTAGGCACTCTCGGAGCGGTGGTGCGAGATTGCCGCCGTCAGGGTGGAGAACTCCCCGCGGCTATAAGCCAAGCCCCAAATGGTGCGCATCTGCAAGTCTGCCTCGATGACCCTCTGCAGCTCGTCCCTGGTGCGGGGGCCTTCGTGCGCTTTGTCCACCACCCACTCGTGGCATTGGAGCAGGCGGGTGAGGTCCGCTTGCGCCCAGTCTGGCCCCGCTGCATGAGCGTAGGCGACCATTAGCATGAGGTGGCGCTTGGTGAACTGTACGAAGCCGTTGACCGTGGACTCCTCCGGGATGCTCTGGCCGCCTCTCACGCTGCCTGAGTTCGTCGAGATCTCCAGGAGCACCTTCCCAGCGTGCTCGGGGCCCTTCTGCAAGATGCTCCGGACCTCGCCCAGGCGCGGCACGTAGCGCGTCTTCTTAGTGAAGAACTTGACAAGGCGCCCCATCGTCGCGTCATCCACCAGGAAGGAGTTGGGCCACTGAAACCTGAAGTACTCGGCCGTCGTGGTGTCGAGCCTCTTCCTGTCCTCCGTCGAGAGGACGGCCTTCTGGTCGATATCCTCGCCGCGTGCCCTCGCCTCGTCCTCCGCCTTGGTCAAGGCCAGTGCCCGACGAAACGCCGTCTTGACAGGTTGGCATGCCAAGGGGTCGGTGGCGACGATAGGGGCCCCAGCACCCTGCAACGTGGCCACGATGCTCTCCTTTGAATCTGCGAGGTCGGAGAAAGCGCCCACGACCACGACGCCCTTGGCGATCAGCCACTTCGCGATGTCCTCATGCACCCTGCATTCCTCGAGAAGGTTGCGCAAGCCGGGGTCCAAGGCCCGCGCGGTGTTAACGGAGTACGCCGCCATTGCCGCGCAAGTTGCACAGGTCAGGCCTCTCCGGGGACGCAAGGTCGGAAGGCTGGTTACCTTGGCGGGGATGGCTGCGGTCTGGGCGCCTCCCCCCCCGCGCCTGCGGCATCCCCCGTTCAAGAGGCCCCCGGCCCCCCCCCTGGCGTTTTTTTGCCAGACCCGCGGGTTTTGCTGAAACCCGCGGGTCTATAAAAACACACATGTTTCTTCCCTGGCACCGAGATGATTGCACCTGCATTCTAGCTCACCCCCCTGACTCAGATGGGGAGGTGCTCGAGCTGCTCCCTGGCTGACTGGCACTGGCCTCCGCGCCACTCGCATCGTCCTCTGGAATCTGCCACTCAGGGATAGCGACGTCAACTGGGGGGCCGAAACACGCCCTGCACAAAGTCCGGTCGATGCCAGTGTCGTCCGGCGACACCACCGTGAAGTGGGGCTTGCTGCTGAAGTCTTTCACGTAAGTGCGCTTGCTGCGCGTGTAGTCGGTCGGGTGGCTCCTGTGCATGAGCGCGGAACGCTCGTTCCAGATCCAGAACTCCCCCGGCACTTGGTCTCGGGAGGCGGTCTGCGCGCTCGCGGGCGCTACGGCGCCCGCTGCCTGGCCATGCCCTTCGGCACTTTCGTATTGCCGCTCCTTCTCTGGGTCGGCTGCGCTGGTGCAGGTCTGGCTCGAAGCCGCGCAGCCCGCACCGAAAGTAGGCACTTCGAAGCTTCCCGCAGCCATGAAGCCCCCCTTCATTGCGTCCCGCACGCGTGCTTTCACCAGCAGCTCGGTGCAGCAGCGGGCTTGGTCGTACTGTAGGGGCACGCGGCTTCCCTCGGCCCAGTGCCCCACAGCGGCTACCTCTTCCCGCGAGCCACCTATCTGGCGCACCATTGCTGGCATGAAGAAGCGTGGGGAGTGGAGCGTGTACGGCCGCTCGGCACTGGCCACTCCTGCTCTGCGCAAGACCCACTGCAGGATGCGCAAGCAATTGTGGTAGGAGCCCCTCCGCGGCGGCACGGTAAGCTCAAGCCGGTCGCCCGCGGTGTGCTCGACGTGTGGCCACACCCACTTCCTGGGGGCCTCGGGGTCCGCCTCCGGGGTGAGGGCCTCGGTGAGTGCCAACCACCGCCCCCCCCAGTCGCGCCCCTTGGCGTCGTGCCGCCGCGCCGCCCACGGGGTCGGCGCGGCCTTCCTCTTCATGCGGTAGCGCGTGCCGAAGAGGGCGTCTCGGGTTAGCCCCAAACCCCATGACCTGTGGAGGTCGCCCCAGCGGAGCACCGCGGAGGCCAGGCATATCACGAAGCCCGCGACCCACTGCTCGATGCCGGCGGCCCCCCAGAAGGCATCGTGGAGCTTGTCCATGATCACCTGCGTGAACGGCTCCGCCTGCACGCGGTCCTTCGCCGCGGCCTCCCGCGCGTCCGTCACGGCGGTGAGCACCAGCTCGTCGGCAAGCGGCCATGCGAAGAGCAGCGCCTCGTCCCACCAGTGGAGGGCCGTATACGCTGCCCCAGGCACCGTCTTCTCGCGCTCGCGCAGACTGTCGAGGTAGAACTTGAAGTCGATTTCGGTCAGGCTGTCCATAGCGCGGCCCCGGGCCGACACCCAGTCAACGAAATGCCGGACCCGCCTCAAGTGGCCGGCCACAGTCTCGCTGCCACCCTCGCTCTGCGCCCAAGCAGCTCAATCAGGAGCTTCCGCTGGTCCCCGACGGATAGGCCGCTCGCCTCCATGCGGCGGCACCTCCCGCTGAACGCCCGCACCTCCTCCACGAGGCGGAGGGCGTTTTGGAGCTCTCGCTGGCGCCTGGCGTCGTCTTGTGTCTCCTGGTCCCCGCTCTCGTCGCCCGCGCCCTGCGCCCGGCGCCTGCGGTGGGCCCTCGCCGGCGCTAGCGGTCGGGAGCGGCCCTCCGCCAAGCGCGGCGGGCCCGCCTCGGCCTCCGCCGGCGCGTACCGCCGCCGCACCTTTTCGACCCTCTGCGTGGCGACATATGCTTCCTCGGCCTTCCCCTGCGCAAACGCTCAGAAATCCTCCGGCGGGGCAGGGATGAGCCCAAGCGGGGGCTCCCCGGCCCACTCGTCGATGAGGATGTCGAAGGCAAGCAGGGACGCAATACCGTGCTCACCCAGCCATGCGAAAATATCATCATTTTGCGCCTCTCCCGGCGCGACGTACTCGTCCACCGCAGACTTCAGGCGCGGCGACGGCGGCGGCGGCGGGCGCCCGCCGACCTCCGGCGGATCGCCGTGCTCGCCGATGATGACATCGATGCGGCCCTGGTCCGCCATCTGGAGGGCTCCCCCCAATGCCCGTCTGCCTCCGCCAAGCGTTTGGGCAGCAAGCCTGGGCGGGAGCCTCGCGGGCTGCCGCTAACCGCTAGCACCTGCTACCCCTAGCCCAGCTGGCCGGAGCGCAAGCCCGCGGGCGCGGCACCCGCAGGGGGAGCGTGCAGCCGCTACCCGCTAGTACCTGCTACCCCAAGCCCCGCACGGTCAGGGGGCGCAAGCCCGCGGGCGCGGTGCGCGCGCGGTGGTGCACGGGGATGGTGGTGGGTGTTCCTGCCGTCCTGGCAGCTTCTTGAGCCCAGACGGCTACGGATCCGTGCAGTCCCTTCCTGGCAGAGCGCCCTCCCGGCTGAGGCTTAGACCCCCCTAGGCCGTGTCCCCCCAAACCGGGTAGAGAGGTAATAAAACAACAATTCCAAAATGGCAAAAAAACAAAAAAAAACGCCCCTGTTATATTTTTGGGCTGCTTCTGCATACTCCTCCTGTGGAGGGATAGGCCCGACGTAACCTCACGACGCGAACTCTGCGCGCAACGTCCCGTGGCGAACGCTCACGCTTGGGCAGACGCCGACCTGATCGCAGGTTGCAGCTGGCCCTGGCCTTATCTTACCTCTTTAGCCGCAGGGCTGGTTGCCAGATGTCGCTCCTGTTTTGAATCGTGGCAGCCTAACGAGTGACTAGTCGAGGTCGCCAAAACATCTAGGTCACCATGTCGGTTTACCGGGTCCTCCACAACGTGACTCGTTTCATGGTGTCTGTTCGGCACTGGGGCGTTCACCGCTTCCTTCCTGGAAGTGGTCCCCCTCGCTTCTCACATGTAGCTTTCCAGCTGGAGGTATACTTCCTGTTTCTCTGTCGTGGGTGATGAGGACAAAACCATGATCATCCCTTGCGCTCATGTGTCATGGCCATCGGCACACATGTCTGGCTGGTCTTAGCCCCACGAGCACAACACGATTACAAGTGCAAGTGCAGACAAGGATGAACAACTGGACATGCAACATATATTGTGGATGCATGGCTCGCCTTCCATATGCATCGTCCTGGGACCAAGAGGAGGAGGAGGAGCGCATCCTCCCTCATGTCTCACCCATCTTCGTTATCCAGCCCCTCATCATCATCCACCTTCTGTTGCTTACCCACAGACGCTACCATGCAGCGCCGTCGAGCGGCTACCACAAGGGAGGAATCAATCGACATGCCAAGTCGGACAACTGCAACGAACACCAGTGCACCGCCAACGATACCAACGACACCTATGTTCACAAGCAACATTCTCGGTAGAAGGTGTCGCGAACATCATGCGATACAACGTGGAACCACGCCCTGCTGTCAAGACGTCCACTAGCTCATACATGCCTGCCCACGTGGAAAAAACAGCAATATCTTCAACGGTGCGCTGGCGTCTGCCCGTCGAAGCCAGCACGCACGTAGCTTCCAGAGGCGATGCGATCGGGTATCGAAGTGCCCAGACCTCCTCCGCCCTCCCCCTCCTGGTGGTCCTCTCCGTCATTGAGCCATCATCCTTGATGTTGCCGTTGCCCTTGTCGCCGTTGTCGTCGTCGTGGTCGGTTTCGTCGTCATCGTCGCCCTCGTCATCCTTCTCCCCATCTTCTCTCTCCCCCTCCCCCTCCGTCTCCTCCTCCTCCTCCTCCTCACCATCATCATCATCATCATCATCACCACCACCACCACCACCACCACCACCACCACCACCATCATCATCATCATCATCATCATCATCATCATCATCATCATCATCATCATCATCATCATCATCATCAGCATCATCATCATCATCAACATCATCATCACCACCACCACCATCATCATCATCATCATCATCATCACCATCATCATCATCATCATTTTCCTCATTGTCCTCCTCCTCCTTCTCTTTCTCCTGCTTTCCCCCCTCCCCAATCACCCTTCTCCTCCTCATTTTCCCTCCCCCTCTCGCTCACCATTCCCCTCCTCCCTCCCCGTTCTCGTCCTCCTCGTCCTCCAGGATCTTCATCTTCCTCCTGCCTCTGCCTCCCCTTCCCAACTCGCCCCCCCGCCCCTCCTCCCACGTCCTCCGGTTCACTCCCCTCCTGCTCCTCCCACCCCATCCCCAAGACCCCCCCTTCCGGAGCCACCGACGCACAGATCCCCCTCCGCAAGGCAGGCGTGCCTGGGAGCGCCTGCCGGCGACCTGGGGGCGGAATGAGGAAGGGCGAGGAAGAGGAGGGAGGAGGACAAGGAGGAAGGAGGAGGACCATCAGGATGGTCGGTGGAGCACGATCCACCGTCGCTGACCTGATGATTTCAAGACCCCACTGGAACAAATCCGAAGGCTCGGTCCAAAACCGGGCGAGCCCTCCCCCTCCCAAACCGTTGTCCCCTGCGAGGAACCGAGGGTGTCCGGACCGCCCCCCCCCCTTCATCCCCACCCCCGGGAAAATGAATGGGGGGGATCCCGGACCCCCTCCCCGCCTGGGATAATTAGTGCGTGGGTTGGTGGGGGGGCCAGCGACGACGACGACGACGATGACGACGACGACGGCGACGGCGACGGCGGCGACGACGACGATGACGACGACGACAACGGCGGCGGCGACGGCGATGGCGACGACGACGGCGACGACGTCAGCGGTGGCGGCGGCGCACCTGTCGCCAGCGGCAGCGCCAGGGGCCAGCTACGATAGAATGCTACTAGGGGTGGATCCAGCTCTCTCAATATCCTACTGGGGCCCGCCTGCACTCTGCGCTACTCTACGCTGCTTTACTCGACACGACGTTCCTCTACTCTACTCTACTTATCCCTAGTCTACTTTACACTCGTGTACCCAACCTTAGCGCACTCTAACATACTCTACTCTACTCCACTGCTTTCTCTTGGTCTAGTCTAGTTTACTCTACTCCACTCTACTCTACTCTACTCTTTACTTGTTTTCTTCGCTACTTGATTTTACACTCTTCCACTTTACTATACTCGAATATGTCCTTTTCTACTCTACCAACTATACCCTGCCGTACCTTCTATTTTACTATGATCTACTATACTCTACTTTCCTCCTGCTCTACTCTGCGCCTACTCTACTCTCATTCAGCGCTGCTCTACCACATATCTGCTCAATTTTGCCAATATACAACTCCATTTTCTTTGCCCCCCCCCCCCCTGTACCCTACTGTACCCTACTGTACCCCAGCCTACCCTACTCTACTCTACTCCACTTTGCTCTTGCTCTACTTTACAATATTCCGTCTCTGCTCTACTCTACTCTCCTCCACTCTACATTACTTTGCCCTACTCTTCTCTACTCTACTTGACCAAAACGTACCCAACATGATCTACTCTATTCTACTTCGTGCCTGCTCTACGATGGCATATTCGACTCTATTCTGCCTCACTCGGCTCTGCCCTGCTGTACTTTATGTCTGCTCTACTCTACCTGTGTACAATTTCTAATCGTTACTCTGATCGGATCTACACCTCCCCACACTATTTTACTTTACCCTACTCTACATTACCCTGCCGTATTCCACCCTACTCTACTCGACTCGACTCGACTCTACCTTACCCTACTCGACCCTCTTACTCTAGTCGTTAAATACTAAGTTCTACGCCTACTCTAGTCTGCTCGTCGTCGCCGTCGTCGTCTCGTCGTCTTCGTCGTAGTCGTCGTCGGTGTCTTCGGCCTCGTTGTCGTCGTTGTCGTCGGCGTCGTCGTCGTCGGCATCGTCGTCGTCGTCGGCGTCGCCGTCGTCGCTGTCGTCGTCGCCATCGCCGTCGTCGTCGTGGTAGTAGGCGTCGGTGTCGGCGTCGTCGTCGGCGACGGTGTCGTCGTCGTCGTCGTCGTCGTGTGTCCTGCGTCGTGCGCTGTGCGTCGAGCGCCGAACGTCGTCGTCGTTGTCGGCGTCGGCGTCGTTGTCGTCGTCATTGTCGTCATCGTCGTCGCCGGCGTCGTCGTCGTCGTCGTCACCACCGTAATCGTCGTCGGCGTCGTCGTCGGCGTCGGCGCCGGCGTCGTCGTGGGTTGTGCGTCGTGCGTCGCGAGACGTGCGTCGTGCGTCGTGGGTTGTCGCCGCCGTCGTGGTCGACGTCGTTGTGGGGGGCCTGTGGACCCCTCGAATGATTTTCCGGGGGGGGGGCGTCCGGACCCCCCTCTTAATTTCCCTGGGGAGGGATCCGGATCCCCCTATTACTTTTTCCTGGGCAAAAGCAAATTGTTTATGGGCCCCCCTTCTTATTCCCGCTGGGCGAAGGCATCTCGACCCCCCGACGTAAGGCTGACCAAACCGTGCGTGTGTGTATACCACCTCGTTGTTCTTCAATTCCCTCTGTGCCAATGTTTTGTACTTGCTGGTTCTTTTTTGTTCTGACTTTCACATTGATTTCGTTTGTGATGGATTACGCACACACATATATAAATATGTATGTGTGAAGGCTTGCATACGTATTCCTTCTTATGGCGGGTTCCATCAGGACTTTTCCTGTGGCGAGTTACAATATGAATCATGTGGTGGCGATTTGCAAATCACTTCCATGTGGAGGATGACACATTGAATTCCATTGTGGCGGGTTAAACAGTGACTCCGTTTGTGACAGATTACTAGTTTATTCCTTTGTGGCGGGTTCAAAATATGAGTTTGGTTTGTTTTGTTGCGGTTTACATTTGTGGTTTACATACACACATACATACACACACATATATATATATATGTATATATATATACACAAATGTATGTAAATGGATTACACACACGTTCCTGCCTTATGGCGGGTTACAGAACTATTATTTTAGTGGCGGGTCACACAATGATTTACTTTGTGGCTCATTGCGAATCCCTTCCGTTTGTGGCGAATGACACATTGATTCCCGTTGTGGCGGATTGCACAGCGATTTCGTGTGTGGCGGATCTCAAGTTGATGCATTTGTGGCGGGTGCCACATTGATCCCTTGTGTTGCGGATTACACATTGGCACTTTTTGTGGCGGACTATGCATTGATTCCATGTGTGGGCGATTACGAATTGGCTCCCTTTTGCGGACATCCCTGGTAGAGGAACAGACGCATATTGCGTTTTAGTGCGATTTGGGGTTCCACGGATGGGACATGATTTGCGTTCACATGCTTGCGGCTTCCAGAAGTAAGAACATGTTGTGTTCCATTTTTCTAAGTCAATACATGGGGGGGGCAAATTCGACCTTGCATATCTCATTATTTCAATTGCTTCGAAAAAATGTTGTTCTTCCCCTGGTCAGCAACCGGGCAGGCCCACTAAGGCAATTACCTTTGTACGCCGCCGCAGGATGAACAGAATGTATAACCCGCCGCATCCGAAATTACCCCCTCATTCGCGACAAAAAGAATCAATTTGAAAGCCGCCACACAAGAAACCAATATGCAAGCCACCACGAAAGGAATCCGGTTGCAAGCCGCCACAATGATAAAAAACTGTAGTCCGCAACTAGAAGCTTGAATTTGTCATCCGCCAAAAAACTACCGATGTGCGAACGACGACAAGAGACATAGACTGCCATTCCGCCGCAGAAGGAATCAATGCGCAATCCGCCACTACAAAGATCAACTTGTAATCGCCCAGGAGCGACATGAATTATAACACGCCACGAACGGAATCGACTTCCAATCCGCCACAAAGGGAATCAAGGTGCAATCCCCCACACAAGGGGGTCCTTGTACAGCGGCACAAAGCGACACTTTTCGCAAACAGCCACACAGAGGAGCTCTTTGATACAGGTCCGCCATGAAGGGTACCACCCCTTTCAAGTTGTTTCTTATGTATATGCTTCTTTTTGTTCGGCAGTTCCTTTTGTTTCAAATTCCGTCCTGAATTCGTCTGTTGTGATTTACACAAAAAAATCTTTTGTGGCAGATTACAACGTCATTCCTAGCGTGGCTAATTATGGGTCGATTCCTTTCGTGACGGATTGAAAAAAGGATTCCATTCATTGAGAGTTACAAGAAGATTCTTGTTGTGGCGGGTTACAAAACTAATCTTTCGTGGCGGTTTGCAAATTGATAACGTCAGTGGTGGCTTACGCATTGATTCCCTTTGGCGGAGTGCACATTGATTCCTTTTGTGGCGGAATGCACATTGATTCGTTTTGAAGCGGACGACAAGTTGATCCCCTTTGCGGCGGATTGCAAGTTCACTCCTTGTGTGTACCAGGTCGTCGTGATGCTTGGGGTACGACAGCGACTCCACGAGAAGAGCGATTCCACGAGAACTTACACTGCAATGCTGTGAGGCAACAGCATCTGCCGCACATGCAGCTTGGTCAACTCCACCCGTAATCCCCTCTCCTGTTTTTTTTTGGGGGGGGGGGCGTCCCGTGCCCCCCCCCCCCCCGCCAACCGCGGCAGGAAGTGCTCCTTCGGGCCGGTGTTCGGGGATCGACTCTCCAGGTCATTGAATGCGTGTTGGTCCCCCTGTGGGCCTCCAGACTTCCCCGGGGACCTGCAGGAAGGATGATGATGATGATGATGAGGAGGAGGAGGTGAAGCGTAAAGGGAAGGTTGAGGGGAGCGAGCAGGAGGGAGGAGGGAAGGAGGAACACAGATGATCACAGAGGTGGACCGTCGAGAAAGAAGAGGTGGAGGAGGAGGAAGGAAAAGGACGGCAAAACGGACTGGGAGGAAGGGGTGCCTGGAGGGTGACTCTTCGTATTTCTTACCCCCCTCTTCTTCCATCCTCCTCCTCCCAAGGACATGGTTTCCCGAAGCGCTGTAGTTCGATGGCGCCAGAGGTTACGTTGTGAGAAAGTATGTGGGATGCCGTCGCGCTGAACTCCCACGGACCCAGAAAAGGGCGCGGCTATCTCACATCTGACACGTATCATGACCTTCTTTGGGGTGCAGAAGACGAGAGGGAGGGACAGAGACATCCGCGGCAAGGGGTGCGTGTGCTGGTGAGGGAACGGCAAAGGACGATGATTATGATAGTGCTGACGAGGAAGACGATGTCGAGCGGATGTAGGTTCATGATCATAATCGTCACTGTCCTTCTGCGCTTCCTCCTCTTCTCCTCCTCCCTCCTCCTCCCCCTCTTCCCAATCCGCCTCTTCCCTTGCCCCCGTTTGTCGTCATTCTCCTCCTCCTCCTCCTCCACCCGCTTCATCCCCCACCCCACTTTTTGCCGCATCTTACCCCTCATCCGCATGTACGGCTGGGAACACACCGAGGGGCAAACTCATACTCGTAAACGCGGAAGGAGGCGCTGAATCCAGAACGCCCGCATAGCCATCTTCCAGGCAACTGCTGGCGACGTCCAGGCAACTGCTGGGCGACAGAGAACCGCAGGGCGACATGGAGAAGCAGACAACGGGAGAGAGGAAGAGCGGGACACGGTGATGGCCCAAGGGAAGAAGGGGATACACCTAGGGATGACCAAATGGAGAGATTGGGAGAGCCAACGGCAAAGGCAGATGGAATACTATATGGACTTGGACGATGGTGGGAAGGAACATCAAGTGTGCGTGTGCATATATAATACAAAGAGCCCATGGACGGAGGAACAGCGGACAGTTAGGGGAGGTGGCTGGCTGCGAAAAGAAGCGGCGACATCCTTCGCGAAAGGCATTGCTACCAATCGCAACCTGTATATGCACAGCAGGGCATGCAATTGCTGGACGGACCCATCCGTCGAACTCCGTGCCAGAGCTGATGATGCCATCCGGAGCGTCTGCAGCACGAGAAACAGATGTGTGAATGGAACGCTGTGGCAATCGACGGGCCGACGACGGAGAGGGACGACCAACGCACGTTCTCAAAATCGTGCTTGCTCTTCTCGGATTCGGACTTGCGTTCCTGAATAATCGGTTGGGTGTGCAGGGGATTTTTCCCGTTGCCGCCCGTGGCCGCCCAGGTGCCGCCCAGGCGCCGGTCGCCATGAGGACTTTCCCATTGGGGCCGGAAGTGAAACTCCCTACGTGTGGGGGGGGGGAGCGTGTGAGAAGTGTGCCGAACCGGACACGCGGCGGGCAGACGCAGGGCGAGGGAAGGGAGGAGCATGAGGAGGATGAGGATCACCAGGATGAGGCGCGCGGCGCTGCGCACCAAACACGAGGCCACCAGTGGCCGCACGTGGCCGCCCAGGTGCCGCCCGAGGCCGCCTCGTGGCCGCCCGTGGCCGCTTGGGGTGCGTGCCGAGGCTTCGCCCGGTGGCCGCCCCGTGGCCAACCCGTGGCCGCCCCGTGGCCGCTTCGTGGCCGCCTCGTGGCCGCCTGGTGGCCACCCCCTGGCCGCCCAAGTGGGGGTGTTTGCCGAGGTGTCGCCGCTTTGCCGTCCGTGGTCGCCTCGTGGCCGCCTCGCTCTGCTCACATTGCACAGGTTACGCCGCACAGCTCACACAATTCTTTTTCGTCAGCGGCGAGGCAGGTGTGCCAGCACCAGCGGTCGGGCTAAACGGGGCGCCCCGAAGAGCGAATTCCCCGGCGTGCAAGATTACCAGTTTGAAACAGATCCCTATTCCTATGTTTAACATCACCTCACCTCGATGCCGATCTTAAGGATTCCCTCAGTTTCTGAGGGCCTATCCCTAAGATTGTCCTCGCCTTTTGCTCGCCCGTCTTAGGGATATGGATAAGTTCGAGGCTGGTTAGCAAGAGGAGAGGCAGAGGCAGACAAGGCGGCCGCGGAGGCGGGGGGGCGAAGAGGGGACACCCAGAGGCGGAAGACTTCCAGCCCGACCGAGTGCGCTGGCGCGGCCGGCCTCGGCCGCGGGGGCCGTGGCGGCGGCGGGGCCGCGGCGTCGATGCATCCACAGGCGCGGACGAGGCCCAGCACGCGGAGCGCAAGGGCACGCGTAGCGGAGGCGTCCAGGTGCGCGCCGACTAATATTTTTTGTTTTCGCTCGAAATCCGCCTGCAGGGGGACACGCCCGACTCAACCCCAGTGATCCAACGCGTGGGAAAAGTCACTGCGGATTTTTGTCGCCGTTTTCGGCCTCTTGCTGGGCCTCGGGGCCGTCAAGTACCACAAGTAAGGGAAAGTACAGCGGAGCCGCCCAGGTGGGGCGACATGGTGCTGCAAGTGACAAACGGCAATCAAGGCTCCAGACTGCCACCAGCAAAATACTGCGCACAGCTCACACACAATACACCGCAATGCATAGCTTGCACAACATACCTTGCACCCCGTAGCTTGCACCGCATTGTTCAACAGAACTTGGACTGCTTAGCTCCAGCAAGATAGCGCACCGAACACAGCCTACATCGCATAGCTCACACCACATAGCTTACACCAGATAGCTCACGCCACATAGCTTGCACTGCACAACTTCCACCCCCACACTGCACTAACTCATTGCCTGGGGTCCGCGCTGGCCAGCATTGACAAGAGAAACGAACATGGCAACAACCGCCCTTGAAACTACCAACTTGAAAACTCCCGAGGCTGCCGCATGGAACTCCGGCTCCTCGTGAGCAACCAACCGCCCTGGTTGGCTTTGCCAGAACCCGATCCCTCGGGGATTCCCGCTTGTAGGAGGGGCCAAGACAATAGCAATGACAAGCCGCCATGGGGAACCCTTCAGCGTGTTACTGTTCAAGAAGCAGAAGGCCTTGGGACAAAAACGAGGAAGTATCACGAGGTCGGGCTCCGAACGGAAGCGTGACATCGGCACTTCTCCCTTTCCGAATCCTTTCAATGCCTGCTCTGCCGCCTCCGCAATCTTCGGAAGGTGCGTGGCAACCTCGCAAGTCCACTCCGTGCACCCTCTGCCGTCCTTGCCGTCGGCCTGTGCTGCGAGAGCTCGGGCATGGAGAATTCCACCCATGCTGCCAAAGTCATCGTCGATCCGATTGTCCGACGCTTCGGTCGCGCTGTGATCAGCTCTCTCTGTGTTCCTCTCTCCTCATCCTCGCCCTCCTGGTCGTGAAACCTCCCTGCCTCACTTGAAAAAGAAGCGCCTTTGAGGTAACACCTGTTCGCCTCTTGAATGAACACCCAGCTGTTGCAGTCGTCGCGCTGCCGTCGCGCGCGTTCCAATGACAACTGGAAGACACAAGGCGAAGAACCATGCTTCCTCTTCTGACCCATCGCCCGCGTACTCACAAGAGACTGCTGACGCAACATGCACGCATTCCTGTGCATGTGTTAGGTATTGTTGGTCTCGCTCTTCTTTTGCAGGGGAGAGTTGTACGCGTGACAACATTTTTAAAAACCAAACAAACCAGGCAGATGGTCAGTAAAACATGCAAGGCGCGCACGTCTACGAACAGAAAGCCCCAGTGTGGGCCAATAACGCGTGTCTTTTGTTCTTCCTCCCAGCGGGGTGGGGCGGAGGAGAGAGGTGGGGCGGAGGAGAGGGGTGGTAGAGTGAGCAAGGAGACAATGGGGCTAAAACAATCCACTACGCTCCAGCAAATGACACCAAGGCGCTGCCACCTCTTGTGGAAGGCTCTGGTCAATTTGGCGTGGCTGTTCGCACCAATTTTGCACTAATGTCTGATTGCGTCGGCGCACTCCTGGGGGCTGGGCGCCAGTTGACCCTGAAGTTATCGTTGCACTCGCTGGTCGAATGGGCCCACCTCAATGAAAGCGTCTGGTTTTGCGATTCTGTCTGTCTATGCGCAGTGCACTTGTTACTGTTGGGTTGCACGCAGCTTCTCTAGACTTCAAGCTGTAAGAAGCACGTTCGAGAAGGGGCCAGTGCTTGTTCCCTCCTGCCGCGGAATAGAACAGACATGTGTACTTGATGGTTGTGCTCTCTTATCGACCTCTGTGGTCGACTCTGCGAGCCGAGGCCTCACATCGGCTCACACCGGCACCGAGCGCGCGAACCCCCCCGGACTGCCAGCGCGAGCACAGCCGGAGAGGACGAACGGGGACGGGAGCCTCCGGCTCCTGACGCCGCTCTTCCGCCCCCTGTTCGTTTTCCCTACTGCTATGCCTTCATTCCCCTTCTTTCCTCCTCAGCCCTTCCTCGCGAAATCTGGCCCTGTCTACACTTGGAAGGCTTGAGGTGGCGCAGGAAAAGCCCCTGAAGGCAATCCCGACTTGCCTCACTAGGCCCCCCAAGGTAATCTCGGGAGGAGGGCGGTAGGGAGGAAGGGAGGAAGGGAATGAGGAAAATAATGATCATGAGCGTGACACCTGTGCAACTTTACTACGTTAAAGCAAACGACATGCCTGCAACGAGCAACATCACACCACTAAAAAAAGGGCATGGTTTATTCGAGTCGGAGGCTGCATTTGAATGCCGGACGTGATCCACGGTAGCACAGGTGCCAGTCATCGGAGCCTGAAAAAAATCGAGCAGGCATCTGAGATTGGCCTGCTCCTCCTGCTTGCCGTTCCTTGTCTTGAGCCCCCTCACGCGACAGGCACAGATCAAGATGCTCAACTCCTTCGGGTACTCCGTTGACAGGATGACCTGCTCTTATTCCTTACACGCTATCTCGCGCGAAAGAAGGCCACTCCGTCCTCGACGCGCGCGACGCCCGCGATCATCGCCGCGAAACCCCGCAAGAAGGAGACGCACAGCAATGATTTATGAGACTTCTGGACCTTCGTTCCAACTTCCTGCTTCTCGCATTCCTCCTGTACCTCCTCGGTTCTAGTCGATCAGGTGCCCGTCCTTGTCTATCTCGTCCACATCGTTGATGTCCGGGCAGCTCTCCACTGTCGTCCGGACCCGCGCTCCGAGAGCGCGCGCCAGTTGGGGGCCGCAGACGTAGCGGTCCGCCACCTTGATGCTCTTCACGAACATGTTGACCTCGAACTTGTAGCTTGTCAATGTGTCGGCCGTTGAAGGCCTGGCTCTCCTGCAGCACGTCTTGCGCAGCGACCGGATCGAGCAATAAGAGGAACGTGTCACGCGCCGCGTCACCGGGAGCCCGCCGATCGGCCTCGCGTGCGTGCGCCAGCTTGGCCAGCGCGTTGACGAACCCTTAGACTTCGGTCGGGCATGTCCCCCTACAGGGGAATCTTGGACGACAAATCAAACATAGGCCAGACATATACAAACATAGACAAGGAAGAAGCAAGCAAATCGTCCCTGACTGTTTTTGAAGATTCCTCCTGTGGAGGGGCAAGCCTGGCTTAACCCTAGACTTTACGCACCTCGTCGGCGGCATTCGTGCCGCCCTTCGCGGCAGCGCCGCCGCCTCCACGGCCGTCCTCCTCTTCGCGCTTGGCCGCTGGCGCGCCCGGCCGTGGCGACCGCCGGAGCCGTCCGCGAAGACTTCGCCAACGACGACGCGGCCGGGCTCGTCAAAGGAAGCAGAACTCCTCCCGCCGTACAGTCGAGGCGTTGACATAAGGAACCCTAAATAAGGAACGAGGCCCCTTTTTTCCATGAGTTAAACTTCGATTTCCTATCGAAAACACAGGGAAACCTGAGGCAAGCTGCGAAACACTTGAGGAACACGGAGCCCCTCCCCAACGAAAAGGGTTCCTTCTTCAGGGCCCCGACGGTACAGCCACAGGACTCGATGCAAACGATTCCATGCGCTTCGTTGATGGCCAGGGGGCGAGGACGCGTGATGCCTCGCGCGCAGAACACTGGAGGCCGAGAGCTTCCTCATTGGAGCTCCTGATGCGGACACCCACCCTGCAACACAGCATCCTGACAGCCTGTCGTAACCCTGCTTGGACACGACTCCGAACAACTCGGACCCCAGTCGCTTTTGCACAGGGTGCGCCCTACAACACGGAACTGACGGTGCTACGGGATGAGGTTGAGCGCTGGCTCCTTGTCGCTACGCTTCGCATCGCGACGGCGCCTCCGCCTCCGCCTCCGCCGACGCCGCACTGCCCAGTGCGGCGTCTTCTATGAGGGGGGGACTTCGTGCTCGAGCGCGACAGACGCGGCCGCGCGGCGACGACGGCGGAGCGCGCGGATACATCAACGTGGCGGAGCCCTCTGCCGAGCGGTTGCTAGGGAAACAAAACGTGGCATAAACATAAAAACTCAGAGGTCCGCGCGGATTTCTCGGATCGGCGCTGGACCCCCCTCCCTGGCGGCGCCTCCGGCGCCGCCCCTGGCGCGCTCCGCGCGCCAGGGAGGGGGGTCCGGCGCGGATCCGAGAACTCCACGCGCACCTCCGAATTTTCACGTTTTATGCCACTTTTGGTTCCCCTGTGCATCAGCGTGGCGGAGCCCTCTGCCGAGCGGCTGCGCCGCTCGCAGCGCGGGGAGCCCTCCCTGCCGTCGAGCGGGCAGGCCCTCGCCCGCCCCCCTTGCCGTGCGCGCCGCACATGCCGGGGGCACGGGCACGCCGCGCGGGCACGCCGCGCCACGCCGCGCGGGGCGGCAGGGGCCTCGCCGTCTGGAAGCCAGCATCGTCTCTGGGCCTCGCAGTCTGGAGCATCGCAGGAGGGGACGGAGGGGGAGGAGGAGGAGGAGGAGGAGGAGGAGGAGGAGGAGGAGGAGGAGGAGGAGGAGGAGGAGGAGGAGGAGGGGGAGGGAGGGAGGGAGGAGGAGGAGGAGGAGGAGGAGGAGGGGAGGGAGGGAGGGAGGGAGGGAGGAGGAGGAGGAGGAGGAGGAGGAGGAGGATCCGTGGGGCCGAGGCCTCCTGCTTGCCCCTGCAGCCGCTCTGCCTCGGGGGATCGCTCCAAAGGGGCGAGGAGTCGGCGTGGAGAAGGCGCGCCCAGGCAGCGGCGCGAAATCCGTGCGGACGCCCCATGGTGGTCGGCCTGCGGCCCGCCGTTCGTGGTCAAAACGCGCCGAGAGCAGCGGCACCAGCAGCCTGAGCGTGGCGCCGGGAGAGGCGACGCTCCTTGGGGCGCCAGCCTGCGTCGTCCAGTCCTGAGCTCAGGTCGGGCATGTCCTCCTGTAGGGGGGTTGTGGAGGAGAAAATTGAAAATGCACTAGACATGCTCCCCAAATGGACGCAACATACTGGAAAAATTGTCCCCCACACTATTGTTTGTCTATTGTTGAACATTCCTCCTGTAGGGGGACATGCCCGACTCAATCCTGAGCCTGGGAAGTGAGGGGGCCCCTTGCCAGTGCTTCACGTGTGAGCGTTTTCTTACTCGGTGTTTCGACATGGAGCGAAGAGGGGGGGATGGAGGGGGGGGGATCTGGCTGGCTGGACCTCTGCTTCGTGCGACTGTTTGCGACGATGCGTCCTAGGAGGGGAGACTCCACCTGCTCGGATCAGACGCCCAACACAGACCAGATCCACTCCACGAGGGGGGGGGGAAGGGGGGGGGCGAGGGCCCGTGCCGATCGGCTAAACAATGAATACAAGGACGATCACCTTTCTCCTCGATCTGCGATGTTTGGATATGTCTGTCACCTTCGCACATATCGCCATGCGTCGCAACGCGGCGCGTGCCGAGCAATGGCCGAGTCGAGCTTGCCAAGCTTACCTTCTGGGACAAGATGCACCTCCAAATGCGAAGGCCCAGCATGTCGAACATCTAGAACACACGATCGACAAACGCGACAAAAGAAAATAGCAGCACTTCATCAGGACGTGAAACAACTATCCATGGCAACGCAGCGTTTGTTAGTCTCCCGCGGCACAAATCCCGAGCGGCATTATCACCCCGCCCTGTAGAGGGACAGGCCTGACTTAAAGCTAGCCTCACCGAGGAAGACGATGATGATTCGCACGGGACTGCAATGGTGAGGGGGAGAATTAGGTCGGGCGTGTCCCTCTACAGGTGGATTTGCGACAGAAAAATAAAACAGTCAAACCATACAGGAAAAAAGGTCGAAAATAGTCAAAACATCGTCCCCATATTCTTTTTTGACTATTTTTGAATATTCATCCTGTAAAGGAACAGGCCCAACTTAAGCGGAGAAGGGGGGAGGATCAGGCGGAGGAGGTCGGCTACCCGCAAGAATGACCCTGGGTAAGCGTGGCCTTTGGTGCGCGGCTTCTTGGGGACCGCGGGGGGACCAAACAGAAGCGTGCACAACGCTACCACCGAACCGCCTTCGGCGATCGGAGGACCGACCCCACTGGGCCCGCACCAAAGGTCACTCCGGCGAAAGGTCACTCTTGAAGGGGCCCCAGGACACACAAATAGATACACACTAATAAGCAGATTCCCAATATCTTTCCATATTTTTGTAGTTTCTGTCTTCCCCCCCACTTCCCATATTTTCCCATATGTTCTGGGGAATCGACGATTCATTGTGTCTGTGTGTTTCTTTCCCTCCTGAACTCTTACGTGTAATCGAGGTGGGGAGGTGGAGGAGGACAGGGGGACTCGTCGACGCCAGCCCGGCCCCTGCACGCAGCCGCCCTGGGAGGACTCCGCGCGCGCCTGGTTGCACATCCAGCAGCAGTCCTCCAGTCTCTGGCACTCGTCCCTGGGCGCCGGCTCTTCTCGGGAGCGGCCAAGAGGGGGGTGTCCAAGAGGGGGGGGTGCAAATCATGACCGGCGGCACGTGCGCGGCCCAGCGGGGGGAGCCAGGGACGTAATGAAATAAGAAGAGGCGCCATGAAATCTGGGGAAATATCATGGCCCCGCCATGATATCCCCCCCCCCCTAGTCATCACCCCCCTCTTTTCCGCCCCCGATCTTCTGAAGAGGCCAGCGGCGGCAGGGTGGCGGGGGGGAGCGGGGGGGGAGGGATTTGCGGGCGAGCGGGGGGGAGGGGGGAGGTCGAGGGGTAGAAAGAACAAGGGGAAGGGAGGCCACGGGGAGGGGAAGGGCGGGGGGGCGAGGTGGAAGGCGGGGGGGGAGGAAGGGAAGATATGGAGAAGGGGGGCGAGTGCGAAGGGGGCGGTGGCAGAAGATGAGGAGGGGGCTCCAGATTTCATGAAAGAGAGCTACACGTTCCTCGAAGGCGAACTACCAATCCCACCGTCTGTCCCTTCAGAAGCTACCACATGTATTGCTGCACGTGGGGCACTTGACGCAACTAGCTAGTTTTGCAATTACTTTCGCCGGAGAGCCGTCGAGAGTGAGCAGGCGCAAGACTCACTCAGGGCAGCCGCTACCGCTCTAGGCACCACGTCCTAAGGGTCTGGGTGTAGTGGCAGCCAGACGGTTTGAGTGGGCAGCGAGGAGGAACACGCGAGAGCGAGAAGCATGTAGAGAGACAGGGAGGCAAGGACGAGCACAGAGGCAAGGAGAGCCCCACGTACTGAGAGACCCACGTACACACGTGCACACGTACACCTCAACTTCGCAAGTGCGGATTTGAGTGAGGGCGGCACCAGGGCTGCCTCGCCGGGGCTGCGGGGCTCCATCGCCAATGCAATGAAGCCCGCCGCGGGTGCCGATTTTCTGCAAAGCATAGTGTGGGTCGCGGGGCGGAACGTCGGCGGGTCGCGAGACTCGAAGGCCAACGTAAAGAATCCCGTTGCAGACGCAGACTGTTCCTTAACAACGAAACCAGCCCGCCGCAGGCGCCGATCTTTCCCAATTCACTGTGGGTGGGTCGTGAGCGTGGGTCGCGGCGGCGTGTGACGGGTAGGGTCGCGCGGGAAGGTCGCAGGAGGGTCGCGGGTGGGTCACGGGGGGGTCTCGGGTGGGTCGCGTGTGGGGTCGCGCGAGCGACGACGACACCATTGTGTCCCACGCAACCAGAGGCAATGTGCGACCGTTCAGCACCCACTCTTCTATCCAGAGAAAGAGAGAGAGAGAGAGAGAGAGAGAGAAAGAGAGAGAGAGGGAACGAGAGAAGGATCGAGGGAGGGGGGGCTCTAAGAAGAACTACCAGAAAGGGTGGCATGGATATGAAGTGATAGCGAGGTCTGCTTATGTAGCGAAATGCACGGCGATAGCGCTTAATGTGAATCGCGATCTGCTACGACATTCAATTCCAAATGGCGCTATAACATCCTCCGAAAGAATTCTGCACCTCCGTTGCATCCCACTCAAGCTATCCGACATCAGGGTCATCCTAGCCAGCCCGACATTTTGGGGGATCGGACGACCTTTCTCAAGCGCGCACGCTCTTGGTGGAAACTGTTTTCGTCCCATTGGCCTGCCCATGTATGTGCAGACGTGAAACAGAATGGGGCGGGTCTGGCCTGGTCTCTATATCGTACCCGGGGATGTCGACGTTCTCCTGGCGTCGACTTGCGGAAGAGGGTGCACAAACTCCAGTATTGCGCAAGCTCTTGCTTGGATTGTGAACTATCGTTGCAAAACAGGAAGACAAATTATGGTAATGATAGGCACATTGCGACTGGATGGCGTCATCGAAGGCGTGGTCACTCCCATAGCTACCTGCTTCGAGTGAGACGCTCCATCGATCCAGAAAATCATTGGTCAATACCGCTTGAATGAAGACGTCGCCGACAAGACTCACAACACCAGCGCCAACTTGAATACGTTTATTGCAAATCATGGCCGCGCATTCCGGACAATGCGGTGCACAACAGAGGACTCCAAGAAGCTATCAAGAGACATCCGAAGAAACTCCGAAGGGGCATCTAAGAGGCCACTGGCCTTTTTGCTCGCTCTCTTCCTCGTCCTCCTTTTCCTTATGCGCCTATTCCTCCTCCTCCTCCTCCCTCCTCCCTCCTTAACATTATCCTCTCCCTCCTCTCCTTCTCCTCCTCCGATTCCTCCTTCATCCTCCCCTCCTTGGGATGCGACGGTTTCCCCAACCCTCCATTCCTCTGCGTGCTCCTCCACATCCCTGATAAGAACAACTCTCCCGGGCCTCGTTTCTGGATGGGGAGTTGGTGTTACTTTTTCCCGGAAAGGGCGGGGGCCCAGGGTTCTCTTTTAGTTGGTAAACCTAATCCCCCGGTGCCAACTTGAAGGAGGCCGGCGGATTTTTTCCCTGATAAATATCGAGGTCGAAGGAGGCCGGCGGATTAAAATTTGAGGATGTCTCGAGCGAAACGCTTGTTTTTGAAATCCCGATCGATAAATCACAGGGTGCGGGCCACTTTTTCGTGTGTTGAGGATGTCTCGAGCGAAACGCTTGCTCCGCAGAGTTTGCCGAGGATGTCTCGAGCGAAACGCTTGTTTTGCAGAGCCGACCGCGACGCGGAAAAGCGCCCCGCGCGAAGGAATTTCGATGATGTCTCGACTAATTCCTTTGTTTTTGTACGATTTCCTGGAATTTTGGCAGGATGTCTCGAGCGAAATGCACGACCCCACCCTAGCACGACCATACCCCAGCACGACCACACCCCAGCACGACCAGACCCCAGCACGACCCCACCCCAGCACGACCCCACCCCAGCACGACCATACCCCAGCACGACCACACCCCAGCACGACCCGACCCCAGCACGACCCTACCCCAGCAAGACCACACCCCAGCACGACCACACCCCAGCACGACCTCACCACAGCACGACCACACCCAGCACGACCACGCCCCAGCACGACCACGCCCCAGCACGACCACGCCCCAGCACGACCACCCCCCAGCACGACCACCCCCCAGCACGACCACCCCCCAGCACGACCACACCCCAGCACGACCACTCCCCAGCACGACCACACCCCAGCACGACCACACCCCAGCACGACCACACCCAGTCGCACCCCCGTGGAATGTTTCGTGGCGTGTCTGGTTGAGTGGTTGCCTGTTCGTGGGGTGTCTCGTGGAATGTTTCACGGGGTGTCTCGTGGAATGTTTCGTGAGGTGTCTCGTGGAATGTTTCGTGAGGTGTCTCGTGGGATGTTTCGCGGGGTGTCTCGTGGGATGTTTCGTGAGATGTCGCCCAGTTGGGTATCGTGAAAACGTGACCATGCTGCACATGTCTTTATCCCTTTCCGGGTTCGTGGGTCCATCATGTTTTGGTCGCGGCCGCGCGACAACGGTCTGGTGGCGAGAGGCAAAGTCCGGGGCATGCGGCACGATGCGAATTTGCGAACACCGTCGCCACGTTGGCAAGCTAGTTCGCACCTGCACAGCAAGTGCGCAGTTGCACATGCACAAAACAAAATGAACTAAATTCACAAGCAAACGCACATAAGCGCCGCGGTGTGAACCGAAGTGGAAAAAACGGCAGAGTGTGCGGATGCAGCGAGCAACGCACGTAGGCGCAGCAGCGTGAACCAAAGTAAACGGGCTGCAAGGAGAGTGTGCGAAGATCCTCAGAAGGAAAACCAAGAACTGTACAAGCGTTGCGGGCTGAACCACTCGGCGACCAGTCCGCAGCAATCCGCCTCCCAGTGCTAAGTGGAGCCATGCGGCTGTGCCCAAGGCGCAACTGCGATGCCGATCCCTGAAGCGAAGAGATCCGCAGGCGTGGGGAGCGCCGCCGTCAAGTGGTGAAGCGACTGCGCAGCCTGCCAGGGGGGTCCTGCTGCAATGGAGGCAAGTGGGAGGCCGGTGGAGTGAGGTCTGTGGGGCGCCAGACTCCGAACGCCCGCGACGACGTCTGCAAGCCAGGGAGCAGCTGTCGCGGAACTGGTGCGGCGCACTGGCCGGAAGCTGGTGGGAGCCTGGGTGCTGTCCTGCTGCGGAAGGCTGAACCACTCCGTGGCGACCCAACACCCGAGAGACCACTCCACAGGGCAAGGGGGAACAAGCGACTGTGGGCCACGCAGCGCGTGCCGGCACGGCGCCGGGCCTCAGAGAGGGGGGGGAGGGCCCGCAGGCGGGGACGCACCGCCAGCGGAGGAGTGAGGGGGGGGCGGCAAAAGGGTATTGGTGTTACTTCTTTTTTGTTTTACAGCCGCAGGCGGAAGCGCCAGCGGCGGAAGGTGGGTGTTGGTGTTACGCGAAGCGTCTAGAATTGCAACCGTGACCTGGCCCTGACCCTATTCACCTGTCTGGCCTGAACCGTACTCATACTCCTGACATGCTCAGAATCAGACCTCGGACCCCGACATCAACTCCACGCACTATATACTTCGCTGCGACTATGTAGCCATCTGCATCGCATTCGATTTTTGTCGCAGGGATTGTGGGGGGGCGGGCGGTGGGAACACATTTTCTGCTGGGCGGAGGCCCGCCACCTCTGTCAACAACCGATGGTACGTGGTTGCATGCGCACCCACCTTCCACAATGATGGCCTTCCAACCTCCGCTTTGCATTAGTTTTTGGCAGGGGTGGTGGGGGTGTCGACGTCGAAGGAGGAAACAGAGACATAAACATAAACTTATGGAGCTCCGCACGCACTCCTTGGATCGGCGATGGCACCCCCCTCCCTGGCACGCGCCAGGGGCCAGGGGAGGGCTAGATGAACCACCACGGGACGACCTCAGGAACAGCGAGCCCCCTCCGAACCCAGAGCGGTCCTCATGCCAGCGTCTTGGAGGGCCGTTTGGGGAACGCCAACTGTCGGGTCCGGGTGCTTGTTCCTAGGGCTCCCAGCTTCGCGCTGCGCGCTGCGCGGAGCGCGAAGTGCAGATAACTTTCGCGCTCTCGCGCCGCCTCCCAGGGGAAACGAGGAGGACGAGGTTGGAATCGGCGCCGCACCGCGAAGCGCGAGTAACTCCGCGCCCTCGAGGGGCGCCCCTGTGGAAGCGGTGCGCCAGGCGTCAAAACTGCCGGCGCTCTCGCGCCGCCTCCCAGGGGAGAAGAGGAGGACGAGGTTGGAATCGGAGCCGAACCCTCGAAGCGCGAGTGACTCCGCGCCCTCGAGGGCGCCCTCGTGGAAACAGTGCACCAGGCGCCCTCCTAGGGCCTAGGGGAGAGGAGGAGGATGAGGAGGAATCGGCGCCGAGCCGCGAAGCGCAAGTAACTCCGCGCCCTCGAGGGCGCCCCTTTGTGGAAACGGTGCACCCAGACGTCAAAGCTGCCGCAGCTGAGGCACGCCGCCCCCCCCCGAAGCCTCCCACACCCGCAACCCCGCCCGCAGGCGCCCCGCCGCAGGCGAGGCGGCGGCGTCGTGCGGCGCCGCGTGCGAAGACCACGGCGAGGACATCGGATACAGTCCAAAAACCCTAATAAGGACGCGCGGTAAGGACGCAAGACCCTTGGAGGCCGAAGTTGGGAGTTTTGGGGCGGCGGACGACGAACACCTCAAGGACGCAAGAGCAAGGAAGAGCCAGGACGCAAGGGTACCCTGAGCAAAATCGCGCGTCCTTATTCGGGTGTTTGACTGTAAGGATTTTTTTTTATCAGGCAGCTTAGAGGGCCGATTCACTCGCTGGCCAGGGATCAAAACAGACACTCAGCTGTACTCGCAATCGCCTCGCTGTACCGCTCCAGAGGCGTGGTCCCTGAAATGGGTATAAAAACAGCCCGCCCCCCGACGGACCGAGAACGGGAATTTTGGTCTCCGGGGTCTGGAGGCCAGTGGAACTCCAATCGAGGCTTGGCCATGGATATCACCGCCGCCCTCACCAGACAAGAAACCCCCCGGGGTCTGCAGCCTCCTGGGCCCATTCCTTGACCAACGCCCCCAACGTACCTCAACCTAGGCCTGAGAGGCCGAACCGCAGTCTCGAACACATCATTGGGACGCCCGATGTGGTTGGCGGCATCGCATGAGCAATCGGTTGTTCACTGCGTGAAGCGTCGCCCAGTTCCTCAACTATCCCATGCCATATCCGCGAATGTGTCAATGTATCGATCGATGTGCGCACGTACGTCAGATACCTTGAAAAACATGTTCCCCTAAAGCCCTGCTGAAACCACTCTGGACAACATAGTTTTTATGATTCAAACCGCGTCCAGCCGGGTCGATGTCAGCGTCCCTGAAGGTCCGACAATCTAGCGCGCAAAAGCACATATGCCCCATTTCCTGACGCCTGTTCGAGCTCAGCTCGAATATGACATGTTCGTGGGTTAAACCAGCGCCCCAGGAAAGCTCCCCACAGCGAAGCTGGTAAAGCACGCACTGGGGCTCGAAAGCATTCAGGAGCACAGCGAAACCTGCAGGGCCCTCTGGAGGACCCAAGGGGGGCCAACAGGAAAAGCGAAGGCCGACGGAATAATGAAAAGCAACATCAATATGAACATTCGGAGGTCTGCACGCACTTCTTTGGTTAGCGCCGGACCCCGCCTTCCCTACGCTCCTTCCCCGGCGCGCGTGCGTCCTGGGTGGCGGGGAGGGGGACCCAGCGCCGACACAAGAAATTCGCGCGGACCTCCGATTTTGTATGCTTATGCCGCTTCTTTACTCGAGAGGCCGAGACACGATGAAACCGAATAGCTCTGAAGCTGCGATTGCGTAGTTTGTTCCCTGCCTGGCTCTAGAATATGTCTACAATCTTCTAGATTCGAGCCTAGGCGGCTACGGAATGTACAATACAAAGACATGGTTGAATGCACATCTGCCTGCTGCAGATCCTGCGATAATCATCGAGCAGCTCGATCAGAGGAGGCACGCAAGCGAGGGGGAGCCGCGTATGCGTGGCGGGCTCCATCGTCGCTGCGCAGGCGTCGCCCGCGCCCTTCCAGGCGCCCTTCGCGCCCGCGGCAAACATCCCCGCCCTCCCCACCCTACCACGGAGGCCGCCCAGCTGGTGTTCGTGCAGATGGGGTCGGAGAGTGGCGCCGCATTACTAGAGGACTCCTAGATGGAGTCCGAGTATTTGGGGTCGAAGGATCGCGCCGCATCGCCACTGCATCGCCGATATATCGGTGATGCATCGGGGACGTCGGCGATGCATCGCCGACGTCGGCGATGGGAATTACGGGCTAAACATCGAGCCGCATCGCCGATGCATCGGCGATGTGGCGCGATCCTCATACCCCATCTACTCGGACCCCATCTAGGAGGCCTAGGATGCATTACCACACTTTTGGGGCAGAGGGCCAGCCGATCCCGTCCCCCCATCTCAGGGCCACTCAGAAGGATGTAACGACAGGAACATCCACATTTACGAAGCAGGATGACGTCACTAGGGAGAGCATGGGTCGAGCAGTATCGGATTGGGTGCACATAAACATCGAAGCACATGCGTAAAAATGCTGACACGGCGGCCGCTAGAACACGGCGCCGATGTGCTGACACGACGGCCGCTAGAAACGAATGCACATGAAGCATCGAAACCTGCTAGAAGACGACCTGTCCCAAAGCAGTCGGCACATGTACGTAGGTCCACCAGAGGACCATGGCCTCCTTTCGGGTCCGCGTCTCCTCTGCAGTCAGCTCTGGCTGCGTCCCGCTCCGTTGCAAGACACCTAATTCTCAAAAGCCTTGCTGCACGGACTTCCGCTCCAAAGCTACAGCCAGCACGGTGTTCAAGAACCGGTTGGCTTAAGAAACCTACGCCCAACTTGAAGCGAAACCATCTGAGAAGGCTGGGCCCTTGCAGGGAACCGAGGAAACTGGGCGAGCTTCATGGGGGCTGCTGACGAGAAGCTGGGCCAAGGCGAATATTAACGACGACGGCAACGACAACGACGATCGGCGTAGATGTGTACCGCTACCCGTGCACGCAGACATGGCGGCAAGGACGGACGCAAGCCCGAGCGGCCTCGGAGTTCATCAGGGCGACCTCCTGCGCTCTCGCTGCTCTCTGCTGCCACTGTCCGCCCCCCCCGCCGCCTCCCGAGCTGACGACCGCGACCTTCAGCTCCCAGGAAGGACGACCACGAAAGGCCGAGGTTCGGCGGCGAGCGAGGGTGGGAAAAAGAAGGAGAAGAACCTCTCGGAAGGCGCCGGGACTCCTTAGAAGCCCTCGCGCCCTCTGAAAGGCTTTCTGTGCCCTCGGGGAGGGCTTGGACCACCTCCCAGAAGGCCGGGCCTTCTGAGCAGGCCCGCCCCTCCTCACTTCCCCCCCTGGGCTCGCCGCAGACATGGAAGCCCGAATCAAAGTCTTCGGGTGGCCTTGTGCGGGACGGGAAAATGACCACAGCCACTGCTTTTTGTTTGCGCCGCCCTCCAGCCGGCCGACAAAGAAGCAGTGGTTGTGGTCATTTCCCTGGTGCCGAGCTCAACGAAAACGACCACAACCACTGCTTTGTTCCTGCTGGCTGGAGGTCGGCAACAAAAGAAAAGCAGTGGCTGTGGTCGTTTTCTCGCCCCGTACCTCGGGGCTGGGCCGCCCCCCCCCCTCCCACGTCGCCCGAGCGGGCGCCCGCGGCCCCGAGCTCCCGTGCCACCAGGCGGGGGGGCCGCCTGCAGGCAGGGGGGCCGGCCAGGGAAGGCCCTGAGGTTCCGAGAGCCTGCAAGTGGGCTTCGGCATGCGCCGCCCCTCCCTCGTCTTAGAGAAGGCAACTACTGGGAGGTTTTCGTCGGAAAGATTAAGAAAATTAAACCCCATTGGGGGGCTGTTCTGCCGGAAAGGGGCCTCGGATTAGGCCGGATTAAACGGGCTCAAGCGGGATTAAACCGGATTAAGCGGGATCAATCCTGATTAAGTCGGATTTTGCCGGATTAAGCCAGGCAAGGCCCGAGGTTATGAGAGCCTTCAGGTGGACTTCGGCATTCGCCGCCCCTCCCTCCTCCACTCGGGAGCTGGGCGAGGGCTGCTCAAACCGTGGCTGCTAAAACGGCCCTCCGGGAAAGAACAGAAACAACTTCCCGCAACGGGGCGCGGCGCGCGAAGCAGTCAACGGGCTTCTTCCCGGAAGGACGAAGACAACTTCCCGGAGGTCGATTTTAGCAGCCACGGATTTAGCAGCCCTTGACCGGCTTCCGATCCACGCCCTTAGTGGGCCCTGGAAACGACAAGGCCGTTTTTTTACCGGTTCCGTTTTGCCGTTTTTTTGCCGGTTCCGACGCCGTTTTTGTTATTGGTTCCGTCGCCGTTTTTTGACCGGTTCCGGCTTCGGCTCCAAGCCTGAAGCCGTTGTTCTGCCGTTTCCGGTCGCCGTTTCTTGCCGCTTCCACTTTCCAGTGACACTTTTCTGGCAACGGTGAGAAGACGGCCCTGCCGTTTCCGGGGCCCACAACGTACACGCCCCCCCTCATCCGTCTTGCACCCTCGTGCCTGCAAGCGCCAGGGCCGACCACGGAGGGCCCGCCGTCTGGAGAGCCTTCCGGTGGCCCTCGGGCGCGGCCCGTGCCGACGCCTCACGGGGTAGAGGAGGCACCCCGAAGAGCCTCCCTACGGGCCAATACTGCCACCGAACTGGTTTGAGCTTGCTCCATGAAAACCATGACGGCTGCAATCTACATAACTATACATATATATGTGTATATATACACATATCCATATATATATGCTTCTATTGTATATATGTATACATATATACAAGCCAGAGAAGTCTCAGAGGACTCCAAGAAGCCCCGTACTTACGCATGCAAGTTGCTGCGCGTCTGCTATATAGGCGTGGGCCATAACAGCCACGCACACCTACAGCTGCGCATCTCTACAGCAATGCCGCGCTGCCTCCCCAAGCGAGGTAGCAGATACGCGCAGCAGTGCATTGAGGCCGCTCGTTCAGGCATGAAAAGTGGGATTCGTCATTGGTATGCTTGCTGGTGCCATGGGACAATTGCCACGCGTGAGAACAATCCTTTCTTCCTGACTGGCGCAGAACCACCGCCGCACTGAGAGATGCACCACTGAGCTGAGTCAGCCTGGCCAGGTGGGCCCCCGCCGCGCTTTAACACGCAATTGCGCAGACAGAGAAACCGCACGGGACACAACTTTCGGCTGCAAGGGCATGGTTTCGGCCGCAGGTGAGACCCCGGTCGTCAAATGCAGGACTCCTGGTGGAACTTTGGGTGGCCTCCCAGAGTGATCCCTGGAGCAACACCTCCTCGTAGTTTCCTAGAAAAGCTCGGAGCGAAAATCTGGTGGTCACGAAACTGCCGCACACAAGCAACGCGCGCACCTGCCGATCCTGGTGACTCTATCCGTCTGACAAGACAGGGGGCCCCAACCACACTCGGACACACCAAGGCACGGCAACATAAACACCTCAAGCGCTTGGAATTTGGCAGCATCTCGACTTCTCTTTGCTTGGCCTGGCCAAAGTCTGTCTACCTGTTCTCGTCACTGCCCTGGGTGAGCCTTCATGGGGGCCTCTGTGGACCTCCACGGCCCTATCATCACATGATTTCGACGAGATGTCGTCCAACTTTCGACCGCCCCTCTCCATCATTTCGTCCACGCTTCGTTGCGATTCCGTGCAGATTCCGACCGCATCCGATGACATCTGGACGAATTCCTCGCAACTGCCAAACGAATGTTGGGACCCCTACGGTAGAGGGAAACAATTACTGAACACTCCCGTCCCCCCCAAACTCAATGTTGGCACGCGCGGGGGAGACTGCGGTCGAAGTGCATCTCACCAGACCCACCGCCAACTTTGAACATTGGGGGGAGGGGGAGGCGTTGACGGATGAATGTGGCATGTGTTCGCTAATTTGTTCCGAGGCCTGTATGAGGCCCCCGTGAAGGGCCACACGAGCTGTCCCGTGGGGGGGGGGGCCCGGACACCCTGGCAGCCCCGCCGAACCCACGCCGGGCTCTCGCCGCGCACAGGAATGATCGGCGACCTGGGCGCCGCAGGACGCGATGCCGCGGGACGCGTCCACGGCGAGAGAGAGAGAGCGAGACAAGAAACAACAAAGAGGGAAAAGAGAGAGAGAGAGAGAGAAAGAGAGAAAAAGAGCAACAAAGAAAGAGAGAGAGAGAGAGGGAGAGTGAGAAAAGAAACGAAAAATAGATAAATAAACAACAAAGAGGGAAAGAGAGAGAGAGAGAGAAATAGAAACTAAACAAAAAAGAGGGAGAGAGAGAGAGAGAGATAGCGAGAAAATAAACAAAAAAAGAGAAAGAGAGAGAGGAGGCACTTGGAAAGTGAGAAAACAAAGAAAAAAACGAGAGAGAGAGAGAGAGAGAAAGAGAGAGAGAGAGAGAGAGCCGCAGTGCGCGGCGAGGCCCCGCCTGCTTCGATCCACGAAGGGCCTCCGCGCGAGCAAAGAAGGGGGGGAGCGCAGGTCCTCCGCGCCTTCCTGCCTCGTCCCTTCCTTATGTTGCTCCCATCGTACTTAATGACCACATCCCAGAAATGATTTCGAGCGTCCAGAAAAATGTCGAAACAGTGTCGAACGAGTATCGCCTCCCAGGGCCCGACACGTGAGACCTTCCGATTTCGGTATCTTCCTGGTGCTCGAAATTCTTTCTGGTGGTCAAGGCTAAAGTAGGTTGGGACAGCATAACCCTTCCCGTCTTTCCTGTGCTGCCTGTCCTGCCTCGTCTCTCTTTCGTCTTCCAGCTCGTCGGACCATTCCAGTCGCGCCTGGCGCTCCCCCCCCCCCGCCGCGGCCACGCTGGCTAGGGACCCAATTCGCATCGCTGAGGCGTCCCGGTAAGCCTCTAACCCTCCACTTCCTTCGCCCGTTCCTCTCAGACCCTCCACCTCCCTCCCTCTCATAACCTCCACTTTCCTCCTCCCTCCTCTCCCTCAAAGCCTCCACCTGCCTCTGCTGCGGACCCTCCGTCCTTCCTCGTCCTTCCTCGCCCCCTTCCTCGTCCAGCTCTTCGTCCTCTGGCTTCTCAGGCAGCTGCTCTTTCTGAGATGTCGCATCCGCCCTCCGCCTGCTTACCTGCATCCTCCTCCTCCTCCTCGTACTCCTCTGGTTGAGGCCTGGTAACTCGTCCGGCGTGCGGACCCACCCCTTCGCCACACAGGGCTCGTCGCGCGTGCGTCGCCCAGGCGTCGGCCGCCGAAGAGGCCGGTCGCCCTCGCGAAGGCACACGTCGCCCTCGCCAAAAAGAAAGTTTCTTTGGCGTGTGCGTGGCCCGCTCGGCGGGCACTCGCGAGGCGGCTGGCCCGTGCGTCGCCCGCTTGACGGCCGCCCCCAAAGCAGGTCGCCCGGGGGAGCAAGCGCGTCGCCCTCGTAGCGTGCCCCCGTGACGAGCGGGTCGCTGGCTCGACGGGCAGCCGTAGAGCGGACTTCCCGGCGATGGGGGTCGTGCAAGCGGGCCGCAGGCCCGCTGCAGGCCGAGCGGCAGCGGAGACGCCGAGGCTCTTGAAGCAATCGGCACGCAAAGCAGCGAAGGTTACGCAGCCGCAAATGGGGCCGTGGACCGACGAAAACGAGCTGAGCCGCAGGGGAGGCCGCGATCGGCGCCTGGACTGGCCCCCGCCCACAATCTCACCCAAGACACGAGCTAGAACACCCAGCCGTTTTACACACAAATCGCGCTACAGAGCGCCGCTGTCTTACAACAGACGGCTTGCGCTGCATAACGCCGCTGGATCACGAGCAATCTGCGCGCAAAGAACTCATCGCTGACAGGAGGGGGAAGAGGATGAGAAGGAGGAGGACAAGGAAGCGGAGGAGGAGGAGGAGGAGGAGGAGGAGGAGGAGGAGGAGGAGGAGGAAGAGGAGAGGAGGAGGAGGAGGAGAAGGAAGAGAGGAGGAGGAGGAGGAGGAGGAGGAGGAGGAGGAGGCAGCTTCGAGGCTTCTGGTCACACACGTCGCCGCTCGCGTGCCGCGAGGGGTGCCGACCCGCCGCGCCGAGGCGAGAGGGAGGGAGAACGTCGGGAGCAGGTTGGGCGGGGGCGCCGGGGGGAGGGAGGGAGAGCGGGGGGGAGGAGGAGGAAAGAGAAGAGGAGGAGGAGGAGGAGGAGGAGGAGGAGGAGGAGGAGGAGGAGGAGGAGGAGGAAGAGGAGGAGGAGGAGGAGGAGGAGGAGGAGGAGGAGGAGGAGGGGGATGGGGATTTTTTTAAACAGCCACCGGTGCGAACGCACGGTGGCACCACCTCCAAGGCGCCACCGCCAAAAAGTAAGTGAACAAAAACAGCCAACAAAACGGCAGGGCGAAACACTTAAATTGGTACCGCGGGGCTGGCCAAGGTGAAGCACTTAAATATGTACCGCTAAACCGGTCAGCGATTTTGTCGGCACCGACGCTTCGGTGATTGACCGCAGCCGCACATGCTCGAGCACTACGTGGTACGACGGTGCCCACAAAGGTCACTCGTCCGTCCACGGACCGCGCTCCACAGAGACACCTGCGAACTTGGGGTGCTTAATTACCTCTACTAATCAGTGGGGCGGCGCGAAAGTAGCAAAGACTTGATGGGCAAATGAGTATCGTTTAACCGATCCCCATTCCCAGCGGCGTGGCCTGGGCCCCACTGGCCGATTTACCCCCCTAGATGGGGATATAGGCCGTTCGCTTCGGGGTTCGAGGGGTGTCTCCCCAACTGGGGGGGTAATTTGGTGGGGGGCTCGCAGGGGATGGGGATGGGGATGGGGATCGGTTAAACGATACCGAGCAAAATGCGGGATGACCCACGAGAAGCGCCACGCTGCCGTGCTGCGAGCGGTGCTACCTTGCCGTGGCGTGCGCTGCCGTGGCGTGCCGCACCGGCCACTCCTGTCGCAAGCCTCCGCGCAACGAAAAGGCCTTCCCCTATCTCCCGGCTCTGCGGCCGGTCTCCGCACCCCCCCGCCGCTCGTGCCGCCCGACGAACAGTTCGCCCTCCCTCGGCTGACTCGAGCGCGCGCGCGGCTCGCCTCTGCCGCGCTGCGACGCGACGGCAAAAGTGAAATTATGGCGACGACGTTGCCGCGGCGGTGTCCCGTCTCCAGCACCCGTGAAATTATGGCTTCTTGAGAAAACCGCGGATCGTGCCGGGATGGGTGGGGGGTGGGGGGGTGGCGGGACGCGGGCGCGCTGCGCGGGCGCTGCGTTTGAGAGCGCGCTTCGAATTGGGCGCCCGCGCGCATCCCGCGGACGTGTGCGCGTGTGCGTGCGTTCAGGTCTGCAGGTGCTCGCGTGTCTGCCCCCTGTGCGCTCTGCGCGGGCGTGCGTGTGCGCGGGCGCGCGCCGCTGCGCGGGGGCGCCCGCGGGCGTCTGCGGCAGGGTGTGCGGGTGCGCGCGGGGCGGTCTCGGGCAGGCGACGCCTTCCTGAGCACAGACGTGGCGGCAAGACAGACCTGGCATCCACGGGGGGCCGTCACACTGTCGCCGACTTGGCGCGATGGGCTCCTCACCGACAGGACACGCGCTGGGGCAGCTGCTCCGCTGTGGGACTTCCTATCGGGGGACTCTTCGTGAGGATGCGCGTCGCCACCCGCTTCTGCCCGAAGCGTTGGCCCCAACGTCCCGACTGAGCGAAGCGCTGCTCTGAGTCCGGCTGAGCTGGAAACGAGAACGAGGATGCTGACTATAGCGGTGACGATGAAGACTCGCATCGTATGCTCTGAACGCGCCGCAACGACAAACTGACGCGGCGCGGAAGATGGCCGCTTCCAAAAGGGAGGAGTAGGAGGGGGATCAGGTTAACCAGGTCGAGCGAGCCAGTCTGCCCCGCCCATCCTCATCCTCAACATAGGAATCAATTCTGGCACAAAACTTGCACTTTGACTGGGACGCGTACCCGCCTAGCGATCGGAAGGCGCTCGCCCGGGGCCCTGCTTCCGACAACTTGGCACAAGAACAGCTGCGCGGGATGCGCAGGGGCGGGAGCGGCAGCACTTCCGATGAGCACGGCGAAGCCGAAGCATGCGCCACACCGAAGCAGGAGAAGTAGGAAAGGGGGATGGGGAAGGGGGGAGGAAGACGGGGCAGACCCTCGCCTGGAAGTAGAAAGTTGGTCGCATCCTGGAGGGCTCGTGCCACTGGTGTATGGCACCCCCGATGTCCTCTCCACCTCTGCTGCTCTCCCTTGCGAGAGGCTGCTACAAACCTCTGCCTCGAGGGGCGACCCAAGGAGGAGGCCGATGCGGAACCTTCATCTCTGGGCGCGTGGTACATCAGAGTCCAGAGGGGGCGAAGGAGGATGATTCGGAAGAGCACGATTTGCTAGGCAGGGGGAGGAAGCAGGACATGCGGGGAGCTGAGGGGAGGTCGGAGGGAAAGAAGGGTGAGGAGGACGGGTGGGGAGGATGGGGTGGGGAGGTGGTGGGACGCAGAGATGGGCAAACGGTGCCGTGGCCGATGTGGCAGCAACCTCCCAGCCCGTGGGAGACGGAGGGATAGACGAGGGTGAGGGGCATCAACAGGCGGAAGCGCATGCGCAGAAGAGAGGGGGGGGAGGAAGGGGGGCGAGGGCGGGGGGGCCGCAGCACCCTTAAGGTCGGGCATGTCCCTCTACGGGCGGAGTTTGGATGAAGTGTCAAGCGTTCGCGAAAAACCATGATACATACAATCCACAAGTCTTAGAAACACCGTCCCCTGACTAGTTCTGTACTATTTTTGAACATTCCTCCTGCAGAGGGACAGCGTTCTCAATTACATTTTTTACTATTTTTGCACAGTTGACTATTTTGGACCATTTTCCCCTCTACTATTCTTTACCCCGTTGCATTTTGACAATTTTTCCCTTTGCATTTTGCACAGTTGACTATTTCACTCCTCCGTTGACTATTTTTAACTAGTTTTGAACATTTTCCCTTTTACTACCTTTTTAACAGCACCCCTGGGCACGAGCCCGAGAAGAGAGGACGCCCTCCCGCACGGAGGGCCGCGGCGCGCTGGGGCCTTCGGGTCGGGCGGCGCGGTGCCTGCGGGCCGTCGGGCAGGAGGGGGCAGGAAGGGGGGAGCACAGGAGGACGGGGGCCCCGTCATCCTCCTGCAACCTCCTGCCATGCACCCTACCCTTGCTGCTGCCATCCTGCTCCGCCTCCCCCCCCCCCATTGCGGGCCCGAGGGGAAGGAAAAACATGTTTGATGAGGTCCTCATCCTCCTGGTTCTCTTCATCCTTCCTCCCCCTCGCATCCCTCCTGCCATCCTGCTGCTCTTCTCTCCATCTTCCTTGCAAGCAGCTCCTCCCAATCTCACCTCCAGACGTGTCCGTAGGCTGGGTCGGGCGTTTCGCTTGAAACTTGTTTGCCGTTTGCTGTCACAGAGCGAAGCACATCCAACAACTTGGCGAAAGGAGTGCCGGTGTTCTTGTGTGACTCTCGCCTTGACGCCGCGCACCTTCGTTTCACGGATGGAGGCTGGCACGTTTTCAAAATGGGGATCTCGCCCGGGACTTCCTCAAACAACTACGACCAAAAGTGCAGACCAGTGCAGCAGTTGCATGGATGGGTGGACATTTCTTTTCTCGGCGGCGAACCTGGGGGAGGGAAGAGAGAAGTGGCCTGGCCTTCTGGGAAGTTTCTAAGCCTCCTTGGCTTGGCACCAAGCTGCGGTCGAGGCAACCGAGGGGTACTGCGGGCACTAAAAGGAACGGGAAGAACACGAGAGGGGGCGAGGAAGCCGCGGGCGGCGCTCAGAGCACGAAGGTCTCGTGCGTGAGTGCAAAACGGGGAGAAACACGCGTAGGAGGCAAACGAGCATCTGGCAGAGGAGGGTGAGGCCCAGCGTCTCAGAACAAGAATATTTGCTGACCATCCCTGCCGCCGGCCGGCCCAGCCGTCACTGGATGCGGCCGCAGCGGCCACTCGGGCAGCACGAATGCTTTGACATGACCGTCCAGCGTCGGTGCGAACGCCCTCAACTACATCAACATACAGCTTGCCGTGCACACGGTAAGCTGGAACGACGCGCAGGGAGAGTAAGCGGAACTGCAGCAGCAGGAGGAAGACCAGCAACAGGGGACCAATGATGAGGAGGAGGAATGAGCGGACGTCTGATTCGCACTGCAGGTACACGCCCGTTGCTGTAGGTCCGACTCGCGCAACAAAAAAAACAGCAGCAGGGGAGCAAGGGGGGGGGGCAGCGCCGCAGCAGCCACAGGAGGAGGAGCAGGAGGGACGATGAGAGGGCATTGAAGAGTGGAGGGAGTGACTGGCCATCGCTCGGACGTCCATTGTCTATGTTTTTTTTTCGGTTTCGTGCGTGGTTTTTCGCCAAATGATCAAGGATGCTCCTCGATGGTCCTCGCCAAACGAAAGATGCACACGTCCGAGCGATGCCAAGGTGATGGGGGAGGAAGGTGGCCGACCAAGCATGAGGAGCAGTAGGGAAAGGCGATGGAGAAGACGAGGGGGGAGGACGATGGAGACACGACAGGACGCGACAACATGTCCTGCGCGTGCGCCACTGTACTTGTGTCAATACCCTCAGCACACCGACGAGACAGTGCGCCCACAATGCTCCCTCACAAGTCTCTTCCTGGGAGGTCAGCGCGAACGACGACGGATCTGAGGAAGTAGCTATCCTTAAGATGGCAAAACAAGAAACTTTACCTCATTGGCATGCATTGGCCATGCATCGCTCGCTCTGCCGGCCTGCTTGAGATATGGGATGTAAGACGAAACCACCCTCCCCCTGGAGGGAAAGACGTATACATGACGGGCACAAGAAACGGAATACCGCCCACGATGGGTTCGAATCCCTACCAACGGGTCCAAACGCAACTACCTACCGCGTGAATCAAGCAAACTGGTATCAGTCCAACATTGGCAAAGAGACTCGATATATATATATATATATACATATGTATACATACATATTCATACAACAATGGCTTATCGACTGTTCATGTGGTCTAAATTCTAGCATGGGCACCCAGGTTGGAATTGGTACCAAGGCAGGCGGTGCAATTGAGATCTTGGAGCACATGCAGCGCACTGCAGCGCGATGCAGAAGCAATGCACATGAAAGGCCAGAACAACGCAACCGTAATGCGACTTTACACACATTCGCATGCAAGAAACGCAACCGCAACGAAATCAACGAACAACAACACGCGAACACAACACAATGGCACTGCATCGCAACCACAAAAGCTACAATGACGCAATACGAACCAACTGCGCAATGCCATATCACCCCATACAGCGCAACGTCATACAACGTGTGCGATTGACAGCCGTGCGCAATTCATCAATCGCATGCGCAATACAACGCACTATCAAATCAGGTTGACATGGCTGCCAGACTGTGTCCAAAACGATGGATTTGTTACCCTGGATGAAGGAGCTAGATGGTGGAAGCTATGTGTTGCAAGCTATGTTCTGTAAGGTAGGTGTTGAAGCTACGTGGTGCAAGCTATGCTGTGCAAACTATTTGGGGCAAGCGGTGACGACCAACCTGTGCTGCGCAAGCGATGCAGTGCAAGGCTTGCGGCACAAGCAACGAAACACACGCTATGAGGAATACTATGCGCGGTGTGAGCTACGTGCTCCAAGCTGGGTGGTGCAAGCGATGTAGTGCAAGCTAGCTCGTGCAAAGTTCGTTCTGCAATCTATGTGGTGCAAGCTATGTTGTGCAAGCTGTGTGGTGCAAGGTGTGCTGTGAAAGCGTCGCGGTGCAGGCTGCTCGGTGCAAGCCATGTGGTGCAAGCTATGTGACGCAACTTGTGCTGTGTGAACATGTGGTGCAAGACCAGCGTTTGCAGCCTATGTGGGGCAACCCGGCCAGTGCACACAAGGCGAGCATTTTTTCTCGTCGGCGGCGAGGCGGAGAACTCCGCTCCGGCGAGAAGCCAGAAAGGGGCACCAACCAGCGAATTGGCCCGCGGGCAAGGAGAGAGGGTGGGGACGGCCGATACTGGCCATCGCTCGGACGTCCATTCCCTGTGTCGTTTTCGGTTTCGTGCGTGGTTTTTTTTTTTGTTCGCCAAATGATCAAGGATGCTCCTCGGTGGTCCTCGCCGAAGGAAAAATGCACACGTCCGAGCGATGCCAAGGATAGGAGGGAGGGACGCTCAGGAACCAAGCGAGCACATGCGAGCACCCGGACATCCCCAGCCAGCGCACGGGGCGGCCATGAAGCGCCCACGGCCGGGCACCGGCCGAAGCATGGGACCACCCAGGCTGGGCACGAGCCACGCGCGCGGAGAAGCGGGCCCCGCCAGCCAGCTTGTGAGCGCTTTCGTACTCGGCGTTTCGACGTTGGGCGGAAGGGAGGGGGGAGGGGGGGGGCTCCGGCTCCGGACCTCTGCTTCGTGCGACTGCTTGCGACAGTGCGTCCTTCGGAGGGGAGGCTCCACCTGATCGAAACAGGCGCCCCAAAACAGCAAAGATCTACTCCATGGAGGGGGGGGGTGCGAGGGCCTGCGCCGATCGGCAGAACAATGATGAATAAAAAACGATCACCTTCTCACCAACACACACCAAAACGTTTGAGTGCGAGCGTTTCGATGTGTTGCAGGACAGATGCAGAACCCATGCACCAATGCAGCCCCGTTGCCAGTACCAGCGCACGAGCACAATGCAAAAGGAACGGGGGGACTTCTGATGAGCTGGTGGAACGAAAGTTGCCCCAGACTTGCCAGATGATCTGAAGGACCACCAGAATTTTCCAAACTACTTCAACGATCGTACGGGTTCCTACACATTTCGACACCCTTTCCCGAGGTTTCCCAGGGAGTCTTGAAGGTATCCCAAGGATCCCGAACAAGTCAACGAGAACCCCGAACGACATGCTGATCGCCATTCCCAGGATCCCAAGACACTTTTCAAGGGGCTCCTCATGACCCATTAGACTTTCCAGCGGGACCCTGGACATCCCCATGGATGGCCGAAGGAGTCCTGATGATCCTCCAAAGAACCACACAGGAGTTCCGTCGGACTCATAACGGTTTCTGACTGGCCCTCAAGAATTTCACAAAGAGCCTAGAGATTTCTGTCGGGCCTCAAAGAGTTCCAGAAGAAACTCGAAAGAGCCCTAACGGTTTGCCTGGGGAGCCAACAGATTCCGAATGATTTCGGCCAGGATCTGAACATCAGAAGGAATCGTTGAGGACCCCAAAAGACTCCGAAGTAATCCCAATGGTGCCTGGCTGGCATTGGTACGAATTGGGGGACCAGTTTGCTGGGATCCGTCCCATTCTCAAGACAGCCCCGTACTATCCCTGTCCCCGTCCCCGTCTCCCTCATCTTCCGCATTGCTGGCTCGGAAACCTGCAGAGACTTCCGCACAGCTCCGCGCAAAGCCCCATGACTACCACGTAACCGACTGTAGCTGTCTGAGACATAACCTCGTAGCTATTTCGAGGTACCCCATGAGTGAGGCATCTGCCCCGTGAGCAACTCACAACGACCTTACTCCTGCAAGTTCCCCCCACTAACTAAAAACCTGCGGCGGGGTGTGGGGTCAAACTGGCGGGGCGAGACAGCAACACTTGAGACACCACTGCGCATTTGCCCGAGACCCGCCTCACATCTTCCTCGCGCGGACATCATCACCCTCTCGTCGACCATGCAACGGACTTGCAAATGCGACTTGCTGATTGCCGCGTGCACTGCGGACTAAAACTACTGTGCTCCCAAAGCTCCGAATACGGGTACGTCTACCACCCGGGAGGGTGTAGCACACATGGAAGCGAGCGCGTCTTGCGCACAACGTGAAGACAAGAGCAGAGGCGGCAGAACCTGGAATCGCCGCCAGCGTCAGCAAGCAGCACGACACCAGCGCAGAAGACACCAGCACTCCTCTGCACACCGAGTACCTCCGCAGGCATTCGGAATTCGATCGTGAAGCATGGTGTGTTGATGCACGCATGTGGTTTTACTTCGCTGATGGCTACTACGTGCGTAATTCTCTCGGCTGCAATAGCTCTCTCTCTGCAAGCGCTACGGTGGAGCTGTCACATTGGCCGATCAGCAGTAGCGTGTCCCATCGCATCGCGCATTGCTCGCATATGCTGTCGCTAGCGCTTTCCCCTTAGCTTCGCGACCAGTGCAGTTCTCGGAGCAGCTCGGAGCCCCAGGGTGCGATCCATCAGACTGCGAACCCCGCTCACTGACAAGTGCCTGCTGCGTTGAACCAATTGTTGCTTCCAGCTGCAGCCCGCTCAAATCTGCTCCCGTCCCTACACAAACATCACGACTAATCACCAGCACGATCAATGTCCGACTGGCCTGGTCCAGTCTCGGGGGCGCGCAAACATGGATCAACGACCCATGGATTTGGTGTGCGGTCGACAAATCCATGGATCGGGGACAATGCACTTCCCAAAATGCGGCCGGTGCCGCCTCGTTCGGCGCCGGAAATCAGCGATTTCGTATGGAAACGGGACCCGTCGCTAATCCACGCCCCGTTGATCCATGTTTGCGATCGCCTGACAGTCAGGGCCAGACGTGGGGGACGAGGGCCTTCCCCCGAAGGCCGAAAGGATTCCAGAGTAGACGCAAGGAGGGATCGTCGACCGAGCAGCTGCAGCAACGGAAGGACGAGGAGAAGGAGGAGGAAGGAGATAGGGATGAGGTGGGATAGTGCGGGATGCATACATGAACATGTATGTCGGAGGGCAGGCACGTGGGATTCGTAAGTGGGTCACGAGTCAGCTGCGAACATTCGTAATGTACCAACTCAACTGTTCATAAGGGGGACAGCTGGGCGGACGACCGCGACACAGCACCAGTGTGAAGTTGCACTCTGTGGCTAAAAACGCGGCAGGTGCGGTGGCGACCCTGAAGCTGTAGGTCGAGCCCTGCGAGGTGGTCTCAACCACAACGCCACACCAAACGGCAACGAAAGGTATGCAAGGTGACCGCGACAAACATACGAGGGACTGAAACAAGCAGAACTACCGCGTCAAACAAACTACCGGGGAGGAGGAGGATAGTGACGGAGGACGGCGAGAACAATGAGGCAGGATGGCTCTGAACGGCTTAAGAACTTCAACGTTTTCAAACAACACGACCTGGGAGAAGGAGGAACAGAAAGCTGCAATGGGGGAGGGGCCAGACGAGCCCCGATATCCCTCCACAAGCTGCGCAAACTACCAGCCTCCCGCGGTCCAGGTCAGGAGCTCCGTGCGACACGGCTGGGGCGGGAGTGCGGGGACGAGACAAGCGGAGGAGATGGACAACAAACCCATCCTGGCAAGGCCAGCCGGCGTTCCGCTTCCAGCAGGCTGGGACGGGAGGAAGTAGACGAGAGCAGGGGAACACACAATGACATAAACATAAGAACTCGGAGGTCCGCGCGGGTTTCTCGGATCTGCGCTGGACCTGGCCGGCGCCTCCGACGCCGCCCCTGGCGCGCTCCGCGCGCCAAGGAGGGGGGTCCAGCGCCGATCTGAGAAATCCGTGCGGACCTCTGAGGTTTTCATGTATGTAATTCTTCGTTCAAGTAAAGAAAAAGACGAGAGGGAAAAGAAACCCGAATCTTTCCCGACGGACTCGAAACGCAACGCGTGTAGCTGCAGCCGGCTTCGATCCATAAATCGTCTGGTCGACACTCTGCGTCGCGCAGAATCGGCACGTCATGGGCTCCTGTGCGCCACGCACCGAGTCCGTGACACACCTGGTGCCCAACGCAGAGATCGCCGTTGGCAGCTGGGCCAAATTAACAATAGGGGAACCCTCGCGGCCGAAGAGCCGCAATTAAGTGGAGACGCTTCGGGACTTTGGCTCTGAGGGCGCGTCCTGCGAACGTGGACGACACAAGCGGCCAAATAGCCGCTCGGAAACTTGACTGTCCAGTGCTGCGGCCGTTTCGTCAGGGAGGGGGATGAGGAGGCGGAGAGGAGGAGGGAAGAGGAGAGGGGATGAAAAGGGAAAGAAGCGCGACTGTGCCGTCTGTTGTCCCAGCAGAGTGGCCGATAATCGAGCGGGGGGGGCGGGGAGTTCGTTACGTCTCGCACTTCCAGATTTGTATGGCTTTTCATCTTCCCCGTTGCCATGTTATCCCTGAGTCAACTGACAACATGCTGCTTATAGACAACAGCTCTCTCCTACTCTCTCTCTCTCTCTCCTCCACGATATCACACAAGTGAATTGGCACCATACTACCACTCGTTCAATGTGGCTTCCCGCTACCCTTCCAATATCGAAGGAAAAACGATAGCGGTGGCCGATTCGGGACGGCTAATGGCTACTAAAGATGGCCTCGACCCTCGACCAACCCCCACGAAACCTCCGTCGAGCAATCTGTACCAACAGTCCATCGGCTGGACGGGCGGCTGATGTCTAGAGGCAGCTGAGGCATGAGGCAACCGTGCGCACATCCTCCCCTCGCTCGCTTTTGCCCAACCTTCCCCCTTCTGCTCCCTCCCTTGCTCCCACCCTTCCGACTCATTGCGTGCTTCTCCCCCCCGCCGGCTTCTCCTTCTCTCTCGCCCACTTTTCTCTGCTCTGCCCCACTCCGGCGTCTCAGCTCCCTGCCAGTGCCATCCTGAAAGCCGACCAGCCATAACTGGGGGAGATGTGGTCCTTACCCCCCTGGGGGAACCCATCGCCTGGACGATCTCTCGAGAGGGGTGTCGAAATCGATGGGTCCCCCAGGGGGGTAAGGACCACAGCTCCCCCAGTTGTGGCTGGCCTCGAAAGGCGGCGCCTGGCGCTCGAGGCGGCCGCTGCGTGCCCAGCCGCCGGAGCAGCGGGCGACGGCTCCACCTCTCGGCGCTGGCTCGGGCCGCGCCGGTGCGGAGTCGAGGGAAGAGGATCTGCTGCTCTGCGCCCCGTGGAGAAACGGCGGGAATTTGTTTCGTGTTTCGTCGGCGGCCGCGAGGAGTCAAGCAGCGCGCGAGCGACGGTAGGCTGCAGCAGAGGTGAATTGGGGCACGGGGGGCAGGGGAAGGCGCGCTCGGGGCGAGGGGGGGAGGGCCAGAGGGGGGCCCGGGATGGAACCACGCTCAGAGCATGCAAGTAGATCGCAATCTCCTCCTCCTCCTCCTCCTCCTCCTCCTCCTCCTTCTCCTCCTCCTCCTTCTCCTCCTCCTCCCCCTCCCCCTCCCCCTCTTCCTCCTCCTCCTCCTCCTCCTCCTCCTCCTCCTCCTCCTCCTCCTCCTCCTCCTCCTCCTCCTCCTCCTCCTCCTCCTCCTCCTCCTCCTCCTCCTCCTCCTCCTCCTCCTCCTCCTCCTCCTCCTCCTCCTCTCCTCCTCCTCCTCCTCCTCCTCCTCCTCCTCCTCCTCCTCCTCCTCCTCCTCCTCCTCCTCCTCCTCCTCCTCCTCCTCCTCCTCCTCCTCCCCCCCCCTCCTCCTCCTCCTCCTCATCCTCCTCCCCTCCTCCTCCTCCTCCTCCTCCTCCTCCTCCTCCTCCTCCTCCTCCTCGCTCATGTGGAGCCACGCTCAGGGGGGGAGGGCCAGAGACGGGCCCAAACTCCACGGGCAGCGGCCTGAAATTTCAACGGACCGAGCGAGCGGGTCTGCGGAAGCCTGTGGCCTCGCCCAGAGGAAGCGCAGCCCGCAAAAAGGCCAGCTGGCGCTGAGAGCCCCCACGGGCGGAACTTCCAGGCGTCGCAACCAGAGGAGCAAGCGGGACCCAAGATCCCATGGCGGTTCCCGCGGACCCTGAGCCCCCTCAATCGGCCTCGCTCAGGAACACCACTCTTCCTTCCGCTGGGCTTCCGCTGGCGGATGAGGCTCCGTTTCGCTTTCGACGCCCTCCGCTGTCCTCCCGCCGAGGAAGGCGAGGCCCATCCTTGAGCGCCCCAAGTAATGTGGAGACACCACAGGCATAGTTGCCGAGATGTTCTTGGAAAGTGGTAACATATCAACTGGATGTATGAACCACTCTGTTCAACGAGAATTCGCAACGTTTCTGCAGAGCCGCCAGACACGTGGAGGCGGCCTGCCATCAAAAAACAACTCACACCTGGCGACGAACGGCGTCCGAATAATTGACGGCCAATACCTATGAATCCCATGCTGTAGAATATGTTTGCGAGACTGTTATACGATATAAAGTCAACGACCACAACAACATTCGGACCCAGCCGGATTCAATATATGATTTTCGACAGAAGACAATATCTTCACGATGATGGTGGTCCAAGAGAAGGCACACGGATACCAATTGCCTCTTTGGAAGCTGCGCTGGACTTCCAAAAGGCTTTCGATTCCGTTGAGCACCAAAGGCTGTGGAACGCATTGTTCATGCACGGTGTACCTGCTCTTGATGTTCATGTGTTGAAGAAACTCGGTTCGAATCAAGAAAGACAGGTGCGCACTGATACGCGGAGTTGTTGGTTCGACATATCCCGGGGGACAAAGCAAGGCGACCCATTGAGTTCCTTAATATTCAACGCGGTACTTGAAGACCCCAGGAGAAAATGAAACAGGCTTGGAAAAAACAAGCGGTGTGGCATGCAATTCGGCCACACGGACGAGGTGGCGGATGATCAATTTACGTTTCGCGGACGACGTCTTGTTAGCAAGTAACACTTTGCATGGCATGAGAAAAATGCTTGCTGTTGTGCAATTGCATGCAAACTCCGTGAGCCTTAAGCTAAACCCACGCAGCACAAACAAACCCACCAACGCGACAAGGAAAATCGGGAGGGGCTGGGACACGCATGCAGAAATCAATGGAAGGCGCACGGGAATATTGAATCCAGATAGAAAAGTAAAGCATTCGGGTAGAATGCAGGAAGCGTTCTGGACGCAAAGGCCAAATTGAACCACCGGATCCGCCAATCTTGGAAAGCATTCGTGGCAACACGCCAGAACTAATTTTTGCTAACGCTGCTCTTTGGCAAGCCGCCTCCGCTTGTTCGAGAGCGTGTTGACCCCGACTGCTATGTGCGGACCACCAAGCTGGACACTTACAACAGAGTTGCGCCGCAAACGCCAGCAATGAATCAAATTCCACCGATTTGTCGGTGATTATTACGGTGAGGTCGGGCGTGTCCTCCTTCAGGCGGATTTTGGGGGAAAATCCAAAATACCCATCAAATATTCAAAAATAGCAAAAAATAGTCCAACAATCGTCCCCTGACTATTTTTTAAAAATTATTTTGGAATATTCCACCTGTAGAAGGACACGCCCGACTTCAGACAGGGCCCCGTAGACCCGGACACGCTAGACCCGGACGCCCAACATCCCTCGAAACCAATTTTCCCAAACGGCGGCGCGAACAGACTACTGCACTGCAAGATTTCCAGAATAAACCCGGACACAGCCCCCCAAAGCCTGCAAGACACCCCTAAACCCGGACACAAACCCGAATCCTGCAGTGCAACAAACAAAACATGCACGGGTGCTGAAAAACGTGACTTTGTAGGAAAGGATGTCGTTTCCTTGGTTTTCCGTGTCCTGGTTTATCTGTGTCCTGGTCTCCGGGGGGCTGATTCAGAGTACGGGCAAAGATGCCGGGAACGACGGCAAGAACATGGAAGGTTGGGTACAATGGACTACCAGAGCGACGCAGACCATGGAATCACATGCAGTTCAAAACCAAATGGACGATTGGGTGCTTGACCTGGAGACGGCGGGAATTGAGATCTGCGCAAGGGAAGGGTTGCTTGCGATGAGACAAGCGAGCGAAAGGCAGGCTGCCCAGCATGTCGCGCAAGCGGTGGTCTGATGACATATGCGGGCACCTACGAAGCCCGGGTATGGATGTGGCACTACTTATTCACCAATGAAAAATGGCATGCTCTCGGAGCTGGTTTCGAGAACTTGCAGTACTGAGCGCTTTGTGCGGTGCGAGCCCATCCCCTTCGACGGGACAGCTCTGCTGAAGTGGCGCCCGTCCGCCCCCCTCATATGGGCAGCGACCAGAAACCGCAACCCACACAGCAACTCATACGGCCAGCGGGACCCAGGACCCTATGACAGGAGTACAAGCCTCCTCCCCAGACGAGGAAGGCAACCAGGCAACCTGAGTGCGAGCTCTGGCTGGGGAATTTGTCTTGAAAGCGTGGCCAGCAAGCCTGAGATCCCAGAACATGCAGTTTATCCGGGTCGTCCATGGGAGGGGCGTCCAAGAGTGGGGTCGGCAAAGCATGGCCCGAGGCATGTATGCGGTCCAGGAGGGGGATAATACATGCTGAAAAAATGAAGGGCGGGCCTGGCTGTGCTCCAGCAGACTTTGGCTGCCTGGAGCATTTCGAAGCCGCTCTCCCAGAACTCAAAGGGCCTCCCGGGACCTGTGGTCTCCCAAGCGAGGTCCAGGGGGGGTAAGTTACATTATGTAACATATGTGCCGTATCGTACTCTTCGTGTTGGCAGAACTCCACTCCCGGGCCCGAACATGCCCTCTCCTGCACACACACACACACCTTTATGGTTGTCACTTCCGCACGCTTCCGCCGACCTTCCGCCGGAACAAGAAATGCCACCTTTGCTGACTTTGGAAGACACCCTCCTGTAGTTCCAGGTTCCCCTGGCTGGTAGCAGTGGCAGGCAAAACCCCTCATTGAGGAGGACCTGGATCCGTGGCTTGTGCGTCGACGTCGCGATGCGAGATCCCGTCGCCACCGTCTGCGCTGCAACAAAGGCTCGGCGGCCAGACTTGCAGGCTTCACGAGTTCGGCCCCGTTCACTTCTCGATGCCTTCCTCTCACACTCTCGCTCTCCCTTCCTCTCTCTTCTCTCCCTTTCCCCGCATGTTCCCCGGCACGCTCCCCCTACCCCGGTCCTTGCAACTCCACTTTGCCTCCCATGCCTGCACCCCTTCTCCCTCCTGCTCTCGCACCTCCGTCGGTTCACGTCTCATCTTTGCTACGGCAAAGACGCGCAGAGCCACCGGCAGCGGTATGGAAATACTGCGTGCGGTCGTTGCCAGCAGGGCGAAAGAGCTGCTGGCGTCGACGCTGTCGGAGAAAACGACCTCCGAGGGCATGAACGCCATGCAAATAGATATGCGCCAATGGACACATACCAACATACCACGTGGCCCCGATGTTCCTGGAGGCATCATGGAGAAGAGGGAGAGAGAGAGGAGGGGGCAGGAGCGAGTGTAATAACACGTTCACAGTATCCTCTCATCTTCCTCATCGCAACACACTTGCTATCAACGTTGGCATGGCCATCATCAATCTTGTCATCTTCATGAGCGTGAGGACCGCGGGCCACGGCGCTCCATCCCGGGTACGTGACTCGTGCATCGCCTCCCGCAGGGAATAGTGCACTGCCTCCCTCGAGGCGCATCGCAATCCCTGGCAGATGTTGTGTACTGCCTCCCACGGGGAACACTACACTGTCATCCGTCGGTGGTGCTGCATTGTCCCCGGCAGGGGTACTGCATTGCTGCATTGCCTCCCCCAGGGAGTGTTGCGTGGGCCCCCCCAGGTACTGCGTTGCCTCCCGCAGGGAGGGAGTGCTGCATGGGCCCCCCCCAACCAGAATCATCACGCTGGGCACGCTGGGCACGTCTCCTTCCCCCCCCCCCCCGTGGACTTGTCCCAGGCCGAGTTCCGAACATAATTCCGAGGCGGGCCCAGCCGCGGCGAGGAGAACCTCTCCAGGAGCCCCTCCCTAGAAGAAGAAAACAACGCCAGAAACGTAAACTTTTGAAGGTCCGTGCGCATTTCTCGGATCTGCGCCGGACGGAGCGCGCCAGGTGCGGCGCCGGAGGCGCCGCCGGGGGGGGGCCCAGCGCGGATCCGAGGAATCCGTGCGGAACGCCAGAAAAGTTTATGTTTATGGCGGTTTTTCTTCTTAGACTCCCGAAGCAAAGAAGCGTCGAAAACCTCATCAGGCACGTGTTGGAGGAAAAATGAAAAATAGTCACACACAAAAATAAGAAGTGACAAATCATAAAACATCGTCTCCCGACTATTAAAAACATGTTTTTGGATATTCCTCCTGTAGAGGGACAGGCCCGACTTAACCCTGGATCCTCGAATCTCGAGTCTCCAGGGACTGCCGCGGGCTGGGTGCGCGGGGCCTTGCGCGCTGGGCTTAGGTCGGGCCTGTCCCCCTGCAGAGGGATTTGTTGGACGAGAATCTTAAAATAGACAGAAAATATGCACAATTAGCAAGAAAGTGCTCAACACATCGTCCCCAGTCTATACGTGTTCGACTATTTTTGAAATTTCCCCCTGCTGAGGGACACGCCCGCCTTACATCTCGAGCCTCCAGGGACTACCGCGCGGTGGGCCGGGGGGGACTATACATGCGCACTCTCTTTCTGTTTGAGCGCGCGCTCTCTTGCCCGAGGACTGACCACCGACGTTATTCTCAAACGCTTTGTGCCAGGCCTCAATTACAAAGACTAGAAGAACAACGAAAACACATAAACATAAACGTTTGGCGCTCCGCGCGAATTTCTTGGATTCGCGCTGGACCCCCCTCCCTGGCGCGCGGAGCGCGCCAGGGGCGGTGCTGGAGGCGCCGCTGGGAGGCCCAGGCTCGGATCCAAGAAACCCGCGCGGAGCGCCAAAATTTTGTGCTTGTGCGGTTTTGTGTTCTTCAATGCCTCAAGTGCCAGACTGGCCGCCGGGCATGTGTCAGAACATCAGTCGTCACGCGCTCGTATCCGCCAGGCCGGTCCGTGCCTGCCCGGCGACGGAGCACAAGCTGCATGACGCTGGCTCCCGCTGTGCAGCGCGCCCGCCCGTCTGGTAACGGACCGCCGGCTCGGCTTCTGGACGACCCCGTTGGGCCACGGGCCACGGACCACAGATCCAAGAACGCGGAGACGCTGGAAGGCCATCTGTATCGATAAAGGGTTCTGCCCTGAGCCGAACATTTCCTCGATGTCCAGATGCCCGCGCCAAGCCGAGCCAGACACCACCAAGACCCGTTTTCGGGTACCCACGCCCGCGGGCCACCGAGCCCATCTTCAAACCCTGCGGAGGTTGGACCACGGGCCACGGACCGCAGATTTCGTGCTCGAGTACCCAAAGGGGCCCCAAGGTAAGCCATAGACCGCTGCGTCTGCCGTCACTGTGCAGTGATTCACTATGGCGTCTCCCTGAAGTCTCAGCCGCTGCTCTGGCATGACAGGCTCGGGCACCATGGGCACGACCATTGTGCTTCCAAGTGAGGGGCGCAGGGCAGAGGGGAGGAGTGGAGGGGGAGGAGGAAGGCAGGGAAGGAGAGGAGGACGAGGGGGGGGTGGGCGGAGAAGGGTGATGGAAGGAGGATGTATATATATATATATATATATAGGAAGGTAAATGGAAGGGGTGGTGGAAGAGGTGATGGAAGGACGGCGGTGATGGAAGGGGGAGCACAAAAGGCAAGGGGGCGACCTCGTGATCCGAGTCCGCGCTTCCTCCCTCGACCGGCTCGCGCTGGTCAACCTCGGGCTGGAGTATTTGGCAGAACTCGCCCCGACCTCCCCACAAGAACGCACTGTGCCTCCTCCTCCTCCTCCTCCTCCTCCTCCTCCTCCTCCTCCTCCGGTCTCTTTCCACTCGCGCACCTGATCCCGCCATCCGCAACATGCTCCTCTAGGGGAACGAAACATGACATAAATTAGCCCGGTGCGATCCGACCTAGGAGGTGGAGCATTGAGGAAGGCAACATCTACATCTACATATACACCGACAGCTACATTTACATCTACACCTGCATCTACATCTACATCAACATCAACAGCGGGACTCACATCTACACCTACATCTACACCTACATCTACACCTACATCTACAGATACATCTACTTCTACATCTACAACTACATCCACATCTACACCTACACCTACATCTACATCTACATCTACACTTTCGCGTTGGTTTTGTTTTTGCTGTGCATTGCATTTGCATTTGCTCTTGCCTTTGCTTTTGCCTTTGCCTTTGCCTTTGCTTTTGCTGTTGCTTTTGCTTTGTTGTTGTGTTTGCTGTTGCTTGATTGTGTGTTTGCTTTGCCTGCGCACAGACACACACACACGCATGTTTTCGCATTCGCTCACCAGGTGTGCTTGAGAATGCTCCGTGTCCGGTCTACACCGCACGACTTAGCATTGAGAAAGGTTGTGCAACACTTGCTACACCGAACGTTACTATGCGATGCTATGCTATGCTATGCTAGGCTACGCTATGCTATGCTATGCTGCGCTATGCTGCGCTATGCTAGGCTATGCTATGATATGATATGCTGCGCTATGCTATGCTATGTTATGATTTGCTAGGATGTGTTATGCTATGCTGCGCTATGCTATGCTATGCGATGCTATGATATGCGATGCTGTGATATGATATGCTATGCTGCGCTGTGCTATGCTGCGCTATGCTATGTTGTGCTATGCTATGCTATGCTGAACCAGTCTATGCTATGCTATGTTATGCTATGATATGATATGCTAAGCTATGCGATGCTATGCTATGCTTGGCTATGCTATGCTATGCTATGCTATGCTGTGCTAATGCTGCGCTGCGCTATGCTGTGCTGTGCTAAGCTAAGGTAAGCTAAGCTATGATAAGCTACGCTGAGCTAAGCTAAGATAGGCTAGGCTGAGCTAAGCTAAGCTGAGCTAAGCCAAGCCAAGCTAAGCCAAGCTCAGCTCAGCTACGCTAAGCTAAACTAAACTACGCTAAGCTAAGCTAAGATGAGATAAGCTAGGATAAGTTAAGCTAAGCTAAACTAGGCTAAGTTAAAGCTAAGCTAAGCTAAGCTAAACTAGGTTAGGCAAAGCTAAGCTAGGCTAAACTAAGCTAAGCTAGGCTAAGATGAGGTAAGCTAAGCAAAGCTAAGCTAAGCAAAGCTAAGCTAAGCTGGGTGAACCCAGGGGGAACCGCGGAGCGGATCCTGGGGGAACCGCCCGGGGCGTTTTCCACTGCCCGGCCCTTTAAGCAAAGCCAGTAAGAACCCTTCTAGGCAGAGCCTAGGTAGGGAACAGAAAGACTCGGACGTCCGCGCGGATTTCTCGGATCCGCGCCGGACCCACTGGCGGCGCCTCCTGCGCCGCCCCTGACGCGCTCCGCGCGCTAGGGAGGGGGGCCAGCGCCGATCCGAGAAATCCGCGCGAACCTCAGAGTTTTCATGTTTATGTCATTGCTCGTTCCCCCAGGTTTAGGTTCGTATTTTTCCGCAGACTCTTCCCACTCGCGCACCTGCTCCCTCCATCCGAACCATGCTCCTCGCCTCTTTCCCGACGCGATCGAGCCCTCCAGCCCTGGGGCTGCCTCGCACCACCGACGTGACCGTACTGTGGCTCCTCCTGTGTCTCTTCACCCGCCTGCTCCTCCTCTTACCCATCATGCTCCTCGCCTCTTTCGCCCCCTCAAATCCCGCTTCTCCGACTCGTCATGCTCTTGCCTCCTCCGCCTCCCGCATCCTCCCCCGCTTCGTCGCCCACCGCCTTCTCCGCCCCCTGCCGGAACGATATGTGAAGGGGTTATGACGGGGGCCGGACGAGGGCTGCAGGAGAAGTAAGCCTAACGGGCGCCCAGACTGCCACCCGCGCCCAAACGGTGCTCGAACGCTCGCTACTCTCCTCCCGCCCGTTCTCCTCTCGTTTCCGTTCGTCCGACCCCCCATCAAGCTCTTCCTGCGTCTGTCGCGGCCAGGGCCTTGTGAGGCAGGGCCGCTGGGGGTCCCCACCCATATTTATGTCGGGCGTGTCCTCTTACAAGCGGATTTTGAGCGAAAGTTGCAGAATAGGCAAGCAATATTCCCAAATACTCAAGCATGGTAAAAGCAAATCGTCCCGAGACTGTGTCCCCTGTTGAGGGACACGCCCGACTTAAGCCCAGATGAACGGCGCAGGAAGACGGGGTCGTCTGCACGGACACTGGCGCGCGCAAGCTGCCCGCGTGTTCATTATCGGGGTCGGCCAAGAGGGGGGCGTCCAAGAGGAGGGGGGGGGGGGGCACAAATCGTGACCAGCGGCATGTGCGCGGCCCAGGGGGGGTGGGGGGAAGGGGGGGGGGGAAGGGGACGTCACGAAATGAGAAGAGGCGCCGTGAAATAACTTGGGAGATATCATGGCCCCCGCCTGTGGGAACAAAAACACACACTGTGTGTGTGTGTGTGTGTTTGTGTGTTTTTTTCCCCACCGTGTTTTTTTTGTTTGTGTGTGTGTGTTTTCCCACAGTGTGTTTTTTTTTTTGTGTGTGTGTGTGTCTTTGGTGTTTTGATATCCCCACCCCCCTTCGTCATCGCCCCCCTCTTTTGCCGCGCCCCGATGCGCAGCGCCCTCGCCTCCAGTGCGTGGCGGGCCGCGCGGGCGGCCCGCGCAGGCCGCGGCCGGAGCAGCAGCAGGCGAGCGCGGCGCGCTCCACGGCTCGCAGCGCAGGGCTGGACCCAAACGTCGCGTTTCGTTTCGATTTCGTATTGTTCCCTCGTGTTGCTCTAGTCGTGCTTCGTTTTCGTTTTCGTTTTGTTCCTCCGTGATGCTCTAGGCTTTCGGTCGGGCGTGTCCCCCTACAGGCGGATGTTGGGCGGCAAAAGTTCAAACACAGCCCAATGATGTGCAACACAGAAGCACACATACTCAAAACATCGTCCCCAGACTATTGTTTGACAATTTTTGCAGATCCCCCCTGTAGAGGGACAGGCCCAGCTTAACTCTACATGTTTTCCAGTACCTCCCTCCCAAAACGAAAAAAGACAAAACAGCTGAAGTCCAGCAGAACAGCGTTTAGCTCCAGCCCTGTCGTGGAGTAGCTCCTCGCAGATGGCCTGGACCCTTTGCGTCGAGGCAAACAGGCTCCACTGCATCGAGAGCACCACTTGCTTGTGCTGGACGTCTGCGAGCAGGCACTTTGCGAGTACAGTGCAACGCGCTCGGTCAAGCAGGTCCACCTGCTCTCCGCTGTGCGACCCCGTGCCGGCGCCGCGCTCGCGAGGCGCCCGGAGGTGCAGGGCACCTCGGCGCGCTTGCGAGCGGGCCCGCCGCCCGCCGCCCGCCGCCGGGCGCGCGCGCGCGCGGCCGCCGCCGGCCGCGCACGGCCTGCAGGGCGGGGCGGGCACTGCCGCGGCCACACGAGGCGAAGCCTGGTCGAGAAAGTCCTTCTTCGTCGTCCTCGTCGTCGTCGTCCTCCTTCTCCTCCCCCTCCTCCTCCTCCCCCTCCCCCCTCCTCCTCCTCCTCCTCTCCTCCTCTTCCTCCTCCTCTCCTCCTCCTCTCCTCTCCTCCTCCTCCTCCTCCTCCTCCTCCTCCTCCTCCTCCTCCTCCTCCTCCTAAGACGAAGCCAGCGCGGAAATATCGTTGGACGAGGATAAATCCATCGAGAATCTCTTAGATCTTGCGGCTCTGGAGGATGTATCGGGCGTCGTGGCCCTCTCAGAGCAGTCCGGAACGATCTGAGAGCATTCCGCCAGGCTCTGGAACGGATTTGTCCTCGTCCTGGCCCCATCCGACCACCACCCCTCACAAGGCCCCTGCCTGTCGCACCGCCAGGGATTGCCCTGCGCGGTGTGGGGGGGGTCGTGGCGTGCACAAAACAGTACGCGCCCGCGGGTCCCAGAGGCTCCCGGCGACCGCGACGCTGCCAAGCCGTCCTTCGCGGTCTGCTGCTGCTGCTGCTGCTGCTGCTGCTGCTGCTGCTGCTGCTGCCCCGAGGCGGCAGCCGCGCAGCCGGCCACGGGCAAAAACGTGGCGCGCCCCTCGCCCGCAGAGCCGGCATCCCTTTCCCGTCTCGCGTGGGCCGTGTGCTCCCGCGACTGCACTGCACTGCGAAGCCATACGCCGTCTGGCGCGTGGGCGGGGAAGCAAGAAGCTCAGCGCAGCCTGTACTGCCAGGAGGAGGCAGGAGGAGCAAGGAAGGAACAAGAAATGAAATGGTATCCCTTGGCGGCCTGCCAGGGCTCACGGGCATGTGTCCGTATATGACGATGCAAGCTCGTTCCAAAACCTGTTCGTGCATGATGGCTTCGAATAGGTGTTGTTCGGATGGGAAACAATCGTTATTTTATAGTGCAAACACTCAGTCCGTCCTTTTCTCGGTCTCCCACGCGATCTTAGTTGCTCGTTGCTGGACGCGTACTGCTAGGCATACAGAGATCCCACCCAACCAGCAATTGTTTGGCAACGCCCCTGCGGCCGCGCCTGCGGCTACGGCTCGGCATCTCTGCAGCCGCGTTGGAGCGCGCACGCTCGCGCGCAGAGCGACCAGAAGATTTGACAAAACTGCTGCGGCCCAAATGGCGCTTGCCAATGGAAGCTCCCCAGCGCCTCGAAGAGGCCTCTTCCCATGTGCTGTTTCGGGGGCGCGCGCACATGGATTAGCGAGCCATGGATTTGGCGCGCGGATCGGGGGAGGTGCCCTCCCCAAAATGCGGACGTTGCCACGTCGTTCGGCGGCGGCAGTCGTGCCCTATCATGAGATGCTTCGACGCGCCATGGTTTTGAAAGGAATTCGACGCGCGCGCGTGGCGGCGCGGATGTGGACCGCATGGTATTTTTTGATACGGGTTCATATGCCCTGGGCACTTTTTTTTACAAGCGCAAGCGGGCCCCGTGGCGAAACGCAAGGAGGAGAGGAGGGGAGGGGGGAGGGTGAAACCGCCGGCAGCCAGCCCCTGGGCTGCGCCGCATCTGCCTAGTCCGGCGGCCCCGGCCGAACCTCCAGCCGCCTGCGCAGCGCCGCGCGCCAGCCCGCCTCGCTGCCTCCCGCTCGCACCGCGGGCACCAGCAGGAGCGCCGCTGCCCGAGGCGGCAACGTGCTGGCCCACCCCGGGCAGGGCCGAGCCGCCAGTGCCCGCCAGTGCGGGGCTGCGCTGCCGCAGCAGAGGCACGCGACCCACCCGGGGCCCTGCGACGCCGCGTGCGGCGCCCACGCGCCGCCCCCGAAGAGGGCGCGGGCGGCCTCGGCGGCGCCGCGCTGGGGCAAACCCTGGCCGACCGCCCACGGTCGCCGGGGGCGCCGCTGCAGCTGCGGCTGCGGGTCCCCTGCCGGCGCCGTCTGCTGCTGCTGCTGTGCCCGCCGCCTGTTGGGCCGCGCAGCCCGCGCCAGCCGTGGGCCGCCCGTCCAGCGCCTGTGCACCCTGGGCCCAGCCGGCCCGGAGCCGTCGTGGTTGGCGCGCAGCGCGGCCAATTCCACGGCGGCCAGCAACCGCTGCAGGCAGCGTAGCGCGCGCAGCTGCACCTGCCGCCCGTCGCAGAGCGCGCGCTCGGGCAAACAGGCGCGCGCGGCGGCGCCCGCCAAGCGGTCGGCGGTCTCATTGCCAGCGTGGTCCTCGGGCGCGATCCCGCGACCCGCCGCCGCGGCTGCGTCGAGGTGCCCTCGATGAAACCGCTCTCGCAGTGCGGCCTCAGCAGCTCCCACAGGTCCGCGTGCGCCCACTCGGTGGGAGAGGTGCTGGCGCGCAAGGCCGCGACCCCGTGGCACACGTAGCGCGAATCAAAGACCAGCTCCAGGGGTGCTCCGACCGCGCTGACCGCGTGCACCGCCGCGGTGAGCTCGGCCCGTTGCGCGGTCTGGGACCCGCCCACAGGCCCGTTGCGGCGCCGTAGCAGACCGTCGGACCCTCGCCAGCAGAGACCCCACCCTGCCCGAGCCAGAAGCGGGTCTGTGGGGTGCTCGCAGGCGCCGTCGCTCCAGGCCCGCAGCCGTGCTTGCCCAGGGCCAACCGCTGGTGGCGGCAGCGGAGGCGGCGGCAGCTCCTGCTTGGCCTGCGCTGCCAAAGCGGCCAGGCGCGCGTCCAGCGGCAGCACCCCGGTCAGCGGAACGCCGGCTGGGAGGCGCGCGAGCAGGGCTTCCTGGCTCAGGCCTGCGGCCTGCAGCTCAGCGCGGCGAGCCGCTGCCCATTGGGGGCACTCCCAGAAGCGGTGCTCCTTGGTTTCTGCCGCGGCGCCGCAGTGCGGGCAGCGCGCGGGCCGGCCCCACTTCGCGGCCACCGTCTCCGTGACGACGTGGCCACTGAGCACCGCGCGGAGGGCGCCGGCCGCGTCTGGCGCCAGCTCCTCGTTCTCGAGCAAGCGGCGGGTGGCCCAGCGGTCGATTCCGCCGCCGGCATGCCCGAGGTCGGCACGCCGCCCAGCCACCACGCGGGCCTCACGCCGCGACCAGGCGTCCAGCAGCGCCGCTTGAGTGTCCTGCAGCGGGCGGTGCTGCGGCCGCCAGCCGCCCGGGGCCCAAGGGACGCCCTGCCAGAGCGTGACGTCGTCGCCAAGGCCGAGGTCTGCCATGCTGCGCCTGGCGGCAGCGAAGGGCCCCTGCTGCTTCCCGTGCCCGGCGCCCACGGCGCCCGCCACCTCGCGCCAGAGCTCGAGCGGGAAGCGCCGGCGGCGTAACGCCTTGGCGACCTGCCACAGCGGAGCCAGGGTGGCGACCGCGGCAGGATCGAGGCGCCAGCTCGGACTGGGCACGCCGAAGACCACCTCGGCGGCGGCACGCAGCCCACCCCGGCAGACGGCCTGGCGCGCGGCCGCCCGCAGGCCAGCCAGCTCGCGCGCTGGGGGGCGGCCGCACGAAGAGCCGTACAAGCCTGCGGACGTGCCCGCCGCCGCGCCGAGCTCATATGCCCTGGGCACATGCTGGATCAGCGCGGGCACACCGCGTGGTGAGCTGATACTGCGGTGCCTGGGCGAGATTGCTAAGCCCATTTGGCTTCCTCATGATCTCAGATGACACGCGCGGGTAGAACACCTGCAAACCTTGTGATGGCACCCCGATGTTCCATGTGTTTTGCTGTATCATGTTAGCGCTGTTGCAACACCTGCAGGTTGTGCTTTTGATGTGATGGGCCCGACTTCCGCACATGCGCGCGCGCGTGGACGGTGCTGCGTTCATTTCCACGGCGCCGTTGGCAAGTGATCTTCTGAGGCGAACCAGTGCGCGCGCGCATAGTGTCTGTTGACAGCCTAGTGTCCCTTGACAGGGATGAAAGGGGGCGGGCGCCAGGCCCAACCTCGGCCGATGCCCCTCCGCGCGGAGCGCCCGCGAGGCGCACACGGGCGCGCACCCTGCGAAGCCTCGGCACGTCCCCCCCCTGGCGCGAGCACCAGACGAAGCGTCGGCACAGTCCTCCAGCGCGGGGCGCCCGCGAGGCGCCCACGAGGCGCCCACGAGGCGGGCGCCGGGCAGGACCTCGGCACGCCGCCCTGGCGCGGGGCGCCCACGAGGCGGCACGAGCAGGGAAGCCCAGGAGAAGCCGAACAGACCAGGTAAGAAGGCCAAGCAAGAGGCCCCGAGTGCTACCACTGCTTGGGGAACGACCGAATATAACGCTGGCCGTGCTATGGGAACGTCGAAGGCTTCTACATGCTCGTAGCTTCAGGTCGGGCATGTCCCCCTACAGGCGGATTTTGAACGAAAAATATAAAATACTCAAAACATACTCCCAAATGGATTAAAATAATAAAAAAATCGTCGCCAGACGATTTTTTGACTATTGTTGAATGTTCCTCCTGTAGAGGGACAGGCCCGACTGAATCGTAGCCGCCGCTGCGCGCCAGCTGGCGCGGATGCCGCGTGCCCGGGAAAAGGCCCACCAAACGAGCAGGGTGGGCGAGGGCGCGAGGCGGTCCACGACCACCAGATCTTCGCGTGGCGAAGATCCTCAGTCGACGCTTCGGGGAGTCCTTTTCATCCTTCTTCTCCTGCTCCTCCTCCTCATCTCCACCTCCTCCTCCGCCTCCTCCCCCTCCTCCTTAGCCTCCTCCTCCCCCTCCTGGTCGTCGTCGATGTCTTTCAGGGCCGGCGGCACCGGCCGTCAGGCCTTCACAATCCTCGCGTGGCGAATATGCTCCGTCGACGCTTCGTGCGCTTGGCTTTCGCCAGTGGTTGGATCCGCCGCCGCGAGTGACCTCTGGGTACAGTCGAGGCGTTGACCTAAGGAACCCTAAATAAGGAACGAGGCCCCTTTTTCCATAAGTTAAACATCGATTTCCTGTCGAAAACATAAAGAAAACCTGAGGCAAGCTGTGAAACAATTAAGGAACATCGAGCCCCTCCCCAACGAAACGGGTTCCTTCTTCAAGACCCCTACGGTACGGGCCTGGTGCACAGAGCGCGGCAGCAAGGGGAGGCCCGGGGGAGCCCTCCAGGGCTCGAGCCATCCTGCCCTGCTCGTGCTCGTCGCAGTTGTCCTCCTCCCTGCTCCCTGCTCTTCCTCCTCCCTTCTCCCTGCTCTTCCTCCTTCTCCCTGCTCTTCCTCCTCCTCCCTTCTTGTCCTCCTCCTTCTCCCTCCTCTCTTCTGTTCTGCTCAACTCTGCTCAGCTCACCACCACGCCCCGTCAACTGCGTTGTCCTGGTCACCCCATTCTTCCCCGGGGAGCCTCCAGCCCCGCAGGCCGCAACATCGCAAGCCGTGGAATCATCCGGCGAAGCAGTCGACCTTTGGGCGTAGAGCACCGCGCAAACTCAGGAAGGAAGACGGTGGGTGAGGATGATGATCATGTGGCGGGGATGAGGGTGTGGAGGATGAGGATGAGGTGAACGAGGTCGGACGACGTAGGAATCGGATGAGAATTGGTCAGGAGGAGCTGGACGGAAAGGATACTTATGAGCATGATGAGGACGAACATTCGAAAAAAAACAAGACAAGACAGAAGACCAACCCGTACGGAATGAGAAATTACGGAGGAGGAAGAGGAGGAAATGAACTGGATGGAGAAATCATGAGGGGAACCAGGTTTGACTGGCCCTCACCGCGGGGAGCCCAGCAGGGGTGGCGAGCGAGGAGACTCGGCACGGCTGCGTAAGGCGCGTTCACCAGCAGGCTCCGCGGACCTTCCACGCCGCGACCACGACGCTACAGGGCGAGAGGGGCGAGGGGACGGCGAGGCCAGGGCGATGATGAGAACGACCAAGCGGAGCAGGGGTACGGTGTGCAGGGGAAGGAGGATGGGACGATGTGGGACGAGGAGGGACTCTGGCAGAAACGCGAGGTAAAATGAGCGCTTGGGGGAAGTGTCTGTGTAACAGGCCACGAATTGAACCGGGCAACAACATGTATAAGCCGAAGGGGTGAACAAACGGAGGAGACGGAACACGGGGATGAGGAGAGCGGCGAGGACGCAGCGTCCCTCAAGGAGGAGGACGAGGAGCAAAGGTTGAGAATCGAGCACTGTTTGAGCCGCGTCCAGGTTCGATCTCGGTTCAAGCATCGGGTGGGTGATTTCCGCTATTATTAACTGTCGCTGGGCCCCAAACCAAGCGGGCACGGCTTCTGGGATTGCCCCAACCCGAAAAACCTAGACGCCTTTTACCACATATTAATATAAATGCTAAACTGAACATTGACCCGCGCTTTCCGCTCTGGTGAGCTAATTCCTAAACCTGCATCACATGCGTCCCCGCACACGGATTCTGTCCCTCCCGCATGGCGGGTTCTTTCTAACCCCCCTATCCCATGCGTGCCCGCTCGAGGATCGCGCCCCTCCCGCTCAAGGATCGCGCCCCTCCCGCGCGGCGACTAATTCCAACCCCCCCATACCATGCGTGCCCGCTCGAGGATCGTGCCACTGCCGTTCGAGGATCGTACCTGATCCCGCGTGGCGGCTAATTCCTAAACCCCCATCACACGCGTGCCCGCTCGAGGATCGTGCCCCTCCCGCTCGGGAATCCCCACCCCCCTTCCCCCCTTCACTTCCCCCTCCCCCCCCCCCCGCGTGGCGGCTAATTCCCAATCCCCCATTCCGTGCGTGCCCGCTCGAGGATCGTGCCCCTCCCGCTCGAGGATCGCGTCCCTCCCGCTGGAGTATCGCGGCCCTCCCGCATGGCGGCTAATTCCTAAACCGATATCCCATGCGTGCCCGCTCGAGGATGGCGTGAATTCCACGTGGGCGTGCTCGAGGATTGTCGCGATAGCCGGCATAGAGCGCACTCTGATTGTATGCCTTCATATGTAATGCGTATCCATGGCAGTGATCGCCGCAGCAGTGTGAGCAGCGCCGAGTGTGTTGCGACGCTCGTGCTAGTTGACCCTAAACCCTAAACCCCACACCCTCAACATTCAGGGATTGAGCCACTGGCGGGCTCGTGCGGCTCTCGCACCATTGCCACTTCCCCGCGGCGGCTTTTTAAGGGCAAGGCCGGGGCATGGGGGCAGCAGCCCACACTTACACGATGGAGTCCTGCGGGTAGCCACAAATCGGCTCCCGCTCGGCAGGACAGAAGCACGTGCGAGCGAGCGGAAGTGGCCCAACATTCTGCCCATGGCTCGGGGATGGACAGACCCCCCTCTAGTAGAACGTGGTTTAGTGAAAACGACCTGAGGCCCAAACCTGGCGGGCGCAAGCCTGGAAAATAACGGCCACGGCGGCATCTCGAGAACCGAAAACGGACAATTCACTAACCGACGTGTCACTGTTGAGGGTTCTGTCCAACCCCGAATGGCATGCGCCCGCGTCATGCCGGCCTGGCCCACAGGCTCTTGCTGGCGGGTGGGCTCGACGGCCAACCGCGACGGTTGGACCGCTGGGGCAGAGGCGGCTGGTGTGGGCGCTGGCTGCCACTGCGACTTCTCTAGAGGCCTCCCAGATGGGGTCCGAGTAGGTGGGGTCGGAGGATCTCGCCGAATCGCCGATACATCGGCGATGCATCGCCAATGCATCGGCGATGCATCGGCCATGCACTGGCGACGTCGGCGATGCATCGGCGACGTCGGCGTGGAGAAAATTTGGCCCCACATCGAGCCGCATCGCCGATGCATCACCGATGTATCGCCGATGCATCGGCGATGCGGTGAGATCCTCCGACCCCATCTAGGAGGCCTAGATTCTCACCAGCGAAGCGCTGGGCCAGGCAATGCCGAGACACTGCTGGTCGACAAGCTCGTGTGGCCGCGCTTCAGACTTTCGGCCCTTGCAGCCTGGACCGTCCTTCGCTTGCCTGGCGTGCGCAGGCACCTCATGAACTTGCCGCACCCTGGTTTCTTGGATCGTCTGACCCGGGTCAGTGCAAACCCGGGCCAGTCAGGCCTTGCAGACTCCTGCAAGATCCTGCGCCTAAGCCCGGGCCAATGCGAAGGATCCTGCAAGATCCTGCAGGATCGCGCACCGAAGCCTGGGTCAATGCGACCCTGGCCCTGCAGGATCCTGCACGATCGGGCGCTCTGGCTGACCCCCGTTTGCATTGTAGGGAAACGAATTCCATACACCGACGCTTTTCCCGACCCTCCGTTGAAATTCGCACAGGAGCGCGGATCCTGGTGTATACGGGATCATGGTGTATACATGTTTCGCTGTTTCCCTCGCTGTTTGCCGTGTAAAACAAGGGAGAAGTATACACCACACAACCCCCCGACGTCGTCCCCGACCCTCAGAAAGTCGTGGGATCGAAACAAAACCCGCCACTGGTCATGTCACTCGTACCCAAAGAGGTCCACAGAACTCGCCAGAAGGCCTAGAAGGGCGCTCGAGAGTGCTCTACGAGAACCTTGGCGGCCCTGTATATACTGTAATGATGCCGCTCTCGGGCACCCTCACTGTGGAGGTCGCCTGGGACTGGGGCAGTACGTGCTACATTATACACGTGATAGGCCAACACAACACGCTCGACGATCTCTTGCGTCGGACCCGCCAATGGTCATGTAATGCGGGACGACGATTACTTTAAAAAATGGAAGAGGACGAACAAACAATAGTTTTCTGCTATTTCTGCATAAGTTTCTGACTGGAGGAGAACGATGTTTAAAAATAGTTCTCCAACCCAAGGCCGGTTTTTTCTAATCGTCATCCCGGGCGCCGCCGCGTGAACACGACCCCCGGTCATTCATTAATCGTCATCCTCCATTATACACCACACCACACCCGACGTCGCCCCCGACCTTCAAAAAGTCGTGGGATCGAAGCAACACCCGCCACTGGTCTAGTCGGGGCGTTGACCTAAGTCCATGGAAAACCTCTGGAAAACCCGAGGCAAACTTTGAAACAATCAAGGAACACCGAGCACTCCAAAGCGAACGCGCCCCAAGCCCGCAACTTCGCCCCCCCTGCCAAGGCCATGTCGTTCTACAAGGTTTCGATCGAGCCCGCAAATCGATGTCACCAATTGAACCGCTTCAGAAGTGCACCAGTGGTCAGCTACTTCCTCTCTCCCTCCCTGCCTCGCTCCTTTCCTAATTCTCCCATCGCCTCCCTTCTCCTCTTTTCCAGCTCCTCCCCTCCCCTCCCTGTTTTGCGCACCTCGTCCCGGAGGACCCTCGAGCGAAGCGCGTTCAGACTCGGCCCAGGCGCAGAGGCGCAAGCAGAAGCTGGCCTCGTCTTGACGCGCCCGAGCTCCCAGAGCCGGGACAAACTGCATGCCAGAGCTTGAGGCTGAAGGCGGAGGCGGAGAACAAGACAACGACCAGTACGAAGCATTGCTGTGGCGCACTCACGCGCACCCTGTTTTGGAGGTGCCGCCTGGGCATGCCTCGAAGAACATATGACATGTGCGGACACAAGCGTTGTGCAGACTAAGCAAAAGCGGCGTAAACATAAACTTTTGGCGCTCCGCGCGGATTTCTTTGAGCTGCGCTGGACCCACCTCCCTGGCGCGCGGAGCGCGCCAGGGGCAGCGCCGGAGGCGCCGCTGGGGGGCCCCAGCGCGGATACAAGAGATCCGTTCGGAGCGCCAACAGTTTATGTTTATGGCGTTCTGTCTTCTTCGATTGGGGGCAAAGCACAAGCTCATCCTCCGTCGCAGCCGAACTCCTCTTGCTTTTTGGCCTCAGTTCAAGTATGTGCGAGCGGCGCTGCACGCGCGCAACGCCGTGTGAGGGCCCTAGGGCAACTGTCTGCGTAGAAACGGCGCCGCAGATGCTGCTCCGTTACCTCTCGCTCGTGCTGACATACTGGAGCAGGGACCAACCGTCCCGGCATTCCTATAGGCCTGCCACGAAATTAGGCCCGAAGTCGGCCCCTGGAGACCGAGATCTCCACGAAGCCTCCGTCCTGATGCTTTCGGTCCACACGCCGGACGTCTGTGATCCTACCATGAGGGGCGGGGCAAAGCTGGGGGGGGGGACCGGCTCAGCAAGGGAAAGATCGGCCCGGACGAACCCGTCGGGCCGCCGCGCAAACGGGCCGCGCTACGCGCCGCCAAGCTGGTCCCGGGTAGGCTGTGCTGCCTGGCAGAGGGGGAAGAGGAGGGGAGAAGCAGGCAGACAAGGACGTCCGCGCAGGCGGGACCGGGGTCGGCAGGCCGCGCGGGCAGGCGGAAGGGGGGCCGGGCGGAGACAGCTGGCATACATCGCTGCTAGATCGGAGGTGGCGTTTGGTACCCCCCCTGGGGCCATCACAATCGCCTCTTGGGGCGCTCTTGGGCCGCTCTTGGGCACTCTTGGGGCCGCCTGGGGTGCTTCTTGGGCCCCTCTTGGGCCTCTCTTGGGCCATCTTGGCGCCGTCTTCGGGCCTCAGCATCGATTCGGAAGCAAAACAAGCGAGAACTCACTCATCATCGACTTGCCGTAGGTCTTTGGCCTCTTGGGGGGCCCCCCGATAGGAGTTGGGCTATATCGGGCCCACGTCGGCGATGAACGGGAGATTGGTGGTCGAGGTGTCCCCCCTGGTGCCAGTCGCCCCCTATCCGTAGGTCGGGCATGTCCCCCTACAGGCGGATTTGGAACGACAAATGAAAAAAGTACCCCCGAATATCAAACAATATTCAACAATGGTCAAGAAATCGTCCCCAGACTTTTAGACTATTTTTGAATATTCCCGATGTATGGGGGCACGCCCGACTTAACCCTAGCGTTGCTCCTGGCTGCCATCGTCTGCGGAAGCTCATGGGAGCCTCCCATACCATCCTGTTGGCTCTTGCGAACCGACGCTGATCGACACCAGTCGACACTGAGTCGACGTGGAATCGACGCTCATCAGCGCTAGTCGACGCTCATCGACGCTAAATCGGCGCTATCTCATGGAAAGCCAGACGCTAATCGACGCTAGTGCACTCGAACGCAAAAAATGCGAAGGTATACGAGGCTCCCACGATTGCCTTCCGAATATCATCGACTACCAGACGTTCATCGACGCTAGTGGACCCTACGAACACAATTGCGATACAAGGCTCCCATGATTTCCTTCTCTAGCCATCTCTCCCGCTCGGCCATTTCTCGGGTAATGCCAAAAGCTTTCCTGGCCCAAAGTGCCCCCAGGATCTCCAGGGAGGCCCCCGCGGCCTCCAGAACACCCCTCGCGAGGCCCAGAGGGCCCCAGGCCCTCCAAAGTTGAGAGCGCAAAGCTGGTGGCACCTTGGGCCAGGGGCACTTCCAACGAGGAAGAGAAGGCGGCGAGAAGAAGGAGGAGGAGGAGGGGGAGGAGAGAAGGATGAGGAGGGAGAGAAGGAGAGGGGGAGGAGGAGGAAGAGGAGGAGGAAGAGGAGGAGGAAGAGGAGGAGGAGGAGGAGGAGGAGGAGGAGGGAATCCCCGACCGCTCGGCTATTTTGGCTCAGAGCGCCCTCAACGCCGGAGCATGGACGCGCCCGCGCCAGCGAGCGACCACAGGCCGCCCGCGACGGCGCCAGCGCCACTCCACACCTCGGGCGCGGACCCGAGGCACCCGTCGGGGGGGCGGGGACGGTCCCCCTCCGCCTCCTCCTCCTCCTCCGACCCAGCTTCTTCCTTGTGCACCTCCTGACGCCTCCTCCTCCTCCTCGTCCTTCTCCTCCTCCTCCTCCTCCTCCTCCTCCTCCTCTTCCTCCCCCTTGTCCTCCTCCTCCTCCTGCTCCTCCTCCTCCTCCTCCTCCTCCTCCTCTCGGAAAGGTAGGTGGGGGTGGGGTATACGTGTCGTGCCCCTTCTTTGGAGACATCATCGCGGTCGTGAGCCGAAACTCTCTCTCTGGCCCTGCCCCAGCGGGGGGGAGGGGGAGCCAAGATGGGTGGAGCTACAGTCGGACCCAGGCCAGAAGAAGAGCATCTCTCAAGAACATGGGACCCTCCGTCTGCTAAAACAGACGGGACATCCAGGGTTACCCTCCCCAGGGTGCACGAGAGCATCCAACAATCATGAAGAACACTAGGGTACCCTCCCCGAACGACCTGGATCTTGCACCTCGGTCCGACTGTACGTTTGCTTGCGCCCGAAGCCATCGGAGGAGGAGCAAGGGGGGGGCGGGGAGTCTGTTGTCCCACGGCGCAGCCAATCGGCCGAAGACCACTTGTGTTCTTGCGGTGCTCCATCAACTGGCGTTCCAATCGAATCTAGCTCAATCGCTTGCCACAAAGTGGGCCAAAGGCATGCTAGAACCTCTGGCAGTTGGTCCAGCGCGCATGGCGGCCTAGAACAATTCCCTTACATGGTCCGTTCAGGAATGTTTTGCTGCTGTGCGCGGCCCTCAAGACCCCCAAGGCAGCCCCAAAGGCGCCTCAATGGAGCTCCATACTGCGATTGCGGATGGGCCCGTGAGGCATGAGGAAGAGACGCAGGAGGGGAAACGCGCGCTTTCCCCGCACAAGGCCTTCCCGGACAGAAAGAGGACACACGGAGGACTGAGACCAATGGGCAGCGGGGGACCACCAGAACTCCAGCAACACACGGCAGTGTGATATCAAGGGACGTCTAATGTCTGCACGCTCTGTGCCTAATGCATGCTGCAGCGTGAACGCAGCGCAGACGCAACCCTCGAGAGATACTCAAGCACTGAACCGCAGAAGGAATACATATGCTACACGCACAATGAGCAATGCAGAGGTTGAGCTCCAGAGAATTGGAGCCGACAAGCGAAGAGATCTGGGTAAAAGGTTAACACTCACCCAACCTAGAATAACAGTAAACCAGATAATCATAACATAATCTTCCCGAGGTCCACGAGGACTTCTTGAGTCGGCGCCAAGTCCTCCTCCCCTTGCGTGCGAAGCGCGCTGGGGGCGGCACTGGAGGCGCTGCTAGGGGGGCCCAGCGCCGACCCAAGAAAGTCGCGCGGCCCTCTCAGGGTCTTTGCTTATGCAATTCCGGAAACTTCCGAAAAAGAAGCGGACGCAAGCCTGTAATGAACGCCACGGGGAAACGCCAACCAGGGTCCGCGCTAACCCGGGACAGCCACGGCCACGTCGCGAGCCACGGCCAGCTGCAGAGTAACCCCCGAAACCCAGGTCAGCGGAGGGCGGGGAGGCAGGATCGACTCGTCGTTGCCCCCACCGACGGGTCAGCCAGAGGGGATCCGAGGGGATCGGGCTGGCCCCGGCTGGTGCTGGCCCTCGATGCGCGCGCCCCGAGCACTCCCGCCCCTCACCTTGCCGGTCAAGTCGTACTCGCGGTCGGCGCGTCTTGCTCCTTCGAGGGCTGCACTGCCTGGCAGGGCATATGCGGTGGGGGCGCATTGGGAGCGGAACCCTTGTAGAGGAAATCCAGGGTCTGGAGGCCGGTGGAACTCCAGTCGAGGCTTGGCCATGGACATCACCGCCGCCCTCATCAGATACAGTGGGGCCCACGCCACGAAACACAACGCTTGCCTCCAGGGTGCCCTGGGTTTCTGGGGCTTCGATGGTTCTGCGAGGGAAGACGTGACACACCAAGCATCGACGGACGTCCTGAGGTCTCAGGGATGGGTTTCTTGTGGAAGGATTCTTGTGGTCGGGCCCCCACTGTAAAGAATTCTCCAGGGTCTGCAGCCTCCTGGGCACATTCCTGAACCAACGCCCCCACCGTATCTCTCTCTCTCTCTCCCAGGAGAGGCCCGCCAGAGTGGGCTTGCCTGCCTCTGGGGCCGAGAGGTGGAAGACGGGTGGAGAGAGGCCGGGTGCGAGCTGGGGAGGAGGAGAACTAGGAGGAGGAGGACGAGGAGGAGGACGCGGAGGCCGTACGGGGCGATCAGGGCGTGGATGACGAGGACGACAATGACGAGTATGCTTATGATGATGGCGGCGACGATGAAGATGAGGATGATGATGCTGATGATGATGACGATGATGACGATGATGATGATGATGATGATGATGATGATGATGATGATGATGATGATGATGAACATGATGATGATGATGATGATGATGATGATGATGATGATGATGATGATGATGATACTGGTGCTGAGAAGATGAACGTTATGATGGTGATGATGATGCTGGTGAAGCTGATTTTGATAGTGATGATGGTGATGATGATGATGATACTGACGATGGCGACGATGATGATAATGCATATTATGATGATGCTGATGATGAGGATGATGAGGTCGGTGATGCTGGTTGTGTCCAAAATGATGATTCTGCTGCTGGTGCTGATGCTGATGATGATGGTCAGGGGAGAGATGAGGAGCACGACATGATTCGCGTGAGCAGGAAGAGGAGAGGATCAGCAATGATATGAGGATGAGGCTGATGGTCATGATTATGAGGATGACAATGAACATGAGGATGAGGATGATGATGATAATGCTGCTGGTGATGATGATGGCTGTGCTGATGATGCTGATAATGATGCTGATGCTGCTGATGATGCTGCTGTTGATGAGTATGCTGATGACAAGGTTGAGGAGGATGATAATCTATATGGGAATGGAGGGAGGAGAATTCTGCAAAGGGGGAGGTCTATGTTACAATGTGAGGAGGCCGGGAGGACAGGCGCAAAGACGATGAGGAAGGGGATGAGAGGGGGATGGATGGGGACAATGGGGAGGAGGATGAAGTGTTACGGCTTTCCTCTCCCTGCCCTGCCTGCTCGAAGCGCGCAGCCCGATGCGTCGTACTCCTGGTCCACACTTCTGGCTGTTTCTGCCGCCTGCGACGCGAATCTCCAGGCCTCGCGAGCAGAAGGCACACATTCAAAACAAGTCGTGGCATCGCACGCTTAATGGCAATAATATTCTAGCACTCCTCGTGACGTAACTCATCCGACTCCTACTCCTTCCTCCTCTTCGAATTACCCTCCCCTCGCCACCGCCTTCCTGTTACACGTGTGCAACCTGCGCAGATGGAGATGCGATGTATGGGAAAGCGTTGCGCTCCTGGCTGGGTTTCTGTCAGCGTATTTCTACCGCTGGAAACGACCGCGACTCTACAAACGCTCCTCTTGGACACCATCCAGAATGGCAAATTTCCTCACACATCAAAAACAACGTCACACGCGAAGGCTGGCAGAGAAGAAGCTTAGGATTACATTACCACCTCACGCTGCAACACGCAGCGCGCGACTGTGCAATCACGCGGGAACACGCGATACCGCTGCGTGGCAACTCGTTATGTCTAATCGCAACATCTCGTGTAACAATTTGTCGCAATGTGCTACGCCAACTTCCGTGATCTCGCTAGGTGCCACGTTTTATGCAACTCTCGAATTCCAAGACTCATTCCAAAAGGCACGTGGCGTCGCATCCCGCCGCGATACTCCAACACACGCAATCGTGGGCCAACTGCGCAACACCATGCTGTGGAATTCGAAACCACACCGGCATCTAATGCGCACCCGTGCGACACTAATCCGCCGACGCCCGCTTGCCGGAGGGGGAACACGGCGTGTGCGACAGTGGGCTATCGCCCTCCCCCTTTCCCCCTCCCCAGGGGTCCAACATCGCATTCGAGGGACGGGGGGGGGGGAAGGCGAGCTCCTAAACTCACCCCTGGGGCTTCCCGAGCCTCCACCGAGCCCCAAGATGGCCCAAGAGAGCCCAAACAGAGCGCCAACACAGCCCACGAGAGCCTCGAGACGCCCCAGGGTCGACCACAACGGTCCAAGATGGCTTCGAGACGGCCCACTAGCCTCCGAATACAACCCAACAGTGCCCCCAAAGTGGCGCCGAGAGGGCCCCAAGAAGCAACAATCGTCCTACTGCCTTGGGAAAGCATGCGTTTCTAGCGTGCTCGCTGCGAGGCCTCAATGGGAGCCCCAAATCGTTTCTAGCATGCCCGCTGAGAAGGTGGCCAAAGAGGCCTTCCAAATCGTCCCAAGACGCTCCATGAGGCCTCAGTGATAGCCCCAGGACAGGCCACGATGGCCCCAAGACAGTCCACGATGGCCCCAAGACGGCCTCGGCGCCCCCAAGACGGCCCAAGAGAGCCCCAAGAGAGCCTCAAGAGAAGCCACAGAGAGGGAATACGAACTGACATGTCCAGCTTCTCCCCGGACGAGGAGGAGGAGGATGAGGATGAGGAGGAGGAGGAGGAGGAGGAGGAGGAGGCGGAGGAGGAGGAGGAGGAGGAGGAGGGAGAGGAGGAGGAGCAGGGGGAGGAGGAGGAGGAGGAGGAGGGGGAGGAGGAGGAGGAGGAGCCCCAAGATGTCCCCAAGAGCCACCCTGAGGCCCGCGAGGCGCCCCCGAGAGGCCCCCAAGAGGCCCTCAAGAGGCCCCCAAGTAGGGTGCTCCACCGAAGGCTCCAGTGGCAGGGTCCGCATGCAGTTCCACCTCCATTTCGGCGCAACCCTCACACGCTTCGTGGCTCAATAGGGTGCTCCACCGAAGGCCCCAGTGCCAGGGTCCGCATGCAAATTCCACTTCCATTCTGGCGCGCCCCCCAAACGCTTCGTGGCCCCACAGGGTGCTTCACCGAAGGCACCAGTGGTAGGGTCTGCATGCAGTTCCACCTCCGTTTCGGCGCACCCCTTCAAACGCTTCGTGGCCCCATAATGTGCTCTGCCGAAGGCTTCCAGTGGCAGGGTCCGCGTGCAGTTCCACCTCCATGTCGGCGCATCCCTCACACGTTGCGTGGACCCATGGGGTGCTCCACCGAAGGCCCCAGCGGCATGGTCCGCATGCAGTTCCACCTCAATTCCGGCGCACCCCTCACACGCTTCCTGGCCCCATAGTGTGCCGCTGAAGATTTCCAGTGGCAGGGTCCGCATGTAGTTCCACCTCCATTTCGGCGCACCCCTCTCACGTTTCGTGGGCTCATAGGGTGCTCCACCGAAGACACCAGTGGCAGGGTCCGCATGCAGTTCCACTTCAATGTTGGCGCACCCCTCACACTGCTCCACCGAAGGCCCCAATGGCAAGGTCCGCATGCAGTTCCACTTCCGTTTCGGCGCACCCATCACACGTTTCGGAACCCCTGCCTTAGGGTGCTCCACAGAAGGCTCCAGTGGCAGGTTCCGCATGCAGTTCCACCTCCGTTTCGTTCACCCCTCACACGCTTCGTGGCTCAATGGGGAGCTCCACCGAAGGTTCCAGTGGCACAGTTCGCATGCGTCCCTGGCACCCATGTCGGCACCCCCCCCACACGTTTCGTGACCACATAGGGATCTCCACCGAAGACGATGCTCACGACTGCGTTACTCACAACTGTATATGGTTCGGTCCTTTCGCTGGGCGAATTTCCCCACTATCATGAGGTGTTGCGTCGTTGTTTTGAAACATCATCCCTGCGTCTCCTCCCTCTCCTCTCCTCTCCTCTCCTCTTCCTCCTCCTCCTCCTCCCCCCCTCCTCCCTCACGCACACTCTTCACACGTTTCGTGGCACCGTGCGGCCACCGCGCCCATTCTGGCACGTGCCCCGACGTGGCACACCTGGCGCGGCTGGAGGGTGTGACACACCTGGCGCACTCGGAGCACGTGCCGCATCTGGCGCACCAGGCGTGCCTAGCACGCTCGGGCCCCAGGGGTGCCTGGCACGCGTGGCGCCCCTGGCACGCGTGGCGCACCTCGCCAAAGCGTCGCGCACCTGGGGTCGGCTTTGATTCCCAGTAACTGTCCATCCAAAGAGGACCGCTGAAAAATGCCCAGGCTCGGGAATTACTTATGTGTCGGGAGGGCGGGTGGGAGTCAGCTAGACGGCTTGCGGGCGGGTGGGTAGCTTGATCACTGTTCCCTATTAGTATACACCCCTCCCCCAGGCGACTGGGAGCCAATCCGAGTCAATGAGCCCCCCCCCACCATCCCTTGTAACAAAAACAATGCAAACACACACTCTGCCTCCAAATTCGGAGCATGCGCAGCGAACCCGATGCGCCCTCCCCCTACCCCCTTGACAAAAAAAAACAATGCAGAATGCATTTGGCGGCGGCGGCGGCGGCTGCGGCGGGGGTAGTTGCTGCGGCGGCTGCGGCGGCGGCGGCGGCGGCGGCGGCGGCGGCGGCGGGGGCGGCGGCTGCGGCGGCGGCGGCGGCGCGGGCGGCAGCGGTGGCAGCAGCAGCTGCGGCGGCAGCGGCTGCGGCGGCGGCGATTTGGCAGCGGGGGCGGCGGCGGCGGCGGCGCGGGGGTAGTTGCTGCGGCGGCGGCTGCGGCGGCGGCGGCGGCGGCGGTGGCGGCGGCGGCGGCGGGCGGCGGCGGCGGCGGAGGCGGCGGCGGCGGCGGCTGCGCCCCCAGTAGCTGCCCATCCAAAGAGGACTGCTGAATCTGCTGAAGCTCGGGCCAGGCTCGGGTGCTACGTATGTGTTGGGAGGGCGGGTGGGAGTGAGCGAGACGGCATGCGGGCGGGGGGGGGGCGCCTTGACCCTTCTCCCTACCCCCTCCGCTGGGCCTGGGAGGGGGGGGGGGGGGGCGCGAGGCATGAGAGAGCCCAAGATGGCCCAAAATGGCTCCATGAGGGCCTCAGAGAGTCTAAGATGGCCTCCAAGATTGCTCAAGAGAGCTGAATATGGCTCAGATAGCCTCCCACATACATTGAAGACTGCCCAAAGATGGCTTGAAGTGCCCTCCGAGCCCTCCAAGGACCCAGCCCAAGAGGCCAACATGGCTCCAACACTTTAGGACAACCAATGATGTTTGCGTTCTGGCCTTTTCGCTTCTCATGGCTTCCGAGGCTTCCAGATGGCCCCAAGACGGCCCAAGAGAGCCCCAAGCGGGCCCCAAGAGGGCCCCAAGAGCACCTAGAGGCAATGTTTGAGCCTCCGAGGGGGGAACCTGAATTGAGGACTCTCCCCGTTTGAGCTACGGGGGCCAAGACGGCCCCAAGAGACCTCTCAGACACGCCCAAATAGCCCAAAGAAGGCCCCAAGATGGCCCGCAAAGAGCCCCAAGAGGGGCCCATGGGCGCCTCCAGACAGCCCCCATATGGCTCCAAGAACCCCCTTCATAACCTCTCAGAACAACGCTTCAACTCGCCTGGCAAGCTGTTTCTGAATGGGCTGGTTGGGGGTACGCGGAGCGTCAAGAACTTCTCCCACCAATCACGTGATGCAAAGTGCAAAAGGAAGCTCATCCCGCGCCAAGGCCCATTGCACGTGTCTGCGCAGCGCTCCTTGCGAAGCATCAAGGAAGGCATATCAAGGAGAGTTGACATCGTACGCTTCGATCTCTGGAGATTGATCACGCGGTCGAACTCAAGCGCGCCTTGCAGCATCGAGCATGGAGACATACAGAACGCATGGTTTCATTCGAACTTTCAAGATCCCTCAAGATGGCGTCAACACGCATCTGAAAATCCATCGGTGACAAATCGCGGGGGTCGGCACGACTCCAGAGACAGTTTACGCGCGCTAAAATAATGGGAACCAGCGGAGCTGGAACAGGAATCTCCCAACGGCTGGCCCAAGGCCGTTTCGTTCCAGCTTGCCTGCAAGTGCAGAACAAAACGGGCCCAAGGTCGGCGCAAGCCTCACGTGACCCCCGCACACGCACCCCGCCCTCTGCACCCCCACGCTCTGCATCACCCTTCCCTTCCGCCGGGCAGCACAGCCTGCAGGGGACCAGCGTGGCGGCGCGTACAGGGCTCTACAGCAGGGCCACGGGGCTATATGCGCAGCCGCCACCGCGCACACCGTACTGGACATCCTCCTGGGACCTCTGCATCACCCGTGCAGCTTGCTGCAGGGTGCCAGGATTAGGTCAGGCATGTCCCCCTACAGGCGGCTTTTGGACGACAGATCATAAATACCGCACGCAGGTTCACAAACAGTTAAGCCATGCTGGGAGAACTCGTCCCCAAACTACTCCCCAGACTACTGCTGGATGTTCTCCCTGTAGGGGGACACGCCCGACCAGAAACCTGCTGCAGGGTGCCAGGACCACGCCGGCCGGCACCCCGAACCCCCCCGAGGCACGGAGCCTCCGACGGCCGAGATCTCCCGCCGGAAAAAACCGCGCCGCAGCGAGGCGCACGGCCCCGCCGCGACCGCTCCGAGGAAACCCCGCCGCCGAGCTCCGGCCGCGACGGCCCCCCGAGCAGCGCGCCCGACCGCCCATGGGCGCATCGCACGCGCCGGGCCACGGGCCGGCGGCGTCCCTGGCAGCCCGGAGGCGGCCGAGTGCGCGCCTGGCCAGAGACGTCGTGGCGGTCGTCGAAAATCCTGGCGGCGCCGACCGCCTCGCTCGTGGCCTGTCCGGCCAGGGCGGCGGCGCCTGCAGGGCGATGGAGGCTCATGGCTGCAGAGGCCCGCAATCCTCCTCTTCGGCCAAGCCCCTTGCACACCGTCGTCGTCGTCCTCCTCCTCCTTCCTCGTGGTGTTCCCTGATTAGAAGACCAGTCGCGACGGGAACGCCGACCTTCAACTCGCGAGGGGGAGGTCCTCCGTCAGTGCGCACGGCGATCTCAATGCCATCATGTGAGATATGCAGCCCTGGTCAGAGACCGAATACCACCACCACCTCCTCGTGCTGTTCCTCCTGTTCCTCCTCCTCCTCCTCCTCCTCCTCCTCCTCTTCCTCCTCCCTCTCCTCCTCCTCCTCCTCCTCCTTCCCCTTCTCCTCCTCCTCCTCCTCCTCCTCCTCCTCCTCCTCCTCCTTCTCGTCCACCACCACAACAACATCCTTCTCCTCCTCCTCCTCCTCCTCCTCCTCCTCCTCCTCCTCCCACCAACTGTTCGACCTCTGCCAGCCCTATCGTTCCAATTGGCGCAGGATCACAACCTGCCGTTCCGATTTCCGCAAACACGATCCTGGCGCCCCCCTGCAAATTGAGGGGGGGGAGGAGGAGGGAGAGGAGGAGGAGGAGGAGGAGGAGGAGGAGGAGGAGGAGGAGGCAACCGTACGACGACGACGACGACGACGCCCCACCCGACCCTACCCCGCGCGGCCATGCCTGTGCAGGCAGGCGGAGATCACGCACCGCAGCACGAGCAGCGTCGTGGGCGGTTCGAGGGAGAGAGAGAGAGAGAGAACCTCGGGAGGAAAGAGACGAAGCTGGTTCTACGTGCGCGTAGCCAAATAATTTTCTTCCCAAATGGGGGCGGTGCAATATCCATGGCTCCCAAGACGATCGATGGGGGTCGAGGCATCAAGGACGAGAGCGGAGGGATTGGGAAACGGACCAAGCTAACCTCGGGCAACATAAATAATGTCTCAACGTATATGGTTCATTCTCACAGCCGAGCAGAAACGATAGTTTACCACGGGCATGCAAAATACGATGGCTGGTTAACCAGCCGCCTAAAACAAACAGTGCGGAGCCAGAACCAAGCCCAACACGGGGGGACCTCATTTAAAACCTGGCGGGCAGAAACCAAGTCATCACGAGCGATCTCTAGAGCTCTGGAATGGAACAGCTTGCACAAGCGAGACCTCAGAAGATTATCCAAGGAACGCGATTGCCAGCACTGGGCGCAAGCTATCTTCGCGGCCCGTTGGGGCTTATAGGCCTCGAGAGGACCTCTAGGGAGACTACAGACACGAGCGGCCTCATAACTCAGCTCAGATGACGAACCACGGCAGACGGCAGCCACATGCTCAACATATGCTTATGACTTCCAGCGAGCAGGAGAAAGTCGACCAGCTGGCAGCATCGTCAATCCAAGCTCGCTGGCACTCGCCACGATGTACTTCTGAGCACAGCCAGCGAAAGACACGAGCATGTCCTGGCAAGGTTTGTATCGCAGTTCTTGCCATCGTCGCAGCACTCGTAATCTTTAGAGGGGGCGCTTCCGGCCCATGGAACTCATTGATATGCAACCAATCAGCATGCCAAATTCCCCAAGGGGAGCCTGAAGACCTGCGAAAAACAGCCCAGCTCAATCTGCTTCAGGGACCTCGGCATCGGCAAGAATTGCGCCACATAGCTCAGCACCGAAGTACAGCGCGTACTGTAAAAGGCGGCCGACGAGGAAGCAGGGGTCGTTCCACGACTAACAGCAGCAGAGACGACATTTCGACATCGGCAGTGCCCAAGAATCGTCCTCAGAAGCTCCAGGGCCCACCCACACCCCCATATAAAACAACTGATCTTCAATACGAAACTGACGCCAGGCCGGGATAAACATGCCCAGCAACTTCTGAATCTTCATCTTGAGTTCAGAGGTAAACCTGCCAGAAACGGGAGCCATCACACACTTCATCGTTTTTAGTTTCAATTGAGCAACCTTCTCGGTGATATTCATAACGCAGGGGAGCTGGATTAGACATCTGAGCATCTCGAGGGCACCGCCAAGGTCATCAGCACAGGCTCGGTTGATTCCAAGCCGCTTGCTCTCGAAGCAGCTATGGAGGTCAACCAACGCGGGCGACGGGGCAGCGGCGAACAGGGACCCCGACAGCGCACCCCCCTGGATTATGCCTGAACGGATCCAGAACGCATGTCTCAAGAAACCCCGGATCGCGATCGCACCCTGGATGGCATCATAGAAGACAACGGTAAAACCAATCAGCGCCGACGGACATCCCATCTTCACCAGCACGAGCATTACGAACTCCTGAGACAAGCTAGGAAACGCATGCCCATAACCAGGAACATATAGAACAGGACAATCATCACCAGCTTCAGGCCGAGCTGCGTGTGTACGGGGTAATGCATCAACTTCCAAACTATGCATACAAAAAGTTCGGCCTCTCATGCAGCCGCGCTAGCCCCCAGGAACGGAACAGTCCAGAGGACGACGGATGGCATAGTTCACAGCCGCAGTCAAAAACTGAATCCTGGAAGTTCGGATCCCCAAAAAACTCGAACTGCATTCGCTTCCCGATCACACTCGCCATCAACCGAATCGGAGGCGAGCTCGCCCTTCAGCAGGAAGGCCTGCAAGGTCACACTCTCCGACAAGAAAAGGCCGTTGCCCGACAGCGTCCACAAGAGGACGTCGTGCACCAAAAGAAGCCCAAAAGGATGAGCAAGCCAGGCAGCGTAGCACAGTCGGTCCACTCCAGGAGCGGAATCACTAACTCGAAGTGCAACCTTCTTCAGAGCAGCCAGCGGCGGCGGCGGGCAATCATCGAAATTGACGGGCTTCGCGAAGCGACCGACGTAAGCAGCGGCAGTCTGAGCAGGCCATGGTTTTCGAGCAAAGACCGAACCCCAATGCGAAGTAAGTGCAGTAGCACGATCGGCAGGAGGAGGAGGGGGATTTTGTCATTCAAGGGCAGGGGGGACTCCCAGCTGGTCGACGGGCCCGATATCCCTTTCTCCCTGCAGCCAGGGGCCCGACAAACGAGCTCATCACTGTTGGTGAGCTCTGAGGTCCTGAAAACAGGAGACGTCTTCGAAGAGGCTTCCAGCTTCAGGATGGACCCCCATCAAGAGTCGGGGGGAGGCGGAGGAGGGGAGAGGGGGGAGGGGAAGAAGCAGCAGCAAGAGGAGCCGCAACGCGCGAACGTGCCGAAGGTGGTCAAGCTCTGTCCAGAGGGGCCTCACCGTTCGACGGGCATCCCATGAAGCCTTGACGCTTGCAAGCTGCTTCGCCCCCGCCTTGCTTCAGTGTGTGCAAACCCTCGCTTGCGCACCCTGTTCCTCGTTCTTACCGTCCACCTCCTTCCGCGTCCTCGAACAATCGTGAGTATCCCTTCTGCGATTTCAACTCTTACGGGATCCAACCCTCTCGCTCATACTGCTCTCCTACCGAACATGCCGAGGGTAGTTTTAACCGTCAGCCAGGTGCCACCAGCCAGGAGCAATACCCCGCATGGAGCAAGACTTCCACTCCTTGCAGTGCGCCATCAAAACACTATCACGTCAACCTTTTTCTGGCCTTCAGCTCTTGAGTCTGTGACGTTAGTTATATCGGCGCCTCTACAATACTTCTGCTTAACCATGCGTGCGTGTGGCCACGGCCACGCCCAGCAGGAATCTGACCAGCCACAGGAGCTGTGCTCTTGGCCCTTTGGCGGAATCCGCCGTGCCGACGATCTGTCGAGAGGTGCGTCGGATCTGATGCGCGCCCCATGGGGGGGGGTGAGCAGCACAGCCCTCTCAACTGGTGCGGCTGTCTCGAGGGACGCCTCCAGGCAAAGCCCAAGACGGCCCCGCGGGGCCTCCAAGGGGGTCCGAGAGACCCCCCGAGGAGAGGCCAAGACGGCTCAGACATTGCCCCGACCTGGCCTTCAGGAGGCCGCCAAGACGGCTCCGAAACCGACGGGTTTCTGGAGCTGTGGCTGTTGCCCATTCTGCACTCGATGCGCGCCCCCGCCCCTGCTTCGCTATCTCGCGCCCTGTTTGTCTGCTTGGCGGCCGTCTTGGGGGCGTGTTGGTCCGCGTTGCAGCAGGCCGCACGCGAGACCGTTGTTGCGCTCGTTTCGGCACATGGGGCTTCGGTCGGGCATGTCCTCCTACAGGCGGATTTTTGACGAAAAATCGAAGTAACAGAAAAATGTTCAAACAATAGCCCAATGTAGTCAAGCATCGTCCCCAGGCAATTTGTTTAAAACTATTTTTGAATTCTCCCCCTGTCGAGGGACATGCCCGACTGAAGATTGGGCCTGCCTGGAAGCCGCCGCCGGCCCTTCCAGCGAGGACTATGGCATGGGTGAGGCGATATCGGGAAGCATCCGGAATGTGCCCGCCCGCGTGTGAGAGCGCGGGCCGAGGTGATGTGCAACTTTTCTCGTGCAGAAATTGTTCTTCAACGCAGGCTTCCCCCAAATCATCCAAACGCTTTGTGACCCCTCCTCCTCCTCCTCCTCCTCCTCCTCCTCCTCCTCCTCCTCCTGCGCTTCCTCTTCCTCCCCCTCCTCCTTTTCCCCCTCCTCCTTCTCCTCTTCCGCCTCCTCCTCGACTGTATACGTGGAATGCGGTCTCGCCTTAGTCAGCAGCTCGGCATGCTGCAGAAACTGGGCAAGCGCTGTACGCGCAGAACTTGTCGAACAGCGTGAGACCAAGACGACCACGGCGTATGTGGTGCGTAGAGCGTGCTGTCACCAATGTCTGACAAGCGAGGTCCCGCTCATCATCAGAAAATGAAGCTGCCAACCCGAACTGTCGCTCTGAACAAAAAGAGGCAGGAATGTCTGGAAATAGGATGTCCAGGATCGCTTAATCGCTTACCACATCCGAGGGCACGTCATAGCATGGGATTGTGAATTGGGGGCAGCCCCGCAACCATCCTGGCACTGGTGATTAATCCTTGCGAGCCATCATCTGCTCCGCCGTCCAACCCCTGGCCAAAGTTTTCAGAACAGACATTCACCAGGCAGGCGTAGATAACAGTCCGCGGGGCGGGCCTTTCAAGCGGGCCCTCCCTAAGCCCAACAGCGCACGCTGCGAAGCGGGGCGGGCCGACCACGTCGAGAGACGTTTCATGACAACCGCTCCAGCACCCATGCTGGAACAGAGAGGCACCGAAGGAACGAGGCTGGGTCCGCTGGGTCGGGGTCTTCGTGACCCCACCTCCCGCGTCGCCAACGAGCCTGCAGCGCCGCGGCCACGGGAGCCCGCAACCAAGGGCAATTACTGCAGGTTCGTATCGTACCGACTTCGACGTTGGTTTATGACACCGCGGGAATGGTTCAGCATCGACCGATTCTGGGTCGTCGGCGGCGTTCAACATTGAACGCCGGCGGCGGGGTCGCCGCCGGTCGAGACGACGCGAGCCTACCGTAGCAAATCAGACGAGGCGATGGGGAGCTCCTGGGCAAAGTGGCGGCGCAAGCCAAAACGAAGTGGCAACCATGTATCATCCAAACAACCCGTGACGCGATCGGGAAGAACCTGGCGAGCTGCAGCCCGCTGCAGAACCCAGGAGGTGTGGCCAATCCGTGACCGTGTCACGAGACGCTCGCATGCACTGCTCCCCAGAGAAGGAGGGGAGGAGAATTAATGGGTCACAGACCTCCCTCTCCCTCTCTCCTCTCTGCTCCTCTCTCCTCTCTGCTCCTCTCCCTCCTCTCTCCCCTCTTACCCCCGTCTCCCAGGAGAAGGGGGGGGGAGGAGAACTAATGGGTCACAGAGCAGAAGGTGCAGGAGGGCGGCCCTGCGCGGAGAAGTTCCCTGCCGCGCGCAGCCGATGGAAGCGACCCTGGTGCTCCCGAGCTTTGAACATACAATCGGGGTGCTGAAAAAAAAAACCCTTTTGGTTGGGGAGGGGCTCCGCGTTCCTCAAGTGCAGCTTGCCTCAGGTTTTCCTTAGGTTCTCGATGGGAAATCGAAGTTTAAGTTATGAAAAAAAGGGGCCTCCTTCCTTATTTAAGGTTCCTTAGGTCAACGCCCCGACTGTACACCAGAAAGCAGAACATGGGAGAGGAGGGGGCCGCGGAGGATGGGGAGAAGGTGGAAGAATAAGGGGGAAGGGTCGGATGAGAACATGGTCGGCATTGCACTGCTGATGAATTGTTGACGCATTGGGAAAGAGGTGGCCTGGGCCCCGTCCGCAGGAAGCTGTTCCTCCAGGAGGACGTGGGGGAACGAGGGGGTCAGGACGGAGGGAGGTGGAACGTTGAGAAGCATCTCTTCCACCCGTAAGGGCAGGAGAGCTCAGAATCGAATCGATAAGTCAGATCGGCAGTCGAAATGAATCGGATCGGCGGAAATCGGCAGCCGAGCCCGGAAACGTCGAACCGGCAGAAATCGGCGGGCCAGTGTGCCTCCAGTAAGACACCGGAGCCCACAGCGGAATCCCGAGTCGGATCGAATCCCACTCGGGAACCGTCGAAGTCGAATCGGATCGGAGGAATCGAGATGAGCCCTGCGCAATTGAGCAGGGACCGACCGTCCCGGCATTCCTATAGTCATACCACGAAATGTTCGTAGAACCCAGCAATGTTCGAAGAACCAAAACAATGTTCTTAGGACATAAACCCGATTTATTCATACAAGACAATCTCGGCCAGACATGTTCTGAGAACATTTCGTAGAAGCCAGAAAAGGTTCTTAGAACACTGTTTGGCAGAGCTATGGGCGAGCCAGGACGCTGCGTCACTGCTTGACGCGAGGGCCTTCCGGGTTGCTGCTGGCCGACCAGGCGGCGCCCGCCGCGGCGCAGAGGGCCAGAGGCACGCCACCCGCCAGCGCGCCCAGCGCCGCGCCGGCGCACGCCGCGCCCTGCGGGCGCAGGGGCGTCGGGGGGGGGGGGAGGAGGAGGAGGAGGAGGGAGGAGGAGGAGGAGGAGGAGGAGGAGGAGGAGGAGGAGGAGGAGGGAGGAGGAGGAGGAGGAGGAGGAGGAGGAGGAGGGGGCGGAGGCGGAGGAGGAGGAGGAGTGCTGGGAAGGGGAGGCCACCTTCGAGTGGCAGCGAGGAGGAGGCGGAGGACTTGAAGTGATATGGGATAAGGGGCGCCTTAACCCCATGTGATATAGCCTGCGGCCATCTCCACCCCAGGGTTGACAGGGTGACCTGCGCCACAGAAGGCCACCCTTGGGGTGACAGGAAGAACTGGACCTCCCCAGAGTCCAACAACTTCGCGTTGGATCGAGAGAAGACTTCTGGTGGCGATGACCCTGTACAGCCCTCAAACAAGATAAATCGCCGAAAGTTTCCCGGGAGTTCCGAAAAAGTTCAAGCGCACGTTCTTGAACATGTTGTTCTAAAGTTCCCCAAAACTATGTCATCCATCGTCCGCCGCATATCATAAAATCGCATTCGTACTGGTATCACTTGCTTGCATTGCATTAGCGGGACTGGCATTGCATGTTGTTCGTATCAGGTTGCGCATTGCACTTGCAACTCAAAGGCATTGCGCGTCTCTGCATTGGCGAGGCGTCGGTGAAATCTGTGCGCCGGGATACGCATCGGGCTTCGGTTTTCCGTGGACGTTTTGCCTCAAACCGGTCTGGCTCAAACAGCCTCGAGCCAGCGTATCTTGTGCGTTGAATTGGTCGTGCCTCGCTGGTCATGCAACAATGGGTGATGAAAATCCCACCAGCCCTCTGGGCGTCGGTGGTTTAAAGAGTTTCCTCTTCCACCCCTCCTTCTTCCCCTTCGGGGAGGGGTTTATCACTGTAATAAACACCCCCTCCCCCAGGCGACTGGGGGCCAACCCAGGTCCATGACAACACCCCCCCACAATCCCTTATACAAAAAAAACAATACAAAGCACACTCTGCCTCCAAATTCGGAACATGCGCAGCCAACCCGATGCGCCCCCCCCCCACCATCCCTGTCAACAAAACAATACAGAGTACACTTGGCGGAGGCGGCGGCGGCTGCGGCGGCGGCTGCGGCGGCGGCGGCGGCGGCTGCGGCGGCTGTGGCGGCGGCGGCGGCGGTGGCGGCGGTGGCGGCGGCGGCGGTGGCGGTAGCGGCAGCGGCGGCGTTGGCGGCGCGGACTGAGCTGAGGCTCGGGCCAGACTCTGCTACGTACGGGCGGGCCGGCTTGCGGGCCCCCCTCCCCCTACCCCCTACCCTAGATCTGGGCGGGGGGGTCGCGAGGTGTCAGGGGGTCCAAAACGGCCTCGGCGGGGATGCCAAAATCATTGGTTTTACTAGGGTGTTGGCCCCATTTTGGCCTCCTGAGGGGGGGGGGGGGGGGGGGCAAATCAGTCACCCCCCCTCCTGTGATCGATCTCACCCAAGATGGCCCAAAGATGGTCCCCGAGGCTCCCAAGGGTGCCCCAAGAGGGCCCCAAGAGGTGGCCAGGAAGCCCCAAGAGGCCCCCAGGATGCCCCCAAGAGACCCCCAAGAGGCCCCAAGAGACCCCCCAGAGGCACCCAAGATGCTCCAAGAGGCCTCGGCGAGAATGCCAAATCATGTATTTTACTAAAAGGTTTTAGCCACATGTTGGCCTCTTGGGGGGGGCACTGATTTAGATGACTCCCAGAGCGCCTGGGAGAGCCCAAGATGATCTCCAAGATGGCTCAAGATATCATCCCAAGATGTCTCAGAATGGCTTCCTGTGTGTGCTGCCCACTTCCCTGATCGAGGCAATTCCTCTGGGCATCGTGTCCCCCTCGAGCTGTGCCCTAGGAAGACGTGGCGCGAGAAGTCAGCTCCAGATTTATGCCCGCGGAGGCGAGCGGCGAACCGATCGCTGGGCAAGTTCCGCGGGACACTGCCCCCTTGAACCAATGTGAGTTAGCGCATGTCAGCGGAAGAGGAGGAAGAGGAGGAGGAGGAGGAGGATAAGAAGGAGGAGGAGGAAGAGGAGGGCAACAAGGAGAAGGATGAACTTGTAGATGGGGAAAGACAAAGGAGGGCGAAGAAGAGAGAGGAGCAGGAGGTTGTGGCCAACCAGGGGGGGAGGGGGGACGGAGGAAGGGGGGGGAAGGGGGGAAGGGAACGAGGCTAATTGGGGAGGGGAGGAAGAGTGCGCACTCAAGTAACACTACGCTAACTCGCATTGTCTTCTGCGTAAGGTGTTTTGTTGGTGCGGCCACAGACGTGCTTCGAACCTGGCGGTCCACGGCCGTCATTCGTTAATAGTTCTTTGACCCCAGAATGGTTCACACATCTGTTATTGTACGGCAGCTTGCATATTCTGGTTAATATGTGTACAGGCGGCGCGAGTTCGAAAGCACCCAGGGACTCTGACAACGTCGTTGTTGTGAAATATTGTTTTGTGTCAGGTTGGTTGACGTTGAATTGTAAAGATGGTTCTGCAATTGCTCAGGTGGGGCTTCGTAAATACCGCAGCATACAGCCAGATCTCGCAATGAAACTCAATATATTGGAACGTTTGCAGGCTGTGAAACTGTGTCGGGATAGCGTGGCCGCTTTGTCAAGCAAGCCAGGTTGCAAGTTGACCAGCTATGTGGAGTTCGCCCGATACGGTGACACACCACTTCGGCTTAATGGCAAAGGACAGGCCCTTCCAAGAGAAAGTGGCGCCCTTGAGCTTGTAGAACTTCCAACAATTATTTATCCTCATGCCGTCCCAAGAGGCGCTTTGACTGCAAACGTTGTGAATTCTGAGGCATATGTTGCTGTGGTGTTTGAGTGTCGCAGTGATCAGTGTTGCTTGGAGTTCAAACTCACGCATTGGTTGCAATTGATTCAGGCCATATCGCATCAGTATTATCTCGGAGCTGTCCATCAGGCTGGGTTGCCCATGCGCCAGGAGGCTGCGAGCTTCGACGCAGGCAACGCAGTTTGACCAGTGACCAGGACGCTGCGATTGAGAAGGCTGAAGCGCACCTGCACTCTCAACACACAAGTGCGTCATCGATGAGAGCCAACTGCGAGGTCCACATGGTGCAGAACATGCGCGCAAAAAAATATGACAGGTGTTTCACATGTCATCAGTCTCTTAATTCATATTTCGCTCGCCCTTGGCAGGTCGTCTGCGATGAAGACGATGAGAGAGGACCTCCGTGGCATTCTTCGAATTGGCGTTCGGCGCGTGCGGGCCGACCCACCATCGCACCACAAAGGGCGCCTCATTGCTCTTCTTGGCGCATTCACGATCAAGAGTTGCCGTGAGGATGCCCTTCGCAGGGCGATCATCCGGTCTCATTTTACATGTGACCATACTGCGGATGGTATTGTACATTGTTGTCCAGGTTGTTGTGCAAGTGCGGATGGGTGCAGATTGAAATCTGAACGTTGTGCCGTGGAGGCGTTGTGCAATCGGAGGCCGACCCCGGTCCCAATGCAACGATGGACCAGACAAGAGAAGAACGTCAATGTTGTTAGGATATTTGAAAGCCTCAACCGTTTGCAGTCCAACACGTTTGCCATATGTTGCCAGAAGCTCGGTGTGAAACTTTCGCGGGAGTTGTCTCATCATGAGAGGTTGGGGTCTAGAATTTTGATGTTGGAGGATTGGGTCTTGGAGGGGGATGGCGATTGACACGGCCCTGGGGACAAGCAAGTATATGTATCCACGAGGCCTGCAGCAGCACCCGAACAGAATACAAAGCAGACGCAGCAATCGACATCTCGACGCGTGTGCCTCCAGATGCTCAGCTTGCACGGTGAAGGGCCGCTAGCTGAACCCATCGCCTTTTCCAATGTCATAGAGCCCCAGAGGAGGTTCATGACAGAGTTGCTCGCGCTTGGCGGTCACAGGTGGGAGGATGAACAACGTTTTTTGTCCATTGCCAACATTGTAGCTGGTGCAGAACAAACGTTCAGATCTGACCGCGGTCTCGTGGCAGCAAGTTGCATACTGGAGCTTGCTCTGGTCAGTGATGTGGTCGGTCGGATGTCGAAGCCGTCTGGGTGGGAAAGTGTTCCTTCGGATTGCAGGGGCGTTGCGCTGCGGAATAATGTTTTCAAGAGCTTGGCGTCAATAATGTGTTTGGCTACGCATGTCATGGATTTCCATCAGGGGTACCCTTTCACTATTGTCAGGCTGTTGGACAATCAGTGCGACCAACTTGCTAGAGAGATCGCTAATGATCGCCACCTCTGGTACGAGTGGTCTAAAGATTTCGTCTTGCATCGCCTGAATGAGGGTGGGCCCAATTGCGCACATGCCTTGCTTGAGACTCGGTTTGACCATATGCGGATTCGGCCTCAAACGCCAAATGGAGAAGAGCACCACCAGCGGGTTCGGGAAAACTCTCGACTTGCTCTCGAAGCTGGCTGAGTACGAGGGCTTGGGTGCCGACGCGGCTGCTCGCGCGAAGTGGGTCGTGCCGATGCGGACTCTGCAGGCCACGGCTTGCAGCAAGCAGTGCGTCGAGGAAGAGCTCGACAACATGTCAAGCCCTGAGACGGGCCAAGCCTTCCTGGTCCATGCTGCGTGCGCTGAGGAGCTGAAGGCGGCGGGTGCTGTGATCCTGGCGGCAAAAAGCTCAGACGTGAAGGCTAATATCCTGAACATCGACGGCGTGCTCCAGGATGTTAACAACGACAAGGGCCGCTGGACTGACAAGCTCAAGTGCGACATGAAGAAGGATCACCTCCTGGCCCAGAAGACGCTGTTCAAGGTGGATGGCAAGCAACTTGAAGATCTGCTGATGGAGGTCACCGCGATGGTTGCTGACCTGACGTCCGCGCACGACCTCTTCGGCGAGCCCGAGACCGAGAACCTCGCAAAGATGGTGGGCATCGGTTGCCAACAGGCCCGCCGCTGCCTCATCGAGGCAAGGCTCGTCATGGGCTTCGACACGTTCAAGGACGACAAAGTGCAGCTCCACAAGTGTGCGAAGAAGCTGCAGACAGAGCTCCAGGATTAGTAGTCTCGCGACGTGCTGGTGGGCATGAAGCTCGCTGAACCGCTCCAAGAGTTGACCATCCACATCGTGGACGGGGCCTAGGGAAGCCGTGCGAGAAGGAGGGGGGAGGGAGCGGTAAAGGAAGGAGGACGTAGAGGAGAGAGGAGATCAACCGATTGAAGAGGTAACGGGAAGGAGGCAGGAGGAAGGCTGAGGAGGAAAGAAGTGGGCCGAGCGCACGAGCAAGGGAGCCGCGACACGCCCTGTGAGGGCTCGGCCTGCCTGCTGGCAGCGTCTTCCTCCCTCCTCCGCATGCTCCTGCTCCTCCTCTGAATCCTCTGAATCCTCCTGAAGGGCCCTCCTCCCAGCCCGCCCCGCTATCGTCCTGCATCCTCGTCGTTCTCATCCTCCTACCTCCTGTTCCCGCTCGTCGTCGTTCCTGTCCTCCTCCTCCTCCTCCTCCTCCTCCTCCTCCCTGTTGGTGTTCGAGCGTCGAAACTGTAGCCATCGCTGCCGCCGAATTCCCCTCGTTTTTCCTCCGTCAACCTACCTCTTTGTATTGTCTCGTCGTTCTCCTCCTCCCTCCCTCGACCTCCCCTTTCCTCCTCGTCCTCGCCTTTCCTCCCTCATCCTTCACCCTCCCCTTCTGCATCGTTCCGTTCGCATCCATCCTTCTACATTCGCTTTCCGGCCACTGGAAGCGAACGCGAATCCCTAAACAGCGAAATTGCTCAAGGCCATTTCGAGTAGAACAGTGTGCGCGTGCTCGTGTAGTGTGCGTGTGTGTGTGTGTGAGTGTGTGTGTGTGAGTGTGTGTGTGTGTGCGTGCCTGTGTGGGTGCAACATGTTCGTCATCATTGCTGTCTGGGGTCTCTGTGGACGACCGCCCTCCCGCCTGTACATGTCCAGCTCTGTGTTCCAGGAGCCTTGTCTTTCAGAAGGAGCGAGCTCTTCTACTGCGTGCCACTGGAGGAAGGATTGCCGATTGCACTTCGCTGCCGCGAGTGCGCGTCAGCGCCCTCCAGTCAGCAGTCCCAAATTGCTCTGCGGCCTTGTGACAATGCGGTGCCGCGCCGTGATCTAGGGTTCATGCGGTGCCCTCCCGAGCTCCATGCGGAACGGCGGCGGGGCGGCAACCCCGACGCAGGGAAGAAACACGCTACGGCGGGGAGCGAGAGGGCGCGGAAGCGAGGAGCATGGGGACGCAGCGGAGGGCCGGGGTCGCCCGCGCCCTGCTCGTGCATCCCAGGGGTCGCCCGCGCCAGCTCGTACATCCAGCTGGGTCGCCCGTGCTGGCCCGCATGCCCAGAGCGAAGCGGCCGCGAGGCTGCCGCCCGCGCACGCCGCCCCGCTCGGGGTCGCGAGAGACGCACTGCACCACCATGCGTTCAAGCCATACGCTGTCATGCCCAACAGTAAGCGCATGATGTGCAACCTTTCCGTGCCTGGTTTTCGGTGTAGCCCTGGGGCCAAGAACAAGAACAGCCTTTGCGGAAACAGCAACACAACCTTTTTTCCCATCTTCTGGAAAACATGCAGGCAGATCACATATCTAAGCCCTGTCCAGCGCGGCAGCCACCATAAAGGAAGACGCGTGAAGAGGCATAAGTGTCCAATGTAATTCGCTGTGTTTCATCGCACGGAACGCGCACTCCGTGCGCGCGATCACTTCAACCCAAACTGCTTTAACAATTTTCGGTTTGGGCGCAAACTGCTTTAACAAATTTAACGCCTGCTGCGCCGCACCGTCCCCGTGACATTTGCAGCGCCTTGCGTGGCGTGCGGGGATAGCGGATGGGACGGTACGCCTAAAATCTGGGTAGTTGCAAATTCCCGTGCTAACGATTTGCGGTCGTGTGCGTGGGCAAAATGCGCGTCCCTACTCTGGGGCACGGTGCGGCGTGGATTCAAGGATACGCCGGCACCCCCAGAAGTAAGTCCAACGTGGCCGCAACAAATTGTGGCTCTTTTCCGCGCTGGTTTGGCCGACAAGGAAGTTCGGGGTGAAGCGCCTTACCCTGAGCGCGCCCAAACGTGAAGCAGGATCGTGAGACTGTCCCGGCTGCGTGGCCGATAACTTGGGAGTGAAGTGTCAATGCTAGCCCTCCTGACCTCGCAACGACATGTTGGGTCCCACGAAGTGGGGCCTGGATGTGTGCTTGGTCTACCCCAGGGGGGCTCGACAAACTAAAACCAACGCGCGCGCGCCTTGCCGTGGGGGGGCAGGAAATGTTTGATGTTTTAAAAGCATTTCGTAGAAACCATAAACGGTTCTTCGATTTTTCATAAGCCTGTAGGAACGCCAGGACGCTTTGCCACTGCTTGACTCCCAACTGCGTGGACGATAAATTGGGGGTGAGGTATCGATGCTATCCCCACCGACCTCGCAACAACATGTTGGGTCCCACGAAATGGGGCCCGGATGTGTGCTTGGTCCACCCCGGGGGGGGGACGCACCAAATTAGAACCAAAACGCGCGCACCTTGCAGGCGGGGCGGGATTTGTCCGCCAATGGGCGTCGGTTCAAGATAGAATCCAAGCGTACGCGGCTCTGGTATGTGGTCTTGCGTCTGTCCTGGCTGCGTGGCCGATAACTTGGGCGTGAGGTGTCGAAAGCTAGAAACCAAGCGCGCGCGGTTCTGATATGTGGTGTTGCGTCTGCTCTGGCTGCGTGGCCGATCATTCGGGGGTGAAGTGTCGATGCTATCCCCCTGACCTCACAACCACATGTTGGGTCCTACGAAGTGGGGCCTGGCTGTGTGCTTGGTCCACCCCGGAGGGGACGCAACATATCATAACCAAAACGCGCGCACCTTGCCGAGGGGGGCAGGATTTGTCCGCCCCTGGGCGGCGGTGCAAGCTAGAATCCGAGCGTGCGCGGTTCTGGTATGTGGTGTTGCGTCCTGAGTGCTTGCACCACATGTTGCGCCCGAGCTTGAAGCAGGCCCGTGATACACGACAACTTGCACCACGTCTTGCGCCCGAGCGTGAAGCAGGACCGTGAGACACGATAGCTTGCACCAAGTATGGTGTTATTGATGTAGGCCTTGAGTTTGCCCTGGAGTTCATCGGGACCTGCGGACTGGATCAAGTAATGAAATGTGTCATGCGCGTGGTGACAGCGATGGGCGCCGCAGGAAAATCCCTCTGGGATCCCTAGGGGGGCCAAACGATCACAAGATGGCCCTCCAGGAAGATCTGCCGCTTAGATATTCATCTTGGGACCTGCCAGGGTCGCATGGCGGCCCCAGGAGGGTCCCTGGAGGGCTCATATCCTGCCGCAGGATTTCCTGAGGGACGAACTGCAGCGCAAATCTCGGAACCCGCCAGGGCCGCACGGAAGGGAGTAATGTCCAAGAGGGGCCTCCGAGACGGGGTGCCTCCTCCTCCTCCTCCTCCTCCTCCTCTTCCTCCTCCTCCTCCCTCCTCCTCCTCCTCCTCCTCCTCCTCCTCCTCCTCCTCCTCCTCCTCCTCCTCCTCCTCCTCCTCCTCCTCCTCCTCCTCCTCCTCCTCCCTCCTCCTCCTCCTCCTCCTCCTCCTCCTCCTCCTCCTCCTCCTCCTCCTCCTCCTCCTCCGCCTCCTCCTCCTCCTCCTCCTCCCTTCTCCTCTTCTCCTCACGGGGATGGCCCCACACGAAGGTCTAGGGCTTCGGTCGCCCCTCGACTGCAAAATCACGAATACCGTGGCATCTACAGCACAGGTAGCTTTCATCCCATGCTTTCTCCACGAAGCATGTGAGGGGTGTGCCAAAATGGGTGCGGTGGGCGCAGGCGAGCGCTGGCATTTGGGCCTTCGGTGGAGCTCCCTATGGGACTACGAAACGTGTGAGGGGCGTGCCACCATGGGCGCGGTGGGCGCATGCTAGTGAGAAGTGTGCCAACATGAGCGCGGTGGGCGCATGCGAGCGCTGGCACTTGGGCCTGCGGTGGGGCTCCCTACGGGGCCGCCAAGTGTGTGAGTAGTGTGCCAACATAAGCCCGGCGGGCGCCCGCGAGCGCTGGCATTTGGGCCTTCGGTGGGGCTCCCTACGGGGCCGCGAAACGTGTGATGGGTGCACCAAAGTGAGCGCGTTGCGCGCATGCGAGCGCTGGCATGTAGGCTTTCCGGTCGAGCTCCCTATTGGGCCACGAAGCGTGTGAGGAATGTGCGAGGCTGGGTGCGGTGGGCGCATGCGAGCGCTGGCATTTGGGACGTCGGTGGGGTTCCCTATGGGGCCACGAAACGTGTGAGGGGTGCGCCAGAATGGGCGTGGTGGGCGAATACGAGCGCTGGCACTTGGGCCTTCGGTGGAGCTCCCTAAGGGCCACTAAACGTGTGAGGGTGCGTACCAGAATGGTGCGGTGGGCGCATGCGGGCGCTGGCACTTGAGCCTTCGGCGGAGCTCCCTACATGGCCACGAAACGTGTGGGGTGTGTGCCAAAGTGAAGCGGGTGACGGGAGGAGGGAGGAGGGGGAGGAGGAGAAGGATGGGGAGGAGAGGAGAGGAGAGGAGGTGGGACGCGGGGCGCTGTCTCTTCAAAACGAGGACCCATAATCACAGGATGGTTGGGAATCCACAAGTATACATTGTCAACTCGGCGGCATCCTCTGTAAAAAGAACGATAGGCGGATAAGGCCAGGCCACCTCACTGGCGTCTTCGGGGAAGAGAGGAGAATAGTATTCATATCGGCCTTGAGTAGGACTAGGAATGCGAGCCAACGGTGCCTCGACGAGCAGATGTCTCAGAAGAAGATGAGGCCTCATGCTACAGCCACACCTCTTTGTCAGAAACGACATCAAGCCAGGAATGACCCCCCTTGGGGGGCTTCACTTTCGCCCAGCTGCACGATGAACGCCCGGGGAGCCACATCATGTAAGGACTGAGGGGACATCGTGCGCCTGGCGAATCCGAAGTGGACCTGGGCCCGACACTTTGACTATGCACGCCGCGTGCTTGGCAAACGCAAGCAGGTGAGACAGGGCAGATGGCCGGGCGCCGCCTGCCAGGCCGACATCCCGTCCTCGGGCCACTCGGACAGGTGCTCTGCTGTCGGGCACGCCCGCGTGGACACGTCGAGCCTCAAGAGGTACTCGCGGGTTGGCTCTCAATCGGCAGGCCTGCTGTATGAGGAAGAGGAGGAGGACACGGAGGAGGATAGAGTCAGGTCGGTCATGACCTCTTACAGGAGGATTCTGGACGAAGAATAGAAATTACAACACATGCCCAAACCATACCAAACAATAATCAAAACATCGTCCCCAGACGATGTGTTGACTATTGTTGGATATTTCTCCTGTAGAGGGACACGCCCGACTTAACTGTATGAGAAAGAAGAGGAGGACACGGAGGATGATACAGAGAAGGTGGGCGCGATAGTTGGCGGAGGATGGGTGGGGGAGGGCCCAGGTAGATGCAAGCGGAGGTCGTCGTTTTGCGATCGAGCCGCCATATCGCCTTATCGCCCTCCATATGAGGAGGGAGAGCCCTTGTGAACTCACGTCGTCCTGACCCCCCGAGGACCACGGCGGACCACCCCAACATTCATCTTGGGCATTGTCCGCAAGCCACGCCCGAGAGGCAAGCCCCGAGGGGTACGCCCAGGGGCGTGCGGCTGCACCCATCCCCTCTCCATTCCCCCGCACCGCCGCCACCTGAGGGGCACGCCCAGAGGGGTGCGGCTGTTCTCCTCTCCCCTCTACTGCGCCGCCGCCAGCCACGGGAGGGGCGCGCCCTGGGGGATGCGTCCAGAGGGGTACGGCTGTTCTCCTCCCGCTTCTCGCCCGAACACGCTCCGAGGGGTACCGATCGGTCGGAAGATGTAGGTAGAAACAGGTAGGAACATGAAGTAGGAAGGCGTTGAAAATAGATTAGGTTCCGCCCGCCCCCTAAGGAGGACGGAACAGGTGAAGCCACTCGATCATTGAAGTACGGCGGCGCTCAAAGTAGATTGGCATCTGGGATTCCAAAAATACCTACTTTCAACGACCGATGGGTACGCCTGCCCTCCACCTACCTCTCTTCGCTTAGGGCTGAGTCCTGACGGACAATGCCCCCGCTCTAGCTGCGATGGCCCGAAGGCCCTGTGGGGTGGAGGCGCACGCGGCAGGGAGGACCTCGCCCCGGGGGGCGGCGACGAGTCATGGAGACTCTAATGGAGACTCCCTCCTCGTCCCCCATCCTCCCATCCTCCAATCCTCCTCCTCCTCCTCCTCCTCCTCCTCCTCCTCCTCCTCCTCCTCCTCCTCCTCCTCCTCCTCCCCCTCCGCCTCCGCCTTCTCCTCCTCCTGCTCTTCCTCCTGCTCCTCCTCGCCCCCTGCCTTCTCCACCCCTCCCTCCTGCGTCGGAGGAGGGGGAGGATGGCAAGCTAGGTGCGCTCGCATCATATCTGACGTCCTACCCCTCCTTCCCATCCCTTACCATGGCGTAGATCTCCTCTCTATTCGCACAGTCGGATGTCATAGCATGGCACAGTATTACATGGCATGGCATGGTGTTGAACATCAAGCGTAGCATGACATTGCATGTCGTGGCGACGCCCCTAAATGGGGGCTTCTGCGGCCCAAAAAATCAAAAAATCGACACCGAATGTGGAACCACTTCCGATGGTTTTTTTTCGGGGGGGCAATTTCTAGATTTTGGGGCCTATTTAGAAGGACCGGAAGACATGCCGTGGCATGGCACTGGAAATGATGACGCCAGCGATGCAGCGGGAGCATGATTCGGAACGAGCGGAAGCGCGGAAATGAGGCCAATGCTGCAGCGGGAGCACGATTCGGAACGAGCGGAAGCGCGGAAATGAGCTCAGCGCTGCAGCGGGAGCACGATTCGGAACGAGCTGAAGCCCGAAAATGAGGCCAGCGCTTCAGCGGGAACAACATCTTGAACAACAAACCCAAGCGAAAACCCTTCTCCCAGTAATCCTGTGTAAAAAACAATACGCAGAGAAGGGCCAGATTTGTCCCGGGTGTCATCAGGGGGGAGAGGGAGGGTAGTTTTCGTATTGTGTAACTGTGGAGGAGGAGGAGGAGGAGGAGGAGGAGGAGGAGGAGGAGGAGGAGGAGGAGGAGGAGGAGGAGGAGGGGGAGGAGAGGAGGGAGGAGGAGGAGGAGGAGGAGGAGGAGGAGGAGGAGGAGGGGGAAGGCATGGTTGTCCAGGCATTTACCCTGGGTAGCCTACTCAAGGTGACCTACCGTAGGCCACTTTCGGTAGGCATGGATTGGTGGAGCGCCCAGCCGGGCAGGCCTCCTCACCTCCTCCCTCTTGGCCTCATCATTCGGTGGACGACGGACGACAAGACAGGGGCGCCCCAGGGCAGCTCCACAAAGAAAACAGCCCACCCACGCACAACTCTCTCTTTCTCTCTGTCTCTCTCTCTCCCTCCCTCTCCATCCCTCTCTTGTTTTTTGTTCTCTCTCTCTCTCATTCTCTCTCTCTCTCGATCTCTCTCTCTCTCTCTGTCTCTCCCTCTCTCTCTAAATACATATGTATATATATATATCGCTTCCAAGGCTTAGTCGGTTCATCGACATTAGCTTGAGCCCAAGAGACCGCGGAAAAAACAATCTGACCGTGGCCATGGAAATCCCGTGCGCCACAAACTCCTCCAGAAAACTCTGAACGCCTCAGGAACGCCACGCGCAACCGCCTCATGAGGACTGCGTGGAGCCCTAGCAAGCTGGAGAGCCACAAACAAACACCTCATAAGGACTGTAGTAACCCCTGCAAAATGGAACAATGCTACAAAAGCCACCCCCCAAGGATACCTCGAAGCCCTGGCGTGTGTCTGAGGGGAAGGAGCTACTCGCTTGCACTGCGACTCACCCTGGACCATTGTGCCTCACGACAAGGGTTGCGATGCTCAAGGAGGAGGAGGAGGACGAGAAGGGATATGAATGTTGTTGGTTTCGTACATATATGTTACACTCTTTTTGCTTCCGCCTGGCAGCCAATCGCCGCCCTGCCAGCCACGTTCGCCGCTTGCGAGCGGATCAGCAACTGAGGTGACTCTGTCTCTGACGGCCGACGCGCCGCCGAGGATCGCGTCGGCCGCGCACCAGAGGTCCAACATGAGGGGAACAAAAAGTGACATAAACATAAAACCTCGGAGGTCCGCGCGGATTTCTCGGATCGGCGCTGGGGCCCCCCGGCGGAGCCTCCGGCGCCGCCCCTGGCGCGCTCCGCGCGCCAGGGAGGGGGGTCCAGCGCCGATCCGCGCGGACCTCCGAGTTTTTATGTTTACGTCACTTCTTGTTCCCCTTAAAATGTATTCCAAAGAAGGGTAGACCAGAATTCTTAAATAAGGGTCACTTCCCCCGGCAGACCAGAGTTCTTAAATAAGGGTAGACGCACAAAGGGCGCCCCGCCGTGGGGCGGAAGCCGGCTCGCAGCTAGGGGTGATCTGCGCGCATGGCGAATCAGAGCTCACTGGTAGTCGAACTCGTGCGTCACCTGCGCCAGCTCGTCGAAAGTGCCGTCGCCCTGCGACACGCCCGCGCCCATGCGGCTCCCGATAGACAAGAGGGAGTTCGTGCGCCCGCACCCCGCCGGTGGAGTCGCGATGGTCGAGTGGTCGTCCTCGCCGAGGAGACCACCGACTGAGGCCTGCACAGCGGCCAGATGCTTGACGAAGATGTTGAGGTAGCGGACGCCAGTGATTGTCCTGCCCCAGACAATCTTCAAATCCAACTTGTTTCCGAACCGCATCCAATCCGTGCTATTGCTCTTGGGAGCTACGTTTGTAAAGAAGTCGAAGCCATCGCTGCGACTCTGCCCTTTGCTCAGCATGTCCGCTAAGTCTTCTGCCCACTTGCCCTTTACGGCGATGGAATGGAAGTACATGTCCGCGCAGGCGCCGCCCATGTACAGAGCCTCGCCGTCCACCTTCAGCAGGGTGGCTCTGGGTCCTGCATACCTGGGAATCTGGATCAGCGTGTGATTGCCCTCCCTCAGTATGTCGAAGCGCTGTCCGTGCATGTTCACCAAATGGGGGTCGCCGACGGCTTTTGCGGCAGTCTCCTTCCGAGCAAATTTCTGCTGTGCAACCTCCTCCTGCGCGGTGTCCTGCTCGTCCCGCCAGTGCCGAGCGGCTGGCAGCGTGGGCGGCTCGAAGCTGGGGCGCTCTTCCTTCGCCGCCTTCGGCGCTTTCGCCGCAGCATCCTCCTTCGCCGCCGCCTGCGCCGCCGCCTGCGCCTTGCGCACGGCCTCTGCCAAGCGCGCGGCCACGGCCTCTGCCTTGGCCTCCGCCTTGCGCTCGGCCTCCGCCCTCTGTTCGTCTTTCTCCTTGGCCGCCCCCTCGGCCTCCGCCTTGCGCTTGGCATTGGCCTGCACCTTGCGATCGGCCTCCGCCTTGCGATCAGCCTCTGCCTTACGCTCGACCTCAAGCTTGCGCTCGGCCTCGGCCTTGCGCTCGGCCTCGGCCTTGCGCTCGGCCTCGGCCTTGCGCTGCTCGGGCCCGGCCTTGCGCTCGGCCTCCTCCGCCTGCCGCTTAGCGGCATCAGCCTGCGTCCGGCGCACGGCCGCGGCCTCCGCCTCGCGCTTGCCCTCCTCGGCCCTGCGCTTGGCCTCCTGGGCCCCGTTCTCGGCCTCCGTGGCCTCCTGGAGAGCCTTGTTCTTCTCCTCCTCCTTCGCTTCGCGTTCCCCTCTCGAGGTCACTTGCTGCTGCGCTGCTGCACCTCTTGGCCACACCAGCACCAACTTCTTGTCCTTCTCCTCTTGCCAGGCCTTTTCCGTGGCCTCGCGCTCGGCCTCCGCCTTGTTTTCCTTCGCCTCAGCCTTCTCCTGCTCGGCGTCGCGCTTCAGCTTCGCCGCCTGCTCGACCGCCGACTCTTCGGCCGCCTTCTCGCCATCCTGGGGCAGCGCCTGGCAAACGAGGCACTCGGAGCACACCTGCGCGGCGTAGAAGCCTTGGCCCTCGTCGAAGTCTCTGTGGCAGAATTGGTGGTTGTTGCGGCTCGAAGTGTACACGTCACAGCCCCCAAAGCCAGCGTCGAAGGTTGTGCGGATCCCTGCGCAATCAGCCTGTGGACGTGGCCACGTACTTCCAACACTGATCTGCATGAGGATGTTGTCCGCCACAGGCTCCGCATCGCCGGTCGCCGCGACGGCTAGCGAATGGAGGAAGGCAATCGCAACTGCCTTGGGCATAGGCGTCAACACCGCGTCTCTGTGGATCACCTCTGGGCAATATAGAAAGTACGTGTGTATGACAGTACTGCTTGACAAATCTCGTGGTTTTTAGCTTTTGTGCCACCAAACATGAGCCCAAATGGCTACGGATCTGTCTAGTTTACACTGTGGTGTCCAACTGCGCGCACGTATGTCGAATTAGTCTGCCACAGCAGCAACATCGCTACCTTGATACTTTGATTGCTCTGCCGCCTTTGTTACCATCCTGACGCTTCGATCCTAGTCTGACTACCTACCAGACCACCCCAACCCAACCCGAAGACCCGAATTTCGGGTTGGGGGGGTGCGGGTTCCATATCTGTTGTCTCGATGTTTCCCGACCCCCCCCAACTGGAAATGGAGGGCAAATCGAGACCTTCGGGTTGGGTTGGAGTGGTTTGGTGGGTGGTGATAGTCGGTCCAAGTTCGCCCAACGTCCAAAGAAGACAGGTGGATGAATGTAGGAATGGAAGCAGGTGGGGGTTCCCGAGCGGGGGCAGCCCTTCTGCATTCACTCCCCACCGCTTTCTCGCATCCGCTGCCTGCTGCCGGCATCAACCCGCGACACCAACGTGGCTCTGGGGAGTACAGCGCGTCATCGGCAGCGGGCCTTACGTAACGTCTCCTCGAGCCCCCTCCGTCTCCCACCCCCCGTCCGCCCAGGCGACTCAGGAATCGAAAGGTAATTTTAAACAACGGCGGCACTCCCCGTCCGCCCCAAATCCTTTCAATCCTGACCTGTTTCCCGAGGCGGATCCAGCCGAGGCGACGAAAAGCTCCCAAAAGGGTCCACAAAGAACGAAAAACGCCACGGGGGGGCATCGTTGTCTGTACTGTCCCTCCTCCCGCCAGCGTACTCTGAAGCAACACCCGCAGAGGCTCTGGAACCATCTTCTCCCTGTCCTCCTCCGTTTCCTCCTCCTCCTCCTCCACCTCCTCTTCCTCTTCCGTCTCCTCCTCTTCCTTTTCCTCCTCCCCTCCTCCTCCTCCTCTTCTTCCTTCCTCCCGGAAGGTATGTTAGGTGTTTTGTTCCTTGTGCGAAAGCAGCACTTAAGCAAAAAGCACTTGCGGTGCAAATTCTCGCACGTTGCTTCAGGCCTTGCGCTGCCTGGCGCGCCTTCTCACCCGGTCGAAGCGCTATAAACGACCCCCCCCCCAGTCTGCTGATAAGCAGGATGTGGAGGCAGGCGAACGATCAACAGTACAAATCGGCAAGATGGCGGACACTTACGACTCTGATGAAAGGAGCTTTGAAACGCCTACTGGCGAATCTAAACACGCGGGCGCAAGCCAGGAACCCATGATGGCCGTGATGGGTACGATATCACAACAGAACTGGTACAAGCCAAATACGGCGATGACTCGGCGTGATCGTGCAAAAGCTGACTGACGCGCGACGCAAAGCACACCGTCATGCAGAACGGTTGACCTAGCCAAATGTGTGCGCAGAAAAGCACCTGGATCTCAACTGACCCTGACTTCAACTCTCTGCCAACGCGGCACGCGATGATAACCCGAATATGTGTTAATCTAACACTCCGTAAGGTGCGCAAACTCATGCCGTCCGCAAACAAAGTGTCGGTTGGTACATCGAATATGCATGGACAGATCGTCCCTGCTGACGCAGTTGATTAAAACGCCTGCAACAGATTCGTGTGCTCCGCCTTTGATCACTGTGATGTCTCATCGTCGTACCTTCTCCTGTGGCAAAAAAATGACACACCTCGATGTGTCTGATTTTCCCTAACCCTCGCCTGCTCCCAAGAACTCTTCAACGCGAAATTGCAATCATATTTGAAGTATTTTGTTTTCCCTACATGTTTCGTAGGGGTTCTGGTTTCCTTCTCTGCCGCGTCTCACCCGCGCTCACTCACTCACCTCCCTCTTCCCCTCCTCCTGACAACACTGTTCAGCTCAGCTCATCACAGCACAGCCTAACACAGCTCGGCTCAGCTCAGCTCAGCACAGCACATCACAGCACAGCTCAGCACAGGCGTTTCTGCGCGACCTGCAGCCCGACGCTTAGGGCGGCACAGCACAGCCCAGCTCAGTACAGCACAGCACAGCACAGCACAGCTCAGCACAGCTCAGCACAACACAGCAGTACAGGGGTGGCACTCTCTCGACACCAGAGACGGTGCGCAGGGGGTGGTCCCTCAACGCGGTCTCTATGCGTGCCAGGGTCGGAAAGCGTGGCAGGTGTGGTACTTTCTCGACACCAGAAAGGGTGCGCAAGGGTGGTCCCTGAGCGCGGTCTCTATGCGTGCCAGGGTCGGAGAGCGTGGCGGGGGTGGCACTTTCTAAACACCAGAGAGGGTGCGCAGGGGGTGGTCCTTCAGCGCGGTCTCTATGCGTGCCAGGGTCGGAAAGCGTGGCACGGGTGGCATTTTCTCGGCACCAGAAAGGGTGCGCAGGGGTAGCCACAGGGGGTGCGCTGGGGGTGGGGACCCTATGCGCTGCAGGCTCCCAGGGCGTGGAAGGCGTAGCATTTCCTCGACGCCACAGGGGGTGCGCTGGGGGTGGGGGCCGTATGCGTTGCAGGCTCCCAGGGCGTGGCAGGCGTTGCATTTCCTTTACGCCACAGGGGGTGCGCTGGGGGTAGGGGCCCTATGCGTTGCAGGCTCCCAAGGCGTGGCAGGCGTGGCATCGCTTCGACGCCACAGGGGGTGCGCTGGGGGTGGGGGGCCCTATGCGTTGCAGGCCCCAGGGCGCGGCAGGCGTGGCATTTCCTCGACGCCACAACGGGGGTGCGCTGGGGGTGGGGGCCCTATGCGCTGCAGGCTCCCAGGGCGTGGCAGGCGTGGCATTTCCTTTACGCCACAAGGGGGTGCGCTGGGGGTGGGGGCCCTATGCGCTGCAGGCCCCCAGGGCGTGGCAGGCGTGCCATTTCCTCGCCGCCACAGGGGGTGCGCTGGGGGTGGGGGCCCTATGCGTTGCAGGCCCCCAGGGCGTGGCAGGCGTTGCATTTCCGCGACGCCGCAAGGGGTGCGCTGGGGGCGGGGGCCCTATGCGCTACAAACTCCCAGGGCGTGGCAGGCGTGGCATCGCTTCGACGCCACAGGGGGTGCGCTTGGGGTGGGGGCCCCTATGCGTTGCAGGCTCCCAGGGCGTGGCAGGCGTGGCATTTCCTCGACGCCACAAGGGGTGCGCTGGGGGTGGGTGCCCCATGCGCTGCAGACTCCCAGGGCGTGGCAGGCGTGGCATTTCCTCGACGCCGCAGGGGGTGCGCTGGGGGTGGGGGCCCTATGCGTTGCAGGCTCCCAGGGCGTGGCAGGCGTGCCATTTCCTCGCCGCCACAGGGGGTGCGCTGGGGGTGGGGGCCCTATGCGTTGCAGGCCCCCAGGGCGTGGCAGGCGTGGCATTTCCGCGACGCCACAGCGCTGGGGGTGGGGGCTCGTATCTTGTCAAGAACTGTAGACACCTTGGCTCCAGCCAGCTCGGCGCGCCTGCGCTCTCACGCAGGCGCGCTCCTGTAGTCCTACTTCAGAGCACCGCACAGGGCCAGGCCATCCGCACCGGGGTGACCATCGACTGCGCGCAGGACGTGAGCATTGGCAGACCGGAGGAAAGAGAGGGGACCTGGTGGCTCCACCTGTACGTGATGCTCAGCAGAGCTACTTGCATGGAAGACATGCTATTGCTTCGGCCGCCGCCGCGGGAGGTCTTGCAGAAGGGCCCACCTCCGTCCGCGCTCAAAGCCCTTCAGAAGTTTGATGACCGCATGGCTACGGAGACGCGGGAGATCGAGGACCTCGCTACGGAACGCCAATGGATCTTGCCGGCGGCGTGAGGTCATTGGAGCGCACGGCCGCCAGAGTCTTTCCGACGAAGGCAGCGCTGTCCAGCCGCGTCGGATTCGCGCGGCCCGCGCCGCTCCTGGACGATTCCGGAGCGTTCGCCCAGCTTTGGGTGTCGTGGCAACCGCAGCCCAGAGATATTCCATCGAATGGCACTCGCATTTTGCACGCAGGTGGGCCACGTTTGCCATGCAAGTTTTTTGCGCGCGCACCTCAGAGACTCTCCGTCGAAGAGACGCGGCGACAGACGCGTGGAAACTGCATGGGACTAGAAAAAGTAGACCCACCGAGGAAAGAAAGGGAGGCAAGGGTGCAGAAGAACGCAGAATGAGGCGAGGGAGAACGGATAACTCTAGAGGCTCCCTAGAGCGGCTGCGCAAGGGGTATGATTTGCACCAACATCTACAGTGGGCCCCCTGACTACTCGACCTGTGGCAAATCGTTCTGCATCACCTCATTGCTTGTTGTGACCCCAGGAAACGGCCCTCGGTGACCACCCCTGAACTTTTTCCCGATGAAGGATGGAAGGCGGGGGAGAGGGAGGATGTTCAATCAGCGGCGTGATGGATTACAATATGGGGGAACATTCGCGACGAGGGTTTAGAATGCAGGATTGCGCATAGATGATCATGACAAGCAAACACATAAGATTTGAATCATCCTCGGTAGCGCAATTTTCTCTTTTTTTTCCCACAGCGTTTGTAATCCTAACGCTACTAATCGACCCTCTACCGGTCCACTATACCCTGCTTCTCCACATGCTAAGGCCACTACGCTCTGAGTCGAACTCAAAAACCTCATTACATGGAATCCCCACATAACTTTTCCTCCACGCATGGGTTTGCGTGTCCTCCTGCATCCCACTGTTAACTGGGCGCTCCTGGTATAGGTACGAATATCCACACCTGTTGTGGGTCTTGATCGACGCGTCCAGCCTCTTGAGGATTTGTGATGCCCCTCGGGCCGGGTCTGACATAGAGCGTGCAAATTCTTAGCATGTGCGCTGTATGTATGAGCGGCCCTGTGCAAGATAATCGGATCAAGCCACTGCCACTGGGCACCTCGAAACTACGTGATTTCATGGGGGCTCCTCACCCCCCTTCCTTCGGGCTGCTTTTCCAACTTTCCCCCAGACCTTCCTCTCTAACGCGCGTCTCAACGCGCCTTGACTCTGCATCGTGC